TAGTAAGATATATATATATATATATATATATATATATAGATATATATATATTTAAATATACTCTCGGTAAGAAGACAACAAAGTGGGTGAAGAAAAAAAAAGAAGAGGGAGCTGGGTGGGAAGCGTCTACAAAGTCAGCGTCTGCATCTGATGGCACGTGTCGCTTAACTGATTCTGATCACCGGCCGCCGGATGACCGCCCGTTCGCGGTGTGCCGGGTGGCGTAATCGGCAGTCTGCCGGGACCGTCGCCCGCGCCTCCAAGACCGTCGTCGGCGAGCTTGCCCGTGGACGCGGTTTGTATTATGCCGTTCACCTTGTACTTGGACTGCCGCAGCATCGTCGTCTGCGAGCCGGCAGCGTTCGAGTACTTGTCGGACGGCTTCCGATTGGTGGACGATAACGTCTGGCCGACGGAATACCGGCTACGCTGTCCGTTGGCGGGCTGCTGCTGCTGCTGCTGCTGCTGCTGCTGTTGTTGTTGGGACGGGGGCATGGAGGGTGGCTGATAACGATTCTGGGCCGGAGCGTAAAACTGGACCTGAGGGGTGGGTGGTGAGAGAGTTGGAAGAGGCCGTGTCATGGGTGAGTACGGAGCTGGCGGTGGGCTTGTCGGCTTCTCCTGAGCGCTCGGCGTGTCCGCGTTTGCCCGCTCGGTTGGAGACGTTGCGCCGACGGCGCTGTCGGAGCTCTGAGGAGCGTCGTTGTTAGGCCGGCCGTTGCTGTCGCTCCCCCCGTGCACGTCCAACCGGGCGGCGCCTCCTCTGTAGTGGTTGTTATTCGACAGGCAGTTTCTACGACCCGAGCCGTAACCGCCGCCCGATTTGTTGCTGCTGCCCGGCGCGCCGCCGATCTCGTAGTACTGATCATCGCAGCAGTTTTTCGCGCGCCCGTTCGTCGCGTGCTCGTAGCCGTGGCTGCTCGGCTTCTGCGAGCCGTAATTGGACGCCCCGGTGTGATTGACCCTGTGCGCGGCCTGGCCCGAGCCGTAGCCGGATCTGAGGAGCGCCGACGAGCCCACGTTCGATCCAGTCGTCCGTCTATTGTACTGCACCGGCAGTCGCGATGACATCGCTATCGCCGGATACTTGTGCGACCCATCCGCCGCGTTACCGCCGCACTTGTTGTTATTGTGTGACTGCACGCCGCCCTGCGCGTTCTGCGACTTGGCGTGCGTGTTCTGGTGTGCCGACGAGTAGCCGTGATTCTGACCGCGCGAGTTGTTACCGTACTTATTATTGCCGCCGCAGTCTCTGGAGTTGTGACCGTGCGTCTTCGTGTTGTTGGTGTCGTAGGCGGACTGATGCGGCGAAGCCGGATACGGCGTTGGCAGTAGACTAGCGCCGGATGCGTTGTGGTGTGTGTACGGCGGCGGCGGCGGCGGCGGCGCGTGTGTATGCGGAATGTACACGGTCGGATGGTAGAGGATAGCGCGACAATGCATCGGACTGGCGGCGCAGTCCTCGCTATCGTTCTGAGCGCCGTGCGGCGTGTGCAATGCGATCGGATGGTAATTAGTGTGGTAACGACCGGACACGGGGAATTTCACGGGCATTAGGGGCACCAGAGGTGTTGCCGGCGAGCCTGAAGCGCCCTGTTGCGCTTCACCGTGCGGTTGCTCCGAGTGGTTCGCCGTCGAACGTGAATCCTACGATTTCATTTCACAGAATAATGCACCCTGTTTGCCAAGTGCCTGATAGAAGCATGCATTTAGCGACAAATATTCGTGACACGGTGATCCTTTATCGCGAATAGAGGCTTCTCCCGGACCTAATTTTACTTAATTATCTCATCACGTTACTGTGCCGACTTTGCTCATTTTCACCAATGCCGATTTTCTTGTGCAGTGCAATCGAATAAATCTTCATCGCGAGAACGTGAACATCACTCGTCAATAGCGACAATATCAACGCATCAATTATTGTTTTATCAATACGTGCTGCAATTCAATAGCGGCGTACGCAGACATTATTATCTCATAAAATTTCAAGTTTCATATCAAAGATTCATCGCGAAATGTAACTGCGAAATGTTTGAACGCGTGTAAATCGAAAGTATTTCGCCGTTAGCGAAAGAGGAAACTTACCTCCTGCGGAGCAGCCTGGCCGTCGGACGCCGAGGTTTGCTGGCACGATGCGGCATCCGTGGCATACAACAGCAGCTGTTGTTGCTCGGTGAGTCCTATAGGCGCATGTGGCGGCGGAGCGTGATGCGGTCCGGCCCCGAAGGGGTAATAGAGATGATCGACCTGCGTAGGCGGTGGCGGCGCTTGCACAGGTTGATGATGATGCGGCGGCGGTGCAGCAGGGGCGTAATAGTGTGTCGGATGCGGCGGGGGTAGAGGAGGTGGCGGACCCGTCGGCGGACTGGTTGCTCCTGTGCCGTTATTGCCGTTGCTGCCGGAACTGTTGCCACCGCTGCTCGTATTGCTCGGCGAACTGCCGGTGGTGGCGTACAAATACTGGGGAGCTCCGGCGGCGGTCGCTCCTGCGTAGTACGGTTCGTACTGTGGACAGAACACGGATATAATGTTTGAGTGCCCGTCGAGAAGTGAATACTAAAATTTCTTGCGTAAATATTTGTCGTGTCTATGTGCCGTTCGCGTAAACGTTAGTTGATCCCTTCTTTATTTTCTTTTCAATCATAAATGTACTTTTGAATGTAAGACGACGAGTGAAAATAGATACGCGATTATGACGTGTCGCTTCGGTGAATTATTTCCACATCGATCAGCATAGAGCAATAACGTCGTAAATTAAGAACGAGAAATTTTAATTAATGCTTAATGAAGTTTTATTTACGTCTCTCTTAATCCTTGAATGCAGCAAAGCAGCATATATACAACATTTGCAGTTAATTCTTATTTTTCGTTTAATCCATATTATTAAGCAGAAAACAAATGTACGTATTAAACTGTTAAAATTAGTTAATCTCACTTTGTTTTAATTTAAGCAGAAGAAAATAACAAACTAACGTTTACGAAAACTTTATTTTAACGAGTAACGAGTCCATAAACGTAACTATATGAAAGCCAAGCGAGGCTGTATACTTTGATCCGCATTTTAATATCGAATAACGATTTGTCATTTCTTAGATCATTCCAGGTTAGGGAAATGATTACGGTGTGCATGAGTTGAATCGATCGGGGATTGTATCTATGAATGGAGCATTAATCACTATGCGTGTCACAACTATTGATAATTTATCATCGCGAGATAAATCGTTTTATTGTTCTCTACTTGTATCCCACATAAGAAGAGAATCTTTAATTTAAAGCCATTCTAAACTTACATTGCACGCATGCCTATAATAATACATTCTCAACAGTCTACAGAGGGTGATTCTCTAATGCATTCTATTTTCGCTTTATTCCTCTAAGTATCGGTGGAATTCCGTTCGAAGGGAGACCTATTAAGATAATATAACACAGTGTCGTTTCAGTAACGCGCCTTCCGTGCGAAAAGATCGCGTGCTGCTCGGACTCGCGATTGTGTTAAGTGCGGCGTGTCACATTGGAAAGTGAAACCACAACTACGAAAAATGAAGCAAACAATCATGCTGAGTGCGAATATAAATGCAAAATTGATAAGCACGTTAACATTTTTTGGTTGCAACACTAACCACAATTTATTAACAAGAATTATAATATTAACACAAGTTAAAACAAGAGGAAACAAGAGAATGAGGAAGAGAAAGAATGAAGTGACAGAACAGAATTTACGATACATGTAAATGCCACTAAAAATGATCAATAATCTTGTTGGATTCATCTTTTCTTTGTCATAACTATCATTGCTTATCTTATGTAGATAATTGCAAGTGTATAAACAAATCAGATTCTTAATTCGCTGCTATTATTATTTTCTGCCGACTTGATTACTCTTCACGTTTATCAATCATATTTATCTATCATTTAATTATCAAGAATATTTATGTATCATTTAATCTTTTTTGTTCCACACATTCTCACTGTGGAGAATTCCTCTCAACTCTCGTTAAGTGTTATCTCAATTAGCGGTAATATTAGTTACGACAAAATATACGTTGTTAAAATCAGCATGAACGCCATCGGTGAGTAGAAATAACAGATTGTGAGATAAAAAGGCGATAGAACAAACGTGCACCGACAGACCATGCATCGAGAGGCTGACAAAGGGGGAAAAGAAAAGGTAAAATGCTCAAAAGATGACGAGCGGCATGCTAGACGCTTAGCATAGACCTTATACCTTTAGACCTCAATACTGTATAGCGTCGAGAAGGACGTAAGTAGGCATTTGTTGAGGGTTGGGTAGAAACGCCGGTGGTATGGCTTCTCCCATCAGACCGTTTGTCTGTCAAACCGTAACCGATATATACCGTTTAATAAAAATACAAAATGCAGACGAAGACGGTCAGGATCTTTATGCTAGGATCTCTATATGTACGTGTGAGGAGGAAAAACCCAGGGGCGTCTAAACGGAGAATCAAAGAGGAAAAGTGTGAAAACGATCGGAAAAGCGATCGATATTCTTTTACGTACCTGTATAGGCGAATACTGATATTGCTGCGGCATGTACAGAGACGGGGCCGGACATGGATACATCACAGGAGTGAATGTTTGATGGCCGGTAGCAGCTTGAGGACCTGAATACATTATTTCAATAAGAAGCTATAAATTATCTTAATCTTAACAATGAACATCGCTGTCCTGCATTGATTGTCTATGCTGCAGCGTTTTTACACATTAATAATAGACACATTAATAATAGAAAAAGTAAAAAGTTTTAAATAAAATATAAATGTTCATCCTTTTTAAAATTAATATTTTGAAATATTTTGATAAATAAAAGCGAAAACTCGTACAATTTTTTTCGTTCTACTTTGTGGTAAAGTAAATTACGAGACGTACACGTGTACCGTGAATAATGCTTACCAAAGACTCCTGTAGCTTGATAAATCGTTCCTGGATCCGTAGGGGGAGCGATGGAAGTAGCTGGAGCGGGAGCTGCTGTGTTATAGAACGCCATGCCGTTCTGATAAGCGAGACCCATACCTGTGCACGCCAGAGGGGGAGAGAAACGATTAGAAATGCGATCTCTGCACTCTTCGATGCTGCGACGTTGCTACACGTCGAGCACATCGCCTATATATACATGCAATTAACTCGATCACGTACCGTTCGCATAATAGTAAGTACTTGTAGGCACGGAAGGGGGCGAACCGGTACTACCTTCGAAGGATCTAGAAAAGGGCTGCTTCTTGATCGCGGGCGCTATATTAAGCTTCCTTTCTCTCAGGATAATGCATTCGGCCTGAAGAGAGAAAAAAAAAAAGATTCGCGTCGTTCGTCAAAAAATAAGAGTCAATTTACGTACCTCCTGCTGGAGTCGCTTGGCTTCTTCCTCCGTTTCGAAGGTGACGAAGCCGTAGCCCTTTGACACGCCGGCGCGATCCGAGATGATTTTCGTGGCCTTGACATTGCCGTAGGCCGAGAAAAGCTGCGCGAGCTCCGCTTCGCTGGTGCTAGCCGAGATGCCGCCTACGAAAACACGGTTCGGTACTACCGTACCGTATTTCGGCGCCATCGTGAGACTCGCAGCCGAGGCAGGGCTAGAGGCAGGACTGGACCCCTCCGTACCACCGGTCGAAGCCGAACTCTAAACAATCAAGTCACAGATTTTTGTTGTATTCATTATTGCAGCGAGAATTGCACAACAATTCTCTTTCAAAATTTTTCTCAAGACGGAATTAAAGATTTATATCAGTAATCTTGGTCGCACGATTTTGTACGTTCAATGATATACAGTGCTCGAGACTGTAATATTCTTGCTTTTAATAAAAAAATCTGTGAAAAAATAGAAAATAGAAAACAAAATTTAAGGGAAAATATCTATGTGTACTGCAGAATTAAAGTATCTTCTTTAATATTTTAATTAATTTTATAAACTTTCGTTTATTTTAATAGATTTAATTAATTGTTAATCCTTGATACGTTCAACTCAATGTGACTTTAATACGATTCTATTAATTCGATTAATTCTGATCGAGAAATATTCTTGATAGTTTAATTTCTGTTTCGAAACCCGAATCAATGATAAATACGTTTGTAAATATATTCGCAGTACAGACAAAAACGGATAATGAATGCGAAAAACTGAATGTCGCAAGTGCAGAACACAAATACGCGCGAGTGACGTCGTTCTCTCGACAGTGTTTTGACCTTGCTTCCCCAAACTCATCATTACAATTCCATTGAACGCTCGCGATATCACCACGGAAACATTCGGAAACGGCATCCCGCCGGCGATTTGTGTACATACATAAATACCGATCGTTAATTAAGAACGCTGCGTACTCTCTCGCCGAGCGAGAATGGCGATTATAAATTGCCGAATCGAGAATGTATATACATACGGGGAAAAGCGTACAGTGACGACCAAAAGTTTCCGATATTTAGAAGCATTTCTCGGAATGTGGATAGTTCACCGTTAAATCTTCACGACAAATCAAATAAAAAGCGCAGTAAAACGCTATTTCGGAATGCATAATTTTACCGCATTACAGAACCTGACTTTAGCATATTATGAATTAACATACTTAAATTATAAGTCTCGACTGAGAAACTATTGAATGACTTGACTTGACGATAAATGCAATATTTCGGCAAAAATGTTTAGTAAGCTGTTACAGTGACTCTTCGTACGTAGAGGACATTTGCAACGAGTCACTATAATAGTTCTTCTTGGCGCAATTTAATTTTAAATTGTTCACTTGCTACACAAAATTTTATTCATCTTACATCTATATTCTTTTTCCGTATCGAATCTGTATAAAATAATCGTGCAGCTATTAATATATAAATCTGTATAAAATAGTTTCCTCATTAAAGTCATACAAATTAAAAATTTCTGAAAATATTACAAATTTTTAGTCACCATTGTATACATTCTCGAGCTGGCTGGAAAAGGTATATTAATGTGTGCCAACGGTTTTCGCAATTTTTCCTTCCTCTTCTAACTTCTCACAGCCAGTTAAGTGTCTCCGAATTAGATTTAGCGGCAGTTAAGTCACTTGTCACGAAAGTATCGAGGTTGTGCAGAGAAGAATGTGGTGAAGCGTATAGGAGGTGGAGTACGTGAGAAGTCTTAAAGAATTCCGATCAATTTAGTGACTTCAATCCAAGGAAGATTTAAGAAATATATCTAGAGAATGACAAAAGAAAATGTAAGAATACAAATAAGCAAATCAATCATTAATTTTTAATAGATGCAGTAGAATCTTATGCTAATGTTAAAATTATGCAATTCAATAAAGGAAGAATATAAAAGGAAAGGCGTACTACAGTGTTCTAAAAAAACTCGTCATGCAACCACACAATTGTTAAGTGGAAAAATATAAGAGTTTGTGTATTAAAAAAAATTAACATTCTAAGAAATCATAATATTTATTTCAATAAAATAATAGAAACAGAGAGCTCATCATGCTATAGTTTGTTCTATATTTTTACAGGCGTACACACTTTAGTCGATAAACATTCGTTTTCAAAATATCAACTTTGCTTCTTTATATTTTTCCACTCTGCACACACATACAACATTGTTTGGTAAATTCAATTAAATAAGAAAAGTTTTAAAATAAAGAAATTTTAACTCAAAACTTACTAACTAAAAATAATTTTTCTCTGAATGCACCTCGCGCGAATTTTTCTAATTCGACCGGATACACGCAGCAGCTTACAAACCATAAACATCTCAATATACATCGTTGAACTTTTCTCGCACGACAAACTCCGCGAGTGCGAGGGTTAATCCCAGATTTCCGTCTCGACGAGGTGTCGAGACGAGTGCAAAGGGGGTCGCGGAGTCGATCGCGAATGACAGATTTCGCGGAGATTGGCGTAACGCGCGCAGCTGCGTCGTGATCGGCATCCGGCGCGACGCTACACAAAATATTGACTAGCCAGCCGGAGGCAACACGTATCCGACGTTCTAGTTACACGAATATTAACGCGGAAGCACGCGACGAGCACGAACATGCGTGACGGGAGGAGGAAAAACGGGGAGGCTACGGCGCCTACATAACGCGCACCCCACCCTCTCCGGCGATGGCGATGACAGCCAAAAGCACAAACAACAAACAAGCAAGCGACCAACCAAACAAGCGAGCAACACATACGGCGTGCGTCGTCTTGAGCGTGGAACGCCGCGAGAGAAAAGAATGTGATATACGCGATATTACGCCTGAATTGAGTTTCGGGCGGCGCATATTCGCAAAAATGATTTCTATGTTTATACCTGCGATAAACGTCGCCGTAAGGTCTACATTTGCGTATCTACGACGTCCCAAATTTTGACAGATTCGCCGTAGATCGAGCGAGGAAGCGACACGCAAGATTCGCGAATCCTGACGATCGCCATTCATTCACCCCCCCTCAATGTACCCCGAAAAGTCGGAGTTCAGAACACGACGGACTCATGGAAGTCCGTTTCCCGGTGCGCGGTCGACGTGCGCTACGTATATGTGTCCGCTCTACGTATCAGGTGAGATTGCACCGCGGCAAGGGAGAAGAGTGACGAAGGGGAGAGGGGGAATACTTGGCGCGAACAACGTTTTCGAACGCGGGGTGTATGTCGTCGTGGTTGTAGCGAGTGACGACGATTCACGGTATCGCCGCCTTCTAGAACAGGTCGTACAGGTTAAAGAGATTCGACGGAGTCGACAATGGCCGAGAATTGCCGGCGCGATGGCAAGATTCGACGACGAGTTCAACCACGACGACGATGCTGCACGATGTGAGCGGGGTGGGCGAGGAACACACATCGTCGCGCAATAAATATCTAGATGTGCTCTCTCTTTCTCTTTCTCTCTCTGTCCGCTGAGGGTGTTAACGGCGGAGACCATCACTCACCATCTTTCGACGGATTCGGACGCACAGGAGGATCCGTTGGCGGCTGTCCCGGCGGCTCGATGGTACCCTGGCGTCGCGCGAGGTCACCTGGACGCCCAGGGACTGCCAAGGACCGTTGCACCGATCACTTCAGCAGCACTTCCAGCCTCCGGCGGAGATGCTGCCGTACCCGTTTCGCGTAAACCTCCAAACACCACGGGCAGGCGACTCTTACAAGATGGCAACCGCCGACTGTGATGCCGCGCGCGTCAAATCGCGAAAACTCCAGCGACTATGTTACTTTATCGACGGAAAGTATAATGAATCGTGTCAAGGTTACATTAGGTTAGGGCTAGATGGAATTTTTCGCGAAATAATTGCATGTGATCGGATGAATATATTTAGATTATTCGTTACAATTTTATACCGGTTCATTATTATATTATTTTTATTTTAAACGCATATTAATATATATTTTTTTCATGTGAAAATTATCATTGCAGAGAAATCGATATATATATATATATATATACATAGGGTGTTCAAAATGAAGGTTTACTAATTCAATTGGTTATAACTTCCAAAATAAATGAAAAAACAAGATTTTTTTTTCATTTATTCATTGAATGATGACAAATTATAACGAATTAGGTGTGGCACACAATATTGTTCAAATGGCCGTTTCGGGCTAAGTCACAAATTCGAACTTTTTTTATAGCATTTTGCATGACACAAAATCTCACAGAAAGTAGTGAAAATTTCAGCTATTTCTGCACGAATGTTATCCTTCAGCTCATCAATTGTTACTGGATGATACGCATACACTTTTCCTTTGAGATATCTTCACAAAAAAAATTTGGAGCAGTCAAATCAGGAGATCTTGTAGGCCAATCAAAACTGTCAGAACAAGAAATGAAACGATCTGGAAAGATTGTTTGCAATTGTTTTTTTTAAATTTTGTTTTTTATTTTCAACAAGACGGTGCCACCGCACACGTCTCGCGAAACAATCGCGCTATTGCAAACAATCTTTCCAGATGGTTTCATTTCTTGTTCTGGCAGTTTTGATTGGCCTCTAAGACCTCCAGATTTTTTTTTGTGGGACTATCTCAAAGAAAAAGTGTATGCAAATCATCCAGTAACAATTGATAAGCTAAAAGATAACATTCGTACAGAAATAGCTGAAATTTCCACTATTTTCTGTGAGATTTTGTGTCATGCAAAAAGCATTTTGTAGCAATAAAAAAAGTTCGAATTTGCGACTCACAACCGAAGCGGCCATTTGAACGACATTGTGTTCTATACCTAATTCGTTATAATTTGTCATGATTCAATGAATAAATAAAAAAAAAGAATCTTGTTTTTTCATTTATTTTAGAAATTATAGCCAATTAAATTAGTAAACCTTAATTTTGAACACCCTGTATATAAATATATATATATATATATTTATATCAATACTTGGTGTTTTTTTGCTTTAGATAAGAATCTATATGACTTGCTATCTATTGATGGAGAACAAAGAGTAAGGAAAAGTTATAGTATTGCCAGTTCAGAATTGAAGAATTAATTGCTAAAATAAATTGTTGAACGAATTTATACGTGCTATCGTTCGCATACACATACATATAATGTTTCCATGAAATAGTATCCATAATACTCCGAGATTGCTTGCATTCCAGTAACTTTGTTCCGCAAGTGTTTTTTGAATGGAAGTACAAGTATTTTTTAAGTAAAATATGAAATAGGACGCTCTATCTTTTAAAATAAAATAGAACTAAAATTCTTTGTTCTGTGTAACTTTTCATTTTTTTTTCATACCGCTATTTAATACCATTATTTTATGTGTTTGCTCCTTATAACCGACTGTCATTCATAAATAAAGAAGTGTAAAGTGTAAAGTGTAACTCCGAAAATCGTATTTACCTAATTCGCAATCGCGATGTTTCACGGCGATCGATGGCAATCAACAGCGATCAACGGCGATTTACTTGCGAGCGATGCCTCGTTGGTGATGCAGTCGCTAACTCGACTCGTTAAACCGGAGAAATAATCGAATAAAAGAACACGAAATACGAACGACAAACGAGAAAACACGTGGAAAAATGAAAACTGAACTCAAGCGTTCAGAACTCAATGCATTCTTTGGACAGCTTCTTTACCAGTTATTTCGAGTCAGTCTAACTTCCGTTACGACTTCCTGGTGCAATAATATTCCACATTATATTTTTAATACAGAAAGCAAAGTTGAGTAAGCTAAGACCAAAAATTCGAAATATAATTTTTCTTTGCAAAGTAAAACACAATTATGATTAAAAATACAAAGTATGTTATTAAATTGCTATTCGTAGCGAGATGCTGCTTTGACTAACAGTGTAGCGTCGACGTAAAGCATTCAAATGTTTCACATGAATCGACACGCTAAAAAGCGGTGCGGTAGCCAATCATCTACTGTTTTATATTTTATTTCCAAAAAAGCGAAAATTTGATTGGCTCAATCAAAGTACAAGAAATCGTCTATTTTCCTAGTGTAGATCTATTCTCTCAGACGGGTGACTTTTATCGCGCATGCCCGAGAGCACTAGTGTAGATGCGTTCAATGTGCAAGAACGATGAATACATAGATGTATAGAGATGACAAATAATCAAATTTTTTTCTTTGATAAGTTCCAGATAAAAGTAAAGTTTACAAAATTTTAAACAATTATTTGTGCACTGCTTTTCCAATATTAAATAATTTAACAACTTTTACTTATATTATTTTTCTGAATAATAAGTTTTATAATTTATTGAAATTTTAAATATATTTAAACAAATCTTGATTATAAAATTCTAAATAATCGTACTATGTTTGTTGTATTTTCTGAAGATTGAATTATTTACTTTAATAATCTTAGATTTGTTGAAAATATATGATTATTCAACAAAATAAAAATAAAAAGTCAATATATATTTATAATTTCATGGATAGTGTTTAACATGCAATAATTTAATATGCATATTGCATAATTAATATTTCTTAGCAAACACAGTATGTTACTGTCATAAGATTTATTAAACAATTATTAGGTAGTATTATTTTATTTAAAAAAATATAAAAATATATATGTATTTTAAACCTTAAATATCATTTATATTTAGATTCAAACATGTTGCATTTGTTGGCATAAAAATGCACGGCGTTATCTCTTCATTTGCATAATCCGGAATTATTTGTGAAACGTTGAAACTCTGAAAATTAAAAATGGAAAAATATAGATATTTGATAACCGTAAAGCTTAATTGTATGTGGTTTTAGCAAAATAGTAGTAATTTCAAAAAGTTACACAAATATCTATAATCATCTTATTTGTAAAAACTTATAAATATTCATCAAATTATGATTAAACATACACATCTATTAAATTATATATACACAACATGATTTATTTAATTTATGATAAAACTAAAAGATATACAGATATCATAATATCAAAAATATTTTGTATTCACCATTGTATGTAAAATAGATATTATGTTTAAATTACTAGTTTTAACGACTTACATATCTTTTATGCATAGCTAAGCAAAACGTGCAAACTTGTGGCCTCGTCGAACAAATGCTGCCATTTTCTAGGAGACGTGAGCAGGGTTGATCTATGGCACCTGCGATGAGTATGGCATCCAAATGACTAATGTAACTGCTGGCCAATCTGAGGGTCTCTATTTTGGAGAGTTTCCTATCGGCTGGTTCGGTCGGAATCAGGGTCCTCAAAGCACTGAAAGCCGTGTTCACGCTGCACAATGAAGATCGCATTCCCTCAGTTGTGCGCCTGCATTTTCGATCGCTATATCTATTACTTTTATCTCGTTCGTTGTTTACGTTAAGTGAAAAAAATCGTTTGAAGGTAAACTTATGGAAAGAAATATGAAGAATCGAAGAATGCTTCGTGTTCTTCCTCAAGCTCTTGTCTTCATTCTTACATCATGCATAATCACGATTTATCACTCACTCTCTGATTGACGTAAAAATGTAAACTGCCAACGCAATTTGCTTTTCACCTATGAGTGCGATCTCTCTCCCGAGCGTTCGCCTGATATCGCTGCTTCGTCGGTTCTTCCTTTCTACGCGCTGACATGCTGCAAGTATGATCTCGAAATAGTGTTTTCAACGACCGTTCACGGAGCCGCTGTCTTCATCAATGAGCGACTGACCCGCAGGCCTCTTTCCGTTCCTCCAGAATGTGGAATTTTCTCATATCTGGTGTGTCACGCACGCTTACACTCCCCGCCAGTCAGTATCGCTCTCCCTTCTCACTCCCACAACATACACGTGAGCCACACGTGTGTGGGATCAGGAACGGATGAGGGTCCTGCTCTTTCTTTCCGTCTTCTAACTTTCTTCCTCCTTTTCTTTCTTTCTCCGGTCCTTTTCCGGTCTCTATCGTAGCACACTAAAATATAACGAAGAAAACAGGCACAGAAAATATAAATAGTGAAATATATTTATAAAAATATTATGTCCTAGAAGAAAATAATATTTATCATTAAAATCTGACAACATCGAAATGAATATTACAATTAATTTACGCTGTTACCAAATTTAATTCTCTCACATCTTAGAATTAAATTTATTGCTCACAATTCATATACATACTTCATCATGCGCGATCACACGACTTAAGATCCATACGTACTCGACTTCGTCCCTGCACACACACATACGCTGCACAGCAGAGTGATGCATTCCATGTAAAGTGGCCGGCGGCTGCGTTTCGCATTAAGCTCAATAAAAACGTGGATGACCACAGTGGGCGACCGGAGTAGGGCAAAGGAACAAATTCCATCTGTAAAACTAATTAGCGTCCTGTTACTCCGTCGTTTCTCGATTTCGTCCGCTTTAACATGATTACACTAAAATATACCAAAAATTTTATTATAATCTTCGTTAAATTTCAACGTTATAAGTAATCATCTTGAAACAACACCAATTTATCTCGATAAACAATTACCTAAAATGTGAATAAGAGTAGTTGAAAAAGAAATATTGAATCACATTCTCCGAGCTCTTTGTATGAAATGTTTACTCAATTAAATAACTTGGTTACATCGAATCACTTACACAGCATAAAATTTACATGTTCAATGGTCGTCGGATCGTAGGATCATATTTTAACACATTGTATTGTCGAAGAAAAACGCAGAATCAGTCGCTAGTAATGAAACAGGGTTGTGGATTTGCTTGTTTTCTTTTTCACGGATTCTTCGGCGTTTGCCATTAATTAAAGGCGTGTTTCGCTATCGAAAACCGACGATCTCTAACGGAAGAATATCTTAAGAAATACATATAGAAAATATACACAAGTGTCCATTACATTAATAAAATAATAGTGGAACTTAGATTACGTTTCTATGCGATTACGGTATCGAGCACGTATCGACAATAAAAAATCGTGCGGGTTTTAAAAAAACACTCGAAATGATTCCCTGTCGTTTTATAAGTTTACATAAGTTAAACGCAGGTATATACTTGTCCTACCATCCTGTATAATTATTAGATTAGTTAAAACAATGTAAAAATTTCAATGTAAAAAGACGTATAAACGAAACGTTCCATCTGTTTTAAAACCGTTATTATACTTATTATCTTCTCCATCTGCATTTTCTTTTCTTTTTTGATAATGATTTTTATAATGACATTATATTTTATTTACGAGAGAACAAATAAAATATATTAAAATATAATATATCTACATACTGAAAGAATTAAAAAATGCGGTATAATTTCATCTCGTACAAGCGCTTTGGCATACGCACCGCTTTAAATCAAATAAAAAAAGCAAGATCGATTGAATCGATGTCGTCGACAGCGTAGAAGTGTAATTAACGCTATATCTAAAGACTTGAAAACATTTTACATATCAAGCGTCTGTGGTTTATATATAAATCTCGATCTTTCTCTCTCTCTCGCTCTCTTTCTCTCTCGCTCTCTCTCTCTTTCTCTCTCTAAAGACGTCACCAATGTGTTTAAGCATCGGAGCTAACTCGTGATATTTACAACAGCGAGTTACAATAATCATACTCGCAATATATATATAGATATATAATTCTTCTGCTTATATCGATCTGAAAGATCATAAAAATAATTTCTGATCTTAGAGAGTAAATTACAGCGAGATCGTGAAAGGTCCTCAATCTCCACAATGCACACACTCGAATTGCTCTATATATATATATATTTTGTATATATCTAAAATATACGATATATTTGTAGAATATATCGTATATCTACAATATATAGTTTATGTATATATATCGCGTCTATAAACAATAATATTATGTATATATATGTATATATATTATATATAAATAAACATATGATTATTGACGCGATCCACGTGCAGCTTCTTCCAGTGCGCGAACTTTAAGCTCACGCTCACGCTGTTGTCTAAAAAATACCCTTCGTTAGTCCTGAGATATCATTGGTGCTTTGAACTATCATAGCGTTATGCAACAAGCTAGAGATCGTTTCGATATGGAATTGAATGCACGAACCTTAGGTACTCCTCGTGGTGAGCTACGAGAGACGCATGTGGAGGAAACCGATCACGTTCCATCATAAGATGCCGTTGTAGCTGCTCATGGTGTGCTGCCATGTCGGCGTACGGTCTTCCCAGCAGTTCTGCTGGATGAAGCGCCAGAGCAGGATCGCGTGGCATTAAACCGGGACGAGGATAATTGGCGCCGGCAGCAGCTGTGGACAAAAATTACAGTATTAAAAGAATGTACTCGAAATGATACAATGAATGTAAATCTATTTATTTTACTACTTAATATTTATCTCGCAGAATATCCGTTTCGGAATACTACTCGTGATAGATTTGGGGAAGCACTTTTGGTTTTAGCTCGCAAAGTTAGAAGAAACTATACGCGAAATTTGCAATAAATTTCTTGGCTATGGACGAGTGTTCCCAGAAGTTCTCTGTCATTTCTCATTGCCAAGCATACACACACGCACACTCGCGCCTATTCCTCGACAACACTCACTCGCACTTGCACCTGCGACGGTGGATAAGCGACCAAGCCAGAGGTCAGAGTAGAGCAACTCGAAAATTTCGCAGGCGTGCTGACGATGCGGTGCGGAAAGGAAAAATCGCCTTGGATCTAGACGAGCAAGTCTAGGACGATCAATTGAGAAACGCACGGCTGCCGAGCGACGAGGAATAAGCGAGAGCGGGCGTTTCTTAAAGGAGGAAGCTCTTCAGGAAGCTTAGAAGAAACATCCTGTGTGTAAGGACCTACCCGGCAGAGGGAATCCAGCCGCAGCCGCAGCGGCTTCCTGCTGTTGCTGAGCCTGTTGCTGGGCCTGTTGCTGTCCCGGATGTAAGTGCAAGTGCGTATGCGCATGTGTATGCGCGTGAGTGTGAGCGTGATACTCGGGCGAGATGCCAGCCATTTGCAATCGGACCATCGGGTCAGCGGCCAAGGCCAGCCGCTCTTCCAGCTGGCCGTGGTGATGAGCTGCCACGGGATGGCCAGCCGCTCCACCCGCTGGCCCACCGCCGGCCGCAGTCGGAATCCCTAAACGCGACAGCGCTTCGATCACATAACTCGAAGATCACAGATGCGATTCTCATGCCCGATTTCTTCACCTCCAGCTAACCGTCAGACAAAATTACCCGGGAGACTGTATCGCTGAATGCAATAGTAGATAAGAGAGCCAAGGTTAGCTATTTTACGGACAGAGTTAACTGGCGCTGAAGAAATCGGCCATTTTATTCAGAAATATAAACGTCTAAGTTTAGCTACATTGTATCCTTGAAACATCTTGGCGCTCTCAGTCTGATTCTACCTTTCTCCCCCTCCCTCCCGCCTATCCAACTTTTCTATCATTTAACTGTACTCTTAAATCAATCGTAAAAAGTACAATTTGTACGGTCGAAACGAACAACAATCGACGAAGTATCTAACTCTACTCGCAGAAATATAGAGTGTTACCCTCGTAAACAATTACCTAGCCGCTCGAGTCTTTCCCTCTCCAATTGACTCGGAGCCGGTGGTGCTCCGTAAGCCAGACCGAATTGATGCAAGGCTTGAGGCGGACCGGAAGGACCTGGTGCCAAGCCGGCAGCAGCGTATCGGCGGTGTATCTCTAGCCAGTGAGGATCCACCGGTGGCGCCGGTGGCATTGGTCTAGGCGTGCTCTTCAGCAGCTCCTCCTTCAGCCGATCGTTCAGTTCTCTTTCACGTAGTTCACGTATCTCACGTTCCCTCTTCTCGCGCTCCAGATGCTCCAATTCCAATCGTTGCGCCGCAGCCTCGCGCCCGTAGATGTAATGCAGCATCGGATCGGGCGGGGCTGGATGTCGAGCGGGCGAGAAGGCTGCGTGCGGCCGAGCGTATTCGGACAGTTGTCTGAGCGCTGGCGTGTCCGCGTACGAACCAGGACGTGCGGCATAGCGATCGTAAGGCGAAACGACGGGCTCGAGAGGTCCGCGACTGGGCGGTTTGCACACCTCCGGCTGTTTTTCGGGCGTCGTCATTTTACGGGCCTGCTGCGCTGCGGCCGCGGCGCGATCACGCTCCTCTCGTTCCCGTTCCACCAGCTTGCGTTGACGTTCCTCGCGTTTTCTCGCCAGCTTTGACTCGGGAACAGGCTTGAACTCCAGATCGGTGCGTGTGCACGAGTTGTTATCGCCGCGATTCCAGTGTCTAATGAAGATCGCCGACTGCGATCGATGACACTCGTTGTCATCGACACGCGGCTCCGGCGACTGTCCGCGCGGACTGATGGGCTCCTCGGGTTCCGGGTCCATGTCCGGCTCGATCTTCGGCTCCTGCATGACCGGCGGCTGTTGTTGTTGCGGCGGCCGATGGTGATGGTGCGTAGCGCCGCTGGCGGATGACGTTAGACACGTGGCCGAGACAAGCGACGGTTTGTGTTGACTGCTATGCGAACTACGTGACGACGAGTGGCTGTGTGAACTGTGAGAGGAGATGGTCAGCAGCTTGTCGTGGTGCAAGTTCGTCGGCTGCTGATGCATACCGGACGAGTGGTGGTGACTCGGCATCAGGTTCTCGCCCTCCTCTCTGCTCGTGACGCTCGAGCTGGTGCTGGCATGATGCGCCGTTATCATGGTGCTGCTCTCTTGACTGCGTTGCGGCGATGGCGGCGGAATGGCATGCGGTACCGGACCGTAAGCGTACGGCGGGAAGGACGGGTATCCTCCGACAGGAGGATATCCCGGATACGCATGAGGATGATATGGATGCATGGCGGTGAATAACGAATGGTGCATCAACGGATGATGCGGATGGAAGGGATGTGCCATGTGCGGACTCGGCTGCTGCGCCGGATGCATCACTGGCTGAGGGATCGAGCTCGGCGGTGGCGGCAGACTCGGCGTCGGCGTCGGCGTGGGTGTCGGCGATGCCGCAATCGGTTGAATCGACGGCATCGCCTGACTGACCGGTATGGAGTGTTTGCTCGGCGTCGGCGGTTTACTCGCACTGTCGGGATCCTTCTTGATGTTATCCAGACTCGGGCCGGGGAAAGAGGAACTCTGGAAGCCTGGAACCTTGACCTCCTTCAGACTCTGCAGTGGATCAGGCTCCGGCGGTATGATTTCCTGCTTAATTTTGAGGTTCTGCGGCTCCATCGGCGGAGTACTGGCCAGGTTGTAAATACTGGAGGGTTTCTCCATCGGCATCATTCCGGATTGTATCGGTTGGAATAGATTGCTTGGCTCCGGTCGCTCCTGCTCGTTGCTCTCACTCGCACGCTCAGGAATGCGTTCTGTCATCATACGAGCGTCGGAAACCCTGCTGTCTCGCGATCGCTCGTTCGACGACAGTCTCTCGTCTGCCATTCTTTCGGCGTTTCTGTTGTCAGACGACATGACAGTCAGACCTAACGGCTGCGGCGGCGGACTCGGCATCGGCGGCATCTGTGGCATCTGTCCGATCGGGCCGCCGATGCCGGCTGATTGCGAGATGTTGAGATTTAGCGGAGGCGGTACGGTCATGTTCTGCGGCAGTGTCTGCGCAGCACTCGACAGGCCGTCAGGATGACCGCGCAGGTTCGTTGGTCCCATGCTGGGCGCGTTTGGCGCCATACTGCTCGGCACCATCTGCGACGCCATGTTCTGCGATAGGTTCTGCGGTACGCTTTGCACCGGCGGTGGTGGCGGCGGCGGTATGTATTGCATACCGAGATTTGTCGGCAGACCACTGTTCTGTGGCTGACCGGGAGATATCACTGGAATCTGCGAGCTTGGCAAAGTAGCTTGCGAGCCTACGCTCGTGATAATACCCGGTATAGTTTGCGGCACGTTGCGGGCGTTTGCGGCGGAAACTTCGCCAGGAATCGCACCGGATTGAGCGGACGTGCTCAGGTTCAATTGCATCGGCTCAGGCTCCTTGCCCGCTTCCTCGTTGGACATGGTCGGCGACATCGTCGTTTCCATCGGCATCGGTTCCAGCTTCAACGGCTGATTATTCATGGCCAGCGGCATGTCCTGGTCCGACTGGTCCATCAGCTTGTTTTGATCCACTGGTTCTTGGTCCAACAAGACGGGTGGCTTCTTCTCTAGACTATGTATCACCGGCACCGAGATCGGTAGAGTTTGTATCGGAGTCGGTACCGGAGTGGATGCGGGTGTCGGTTCGGAAGGCTCCTCCGGAGTCGTGACCGCTGGACTGCTAACCGGCTCTTCTGCGCCGGCCACACCAGCGACCGTCGGCGGCGTCGGTTGGTTCTCGTTCGCGTCACCCTCCGTCTCCCGCTCCGGCTCGTCCATCAGGGAATTACTGTCTGTCGTGAGAGACTCGGACGGACTGTCGGGTCGTTCGCCACGTTTTCGCTTCTGCGAGTCCTTGTCCTCGTCGTTGCAGGCGTCGTCCACCTGATTCGGACGCTTCTGACCCTTCTTGGGCGTGTCCGCTTTACCGGACGACTTCTTTTTACTCTTGTCGGGCGTCTGTTGTTGCTGCTGCTGCTGCTTCTCCTGATCGGGCGTATCCGTGCCGCCGGTGCGTCGCGGTCTCGCTGGTCTCGGTGTCTCCTTGGCCTTATTCCGCGTGCGCATCCTACCGGGACTCTCCGGCGATTCTGCAGGCACCGGGCGGAATAGATAGGGTGGCGCAGGCGGCAGCTCCCCGGTCTTCTTCAAATGAGACCGGCATTCCGCGCAGAGCAACAGTCGATCCTTGCCGGCTACCTGATAATCCTTCGAGCTGGTGGAGAAGCAGTGCTGACACGAATGCGTCGCGCCGTTCGTGTTGGTGTCGCGTGAATCGCTGTCTTCCTCCGAGTTGTCGTCCTCCGTCACGGAACTGACCTCGCCACCGGGATTGTGGCTGGCCGGAGTGCCGACCGGCACGGTTTCGGTCTCGGATGCGGTCTCCTTCGCGCTAATGTTGGCCGTTGGTGGCGTGTCCTTGGTAGGTGTCGGCACCTCTTCCTTGGGTGTGCCGGCACGGGAATTGCGCGTATTACGGATTCGCCGTAACGAGCTCTGCCTTCGTCGCCGATGAGGTCGATTATTATTTGCGCCCGGTGTCTTTTTCCATAAGTAATAGAATTCGACCAGTTCCGGCTACGAAAATATAAGTCAAATGTTACAAACAGAATTTTTATTAAAACTGTTTTTTAAAGCGTAATACAGCTGTCAGATAGATGCAAAAAATCGTTAAATATCGTCGATCGATTTAAAAAATAAAATTACATAAAAAAATTACACACAAAGTAATTTTTCCAATAAAAATAAAGATCAACACTTTAATACACTTTTTCTGTTAAGAAAAGTTCGAATTGATGCTGTGAGATTTTCGAACTCTCAATAATCTCTACTCAAACAACACACTGTAGTGTTTATATAAAAATTCTCATATATTTTGCATCAACCTAAATATAAAGCTTACTTTTTCGATTTTTTGATATAATCTTTTAAATCTTTTGTTTTTTTTTTACTTTATCCCTCCAATATCCGTTTACACAATTCTTATTTGAAATAGAGAAAGAAGATTAAGAAAAGATAGCGCAGGCAAGCAGAGAAAAACCACAACAAAGCGCACGCAGGTAAGAAAAAATCCACACAATAAAGCTATTATCTTTACCGTGTCCTTGTGTGGCAGAAGATCCTTTCTAATGCGCGAGAAATTCTTTCCAAACTGCCGTAGACCCTTGACGAATCGCTTCTGCGGGTAACAACGAAAATCCGTCCGTTAGAAACTCTCTCTTGCTCTCTGTAAACCGGTAATGATCTCAGTAAAAGAACGAGGTGGAACGTACAGTTTCCTCCTCGGACCATTTCTTGTCGATGCCTTTCGGTACGGGACATTTGACGAGTGCCTGGAGCGCCCTGCCAGGATCATAGCCAGAATCGTGCAGGATGTCGAGGGCGTTGATGGTGGTGTCGTCGCGGGATGCGGCCACGCAACCATCGTCCGGTGAACCGCCGTCACACATACCGGCGAACGCAGCCATCGAACGGGCCGCCCTCAGGTACATGAGCAGATCCCCGTCCAACGCCATGGCCGGTACCCATCTTAGCTCCTCGCGCTCTTTGGAGAATTCGGGATCGGGTGGCAGCTCTCCGGGCGGTATACCTGGCCGATACTCAGGCAAACGGGCCTGACAAGAAACCAACTCCTGTAAATCCCAAATTCGGGATTGCGCGCGGTTAGCACCGATGATGCCAGATATGTCATACGTAACACATCTAATGCTCCGACTTCTCAACGGGCTAACTTTCGTAAATTTATCGCTACTTTGTTTTCCTTTCCTTTTCATTAGTTTTTCCCGCTTTATCTTTTTCTTTTTTTTTTTACTTTCTTTTAAGCCGGCAGATAAAGAAACATTTAGCTTTCACGATCTTCTTTTAACGATCCTAAAGGCGGATAAAGATAATCGCCTTCATAACCTCGTTTTTGTTTAAAATACACACGCGGAATGTTTTCACACGCGCAAAAAACTTTGTCAACGCGATAAATGCACGTTAAAAGTTTATAATGATGACAGATTAAAGATAGAAGTCATGTATTTATAAATATGACTTGCGTAATAACGTTTATCGTTTTATAATGTCACGATGCGTGATTTATATATCCACCTTTTTTTGCCGATTTAATATCTGCCGAGTAGAATTATTATTAGCAAAACTCAATTGCGAAAAACAAGAAGCATCAGATAGATTTACAAGCTACCGATTAGTCATAAATGCGAGCGTGATTAACGGACTGCTTCGGTGATGTTTATTGATAGAACTTTGCAACTTGCAACTTTTTTTCCATACATACAAGGTGCTCGTATATATACGCCACGGAATATTCGAAGTGGAAGATAATTCGTTAAGTGCGGGACACTCCATATAGCGCTCGTGCACGCAGATGGTTCAAGTAAGCAATCGCGAATAATTGTTGTATGCCAACAGGTGTGAACGGTACGAAGACGAGTTGATCCGCTTAATCGGCCGTTTCAATTAATTACTTCACCGTGACTGAACACCACTCCAAAATTAAGAAAATGTCTCACGCCAAATAAACTGCTATTGCCACTTTTATGCATTGCTCCCAAATGTATATTTCATGCACAGCGATATTGCGGAGAAAGACTTTCCATCGGCTTTATACATCACAGGATAATTCGTGTGATACAACAAGTATCGCCGAGAGCTTAACGAATGCGTTTCACGTGCTGCAGACGAGAAAAAAAAAAGAAACGATCTGCACCTGAAACATTCGAAGCTCTTTAATGCGTGATGCGTTAGTTGAACCATCGGATCGAAATCAAAATAATATCCAGTTTAATTTTAATCTTGCAATAATTTGTGAAAATAATTGTATATCGCGCGTAAAACGCGTTGATGTACCTTTTAAATCTAGCTTGAACGCCTCGATATCACACGTATCCACGGATTTATAATAATCATGTAACATGCATTACTGTAAAAAATTTTCAGGACGATATTCAACGCGTAAAGAAACACGAGTTCTTACACGGAGTTTGTATACGTCGATCCCGGGTTACCTTATCGGTTTTTTATTGTTGAGAAACTTCAAGATCCATACTTCATACATTTCAGATTAGATTACACATGTACATACATATATATTTACGTAACATTCTTTCCTCGTTTACCGAATACATTTTTCAATCTGCACTACTTTTCGAGGTGGCCGTATACGCGCACGAATCTATTTAAATGCGCGTAAACACATACATGTTTACACATGTTGAACACTCCCGCACGCACGTACAGCTTTCATCTTCGTTTACATTGATTTGATTTATTGATGTAAAGAGCGTGTAAAGATCTCCATAATCTTTCATTCGTGTGTGTTTTCCTACTTAAAAGAATCTGTAGTTTAAAAATAAAAAATTACGCCCGGCAAGAAACGCGATTTATTCTTCATATAATGCAGATATTTCAATGTTTTTCTTGCATAATTAATTAATTGTACATTCCAAGTCGCTATTTTTAACGAACTTAATTACTCAATTAAGCGTGAAATCTATGTATTATTTCCGTGATTATCCAGAAAATATTCTCCGTAACAAAAAACTTTATTACCATAAAGCAAAAATTTAATATCATTCAAGATGATATAAGAACTTTTTATCTATACAGAGAATCAAAACAGTTATACATGTGTAATCATTATATAACATTAATTGATACAGCGAGGATAACGATTCACGATCCACACGCCCCTTACCTTGTAATAAAATATCAATGCTAATAACACAAGCCTCGAGATAGGCACATTGTGTTGATATAGCTAAGTTAACAAAAAAATTTTTCAAGATATGTATGGCAAACCTGATGAGAAGGGCCAATCCGAATCTCGCCCTGGGTGCCAGCTGACATCTCCCCCTCCTCCGAAGCTCCGCCGTCTTTCTCCAGCGTTTTGAATGCCTTTGATCTTGGATTTTCAGTAAATTCCTATTATCCACCCCCTGAACCGTATAGTGATGCCATCAATATGATTAAAGACGTTTCGACAAAGACATTTACTGCTAACATGCTTGCCTTGGTCTTGTGAAAGATGAGAAACAGATATGATATGATAATGCTACTTATTTACAAAGATAAAACAATAAATTGTTCAACAATTTTCGAAACTTTCATTATTTCGTATCGTTTGACAATTTCCTAAACTTCGATAATTTTTTTAAGATCTTACTGGAGCTTCTTTTATTCAACTGATATGTGCAGTATCAAATGAAAAAAGAGAAACAATAGCAATAGCATGTTTATATCTGCAAATTTATCATGAGTATATATGTTGAACTTTGATAAGTATCTATAAATCAAATATAAAGTTCCTCAAGATAAAGTAAACACAGGATATCTATCTTCCCAGAACTCAATCCTATTAATCTTTATAAGTTGAAACAAAGATAAGTGAATAAATAAATCGATATTTTTATGTTTCCGTTAGAAGCAATTTGGAAAATTAGGATATATATATTCTGCGTACAATTCAACATATAATATTTATGCCTACGTTTCATTATTTCTCTCTCTTTCTCCCTCTTTTCTCACTCTCTCTCTTTCTTTCTCTCTCTCTCACATATACACGCGCATCACATGCTCTTTTTCTTTTTCAAGTGGTCTTGAGTCACGGTGAAAGCAGTAAACAGGCTAATTAGCAAGCGCATAAGCTTGAACGCGTCATCGACGAAGGAACGACCGCGACGATCAACGTCGAGTTCTCGATCGCGGATTCGAATCCGAGATACGGAGAAGCATCTTTCCGTAAAGTGCAAGGCCGCGGCACGCGGATACTTTCGCGCGATAGCGATCGGATCGAGTCGACGGGATTGTCGCGTCGCACAGCAGCACGGCGTAATCGGCGCGAGACCGCAACACGTGTCGCAAGGAATGATCGACGCGAGAAAAGCCACAAACCAATTCCGGGGCAAACAACTCACCCGTCGTTTCCGCGCTCCGGCGATCAGCCTCTCTCTCTCTCTTTCTCTCAACGACGTGCACGCGTCATCGTTCCTTGGCGTAGATGATCACACTGCTCCCACGCTCTCACGCTGCGTGGAAATTCCAGGGTTGTTTACGATGAATACGGATTACGGAAATTGTACGGTCCTCCACGACGAGATCACACGACTGAACGAACGCGGCAATAACGGCTAGCGTTCGTAGTCTCTCTCGTCAAAAATCAGTATCCACAACACCCAAACGCGGCGGCCATAATGCAGCATGGTAGCGTCGCCGTCGGGCGTTCTTGAAAACAATTTCAACGCATGCGCAATTTTCCGTCAGAAATTTTGTCTGTAAGAAAAATAAACGATTGTTATTTCACTGTTATCGCTCGATTCAACCATGGAGGTTTTAATTAATATAATTTTATATGAATTATAATTTAAAATAAAACAAACATAATTAATGTCCACATTTACGAAACACATTAGTTGAACCAGTAGCTTTTAGAAGACTGATCTGATTGGTAGATCCGGAAGAATGTACCAATTATAGGCAAATGGTTGTCCGCTCGTTATGCCTTCCGAAAATCAGTAATGCATGTGTGATGTGATTAATGCTGAGTACTATTTTTCTCAATTTTTCTCGATTGTCGTACGCAGTAGCACGTAAAAACTTCTGCTCGAACATGGCGAAGAAAACTGCTCTTTTGTTGATCGCTGATGGATCGGAGGAAATGGAAGCCGTGATAACCGCTGACGTTTTAAGACGTGCCGCAGTATGTTATCTAAAACAATTATAGTAATCGCAATTTTATGATATCTATGAAATACTATTTGCATGCATTTTCAAAGTTTTAGTTATTTTTACACGTTATTATATATCTTTTAATTTTATAAATATAATACTACTGTTGCTATAAATGTAAGCAATATTTTTTACTAATTAAACAAATCAGCCTACCAGAATTATATTAAAATTTGCCAATTTTGCTGTTGAATAGGTTGCCGTTACCATAGCTAATATAAAGGATGATAACTGTGTGAAATGCAGCCGTGATGTTAAGATCTGTGCGGATGCTAAACTGGCTGAAGCTACCAATCAAAAATATGATGTTGTCATATTACCTGGTGGCCTGGATGGATCTAAAGCATTTGCATCTGTAAGATCAATCGATAATGTTTGATTTTATTTTATAACAAATATATATATATAGTTATGTAAAACTTATTACCTTGTTAGTCGGCGGAAGTTGGCAAGTTACTACGAGAACAAGAAAAGGAAAACAGAATAATTGCAGCCATCTGCGCAGCTCCTACTGCTTTGAAAGCGCATGGTATTGCCAAAGGAAAACAAATCACTTCTTATCCAGCTCTGAAAGATCAACTGGTTGATGAATACAAATATCTAGAAGATAAAGTAGTAACAGATGGTAATAGTTGATATATATTTATTATTGAGTATGTTATTTACTTGTAAATCATATTGAAATTGATATTAATTTCGATAATTTTACAGGTAATCTTATAACTAGCAGAGGCCCAGCAACTGCTTTTGCTTTTGGCTTAGCTATTGTTGAGAAATTAGTCAACAAGGAAGCAGCCAGTACAGTGGCAAAAGGGATGTTATACGAAGACTATAAATAAACTTGCTCAAATAGTCTTTAGTTGCTATATACATATATAAAATTTGAAGTGTACAAATTTGTAATATTTTGGTTTGCAGAATGTAATTATTATAAAAATAAGAGATAATATAATAAATTTAAATAAAATGACAAAATATGATTTTTATATAACTATATAAAAAAATCCCAGAGAGAATTATTTTTTAGTGAAAATATAAAAAGATATAAATAGGAAAATTTAAAATATCTATTATTGCGCAATTCATTAAATTTTATTATAACATGAATACTGATTGAGAAAAGAACAAAGTGCAAAAGTGCAGCTTTCGAACAGGAAGTCTAACTATTCCGGTACCAATATGGTATCGATAACAACTCTCGACAACATAAAATCCGTATTCTATTCGTGACATTATGGCAACGTGCTGTAACGAATAATAATAACTGGGGCAATGTGTAATAAATAATTACGATCGTGATGAAAGAAGCGCGTGCGAGCGATGCATCAGTAATGCCCGGTTTAGAGGAAAGTATCTCGCACGACACAAGTTCACCACACACGCGCGTCCTAATGTCCGATGGGAACTATGCGGTGAGCGAGAAACTTGAAAGATACATTTTCAAGTCGTGGAATCCAGACGGTGCGCAAGGTGACGGCAACGAGGAATGTCTGGAGATTCTTATTCCTGAGGTGAGAGGACGATTCGCACGGTGATCGTACGACTCGACAGCCGGCAAATTCCGCCGACGAATGCGAGCTACCGGTATTACGTGCTTCTTGGTTAGGTCGCTCTTAATCCATGACAAACAGTTTTGTGATGATGGAATTTGTCAATTCTTCGCACCCCGAATTATCCTCATTTTTCCGTTTTATCCGGTTCGCAGTTTTCCACCATTTCAGTATTGTGAAATTTTTCGTTATTAAAAATGCTGTGTATCTTAAAAACATAATAACATGTTTACAATCATTTACTTATATAATTTACTTATATAATTGTTAATATAAAAATAATTAGACGTTAAAAGAAGATATATGAAAGCCAATTTATCATTGTTTTGTAAAATTGCTTTCAAAATTGCTTTAAATATTTTTACACTGTTATGAGATAAAATTTCGTTAGAAGTTACATAACTTAAGAATGCCAAGAATCAATCCTGGATATATAAGATAAATAATTTTCAGTGAAACTTAAAAACAATCTGCGTTCCTAATGCACATTGCATGGTTGATTGCAGTTGCTGGAGCCAAATTACAGCTTTTACACTTGGCCGTGTGCTCGCGTACTTGCCTGGTATCTCTGGGAGCACAGGCAGAACTTGAATGGCAAGCGGATCTTAGAGATCGGAGCTGGCACTTCGCTACCAGGTATTCTCGCCAGCAAGTACGGTGCTATCGTGACCCTGAGTGATTCCGCAACCCAGCCGCGAACTCTGCAGCACATCAAAAGGTGCTGCGAAGTGAATGGAGTTGCGGACCGAGTCCGCATCACAGGCATCACCTGGGGCTTCTTCCTGTCCAGTTTGTTTTCAATAGGAAACTTAGATCTGATCATTGGTTCAGACTGTTTCTACGAACCCACTTCATTTGAGGATATATTGGTGATCATAGCGTATTTGCTGGAAAAGAATCCACGCGCGCGGTTCCTCTGTACGTATCAGGAGCGCAGTGCCGATGTGTCGATAGAGCATTTGCTGAACAAGTGGGGACTCACGTGCATGCACGTATCGCTGGACAGTCTCAGTGCAAATCCCAATGTCGACTTGCCTGAATTGATGCAGGATCATACGATACACCTGTTGGACATACAACGTGCGCAATAAGTAGATCAATTCTCAATTGTTATGGCTGGTAATGATTTAAGATATATGACACACGCCGCCAACATTCCCTGGACAGTGAGTCGTCACGAGCTCGCGCTAAACTTTTCTCAACTCGGTTGCGTGAAAGACGCCTTTGTAGAATTCGACGAGCAGACCCGTCTTTATCAGAGTTACGGACACGTAACGTTCCTGAAGAAGACGGATATGGACAATACGATTCAGCGTAAGGGGAAAGATTTAATAATTGTGTAATATCTAACCGCGAGGCACTGCGAGCTCGTGAACGATGGCTGAGAACGATTTCGCGGATGCAACGGATCTAGAGGAGACCTTCAACAGAGCCGCCAAATACCTACAAACATTAGTATCGGAACTGGACTCGGGTCAGCTACTCGCATTTTACGGTCTGTACAAACAGGCGACTGTGGGCCCGTGCGACGTTCCGCGACCTAATTGGTATCAGGTGCAAGCGAAGCACAAGTGGGAGGCATGGAAGAATCTCGGGGACATGAGCCGCGAGACCGCGATGGCCGACTACATCCACGCCATCGCGAAAATCAATTCGTCATGGGAGGAAGAAGCGAAAGCCGACACCCCAGCGTGGATTTCCGTTAGCAAACTGTCGATCACGGATGCGGAATTGAGGGACGTGGACAAGACATTCTTAGATTGGGTGAAAGAAGGCAACGACGCGAAGGTGCGGGAGATGTTAAGCGGGAAACCCACGCTCGTGAGCACGCCGGACTATGACGGTTTGTTACCTATGCATTGGGCCGCGGATCGAAATCACGTTAGAGTCATGGAACAATTGATCGCAAACGGTGCGAATGTGAATTCGCAAGATGAGGATGGACAAACGCCCCTTCATTACGCGGCAGGTTGCGGTCACGCGGAGGCGGTGAAATATTTACTTTCAATCGGAGCTCAATACATAACTGATAACGATGGGAAGACGCCCAAAGACGTTGCCGACGAGCAGGTCGCAGCTCTTTTATAACACTGTACTATGTGCACACATTTGTTGTAGTCCTAATTTTATATGCCTTGACCTTTTTAACAAATAAATATTATAATTTTGTCAAAGTTACAATATATGGTAAATAATAAAAGAATTTTTATCTCAATAGGAATTTATGGTTAATAAAATAATTATTACAGTGCTCTGTTCTCTTTGTTCTGTTATGTATAACGATTGTTATCCTGCATACATTAATAAATTCGTGGACTGGTAATTCCATATGAAAATCACGGAGTGCCTCAATCGTTTCGCCGCTCTAATAGAGTAAATCTTTATTTATATACAAATAACTCCTTCATTACATTCACAGCCTAAGCACACCTTGAATAAATGCGTGATTTGTCATTTGGCTAGATTGTTATAATTTGCTGTTCAATTAATATCGTAAACGATACCAACTACAAAATGATGAAAGTTCCACATGTTATAGACGCAAGAAAATTGTTGAGAATGCAAGGTTTGTTAATTAACAATAGCAACAATAAAATCTAATAAATGACAAAAAACGATATCGCTCTTACAATTATATAATTTAAACGTTTATTTCATCAATAGTTCACTCTGATAAACTCTATTTTTCTTAATTTCATAAAATATAAGCATATTTAACGTAATATAATCTGTCTCATCCATAATTAAAAAATGGATATTCAATAATACTGTACTTTTATTTGTAACAGATAACTACACATACTATAATGTAGATTTCATTTAAAAAATTTTAATTATTAGAATTCATTGCACATGCAAAATCTTTTAAATGAAAATGACATACATACTCCAAAATATTTTCGGATCTCAATTTGCAAGTATCAAGATATATTCGAGCGTATGTATGTAAACAAATTTTAATACGTTAAGTCTAAATTTGACAAATCTAGCATTCTCTTTAGAATAAAGTACAACAAACCCGAGATCTTTTGGACACTTTATGTAACATATCTTGTTTAAATAATATACGAAATTGTTAAAACATTGCAAAATTTAATGATTCTATCAGTTTTATATAACTTTGATATCATATTTTAAGATTGATAACTTTCTGTTATAAGATATGTATGTATATGTATGTATATCTAATCCCGGGATCACGAGTTCATTGCATGGAAATACTCCATAATTGAAACGTATAAAAATTAATGTTTACCTGTATGAAAAGTCCTTCTTTCACTTTTAGGCATTTAACAGTAATTCAGAGTCACACATCAAATCGGTCAAATATAAAGCGCGGACATGTTCTTGTTTTCCGGCATTTTACAACTATTAACAAACGATCTTCACTAATAAATATCACCCGTTGAATCAATTCCAACTTACTGATCGTGTCAGTCCTTTCGAACGTTAATTCTTCTCTCAATGGACGTACCAATTAAAAATTCGTATTTTAATCGTTGACGCTGTTGCTTAATGATTTTGTGAAGACAAAATCAATTTTTTTTTGTAATTACGCTTGAATGCATATTGAGCACACCGAGCTTTGTGCGCGTCGATGCTCACAGTGGAAATCCGATGTAAACTCTTAGAACGATACTTTTTTCTCCTTATTTGCAATAAGTATAAAAGTCGATAGTAAGCTGTAAAAATATTATATGATCGTTTATGAAGTTAGGTATGTACTTAAAATGGTTTGGATATAACACACAACGTGCTAAAAGCTGCAAACGTTCAAATGCATACGTGGATCCTCTTTTCGTTTTCGCACAATAGCCATTGTCGAAACGCTTCCTCTAAGGATTATCCGTCGGAATAACAATAAGAAGTTGTATATATAAATAGGGAGAGATCACGGGAAAAATAGATTAACTTTGTCCGAATATTATCAAACTTATGTGCACACTTGCCTCATCTTTAATCCTCGACGACATCGATGTTCCTTCATAAATGTAATCATGATACTTTTCATCGATCGAAAAATGTCCGTTGTGTTCTTACGATCCACATTATAAATTTGGTGACATATTGTCATGTGTGAAACACCGTTTTTGACGATTAAGACATCGCTGAACCTTCGAGAGCCCCTTCAAGATCGCAATCGTCTCTCTCTTCGTACCGAGCACCGCTAGAGATTAGTGCTCTCTTGGTCCGATTTAGGCCGTGTGGTGGGCGGCGGCGGCGGCGGCGGTTGCGGCCTCGGCGGTCGCTGATGAACTCGCGGCGAGGCCGGTTTCTGCTGCGGTGACTTGAGGACGGTCACCACCGTGTTGGTCTGCGTTTGGACGTCCACTATGTTACCTTCCGATCTAGTTCGCGCGTGCGCTTTCGCTTGCTCATGCGGCGCGTTCGGCTTCTCGGGCTTCTCCGGGCGTTCAGTGCCGTACAACGACATCGACGACGGCCTGCTACCCACGCTTGGGCTTCTCTGCAAGTTCGAAGTTGCCGTGTTGCCAGTGCTCTCGCCCGGGATGGCGTTGTTCCCGCCACGCACTTGTATTATACTGACCTGCTGTTTGTCCACGGAATATACATGAGCTCGTTCCAATGTTAAAGGCTGTAGATGATTTAAACGAGAGTTTAGTTTCTTTTTTTTAATATATTACTCTGCAACGATATGTAATAGAAAATACAAATAAAGCGCGAATATGCATGTGTGAAAAAGCTTTGGACAATGTGCAGCTTTTACTTCACATATAGCTTACGTTATCTCAAAATGAAATATCCAGGTAGTGTTACTTGTTGTCCACCCGTAGTAACTACATTTGTTATAAATAATTATCATATAGCCGTACAGACGAAATCTTTCCTATGATAAGTTGTTTTCACTCACCCCTGGATCCGTTTCTGAATTCTCATTGCTGGAACGTGGCTGCTGCCTGATGAGACTCGACGGGCGAACTAAACCGGGCGGTCGCTCAGGGATCGCCGGTTTCATACTGCTTCTTTCATTCAAGGATACATGCGTATTCGTAATACTATCTGACTTTTTACGTAATTCGACTCCTTCTTCTGCAGTAATTAGATATAGATATAAATACAATGAAAGTTAACGTTGAACTTATATTAAAATAATAATTTACCTGAGTTATGTGTGATATTCGTTATACTTCTCGGCGCGGCGACCGGTCTTCTCCTTTCTAACGTGGATGGCTTTTCCGTAGGCACTGGTTTTGGCTTCTGCACGACAGTTTCATTATGTTCGACTTCCGCGTTTGTTTTGGCATTGTCAAACGAGCCTCCATTTGGTTTCTCCTTTAAACTTGGTATATGTATTTTCGAATCGTGTCTTTGTAGCTCTTGAATATTTTTCTCCGTATCATTGAAGTTTAAGACTTCACTTTGGTGAGTACCGGTCTCTTGCGACCGTTCAGAATTATCGGCAGAATAAATCTCCGTCGACTCCGAGGCCGAATGCGCCTTCGCGTCCGCCTCCGAGTGCTTCTCGTGCTTTTCTACGCTACTCTCGTGTCGTATTAACTCGGTGGTTACTTCGTGCTTCTGAGCTTTATACGTTGATCGGTTCAAAGTAGATGTCAAAACTCTCGGTGGTTTGTCCGGTGTTGGGGGTGGTCGGTCGTCTCTTCTCTCGTGTCTGTCCGGAGTGTTGCCACTTGGTGGCGTTGGCGCCGGTTTATTTTTTCGACGCGCCGCTGGTTTTGGACTACCCTGCGTCGGACTTTCGCCGTGATCGCTGAGACTACTGTTGGATACGCAACGACGCATCCCGACGGTCTGGTTCTCCATATCGTTTATGAGACCGATGTCCAGGTCGCGATCGAAGTCCATCTCGCCGGGGAAAAACCAATCCGCATATGTAATTAATTGGTCTACTATAAGACTAGAGTTATTCGCAGTGCTCATATTCATCCTATAAAAGCACAAGTATTTTTAACACTTTTATATATAATTTATTAACAATCTGACAATAATTTAAGACAATGAAAGAAGATGCTTACACCATCGTGTTGGAATCCTCTTGCGGACTCCAAATCAGATTTGGCGCGATGACGATGGCGATATTCTGTGGCGTCATTTTATTTACATCTTGATTCTTCGTAAGCACAGCTAAGAACTTAATTAAAAACCGCAGGTTTTCCAGGTTCGCCGGTGGCAGCTTGTGTAATACCTCCCAGAGAGCTCGCAGCCTCGTGTCGCTGTGTGCGATTTTCGCAGCAGCCATCCATTCGTGATACAATCTTGATATTCACAGACACATTGTGTAAACCAGTGCTCGGAATTAGTTGCTCATTTCGAGCCGATTCTCGAGACAACGCCTCCTATTCCCCCACTACTGTTCCACTACTGTACGAGGAAAATATCAATAATGATATAAAAGATACAGGTCTTAGCTGCTTATCTCTTAGACTCAATAGACGTTCCTGAGTTAAAACATTTAGACGCACTGTCGGCAGCTCGGCCGCAGCGTTTGCTCGAGCGTCGCGCGGTAGTGGGAGAATAGGAGGCGTCGTCTCGGGAATCGGCTCGAAATGAGCAACTAATTTCCGAGCACTGGTGTACTGGTTAGAATTATCGGTAACTAGAGACGGTTGTTTGGAATAATCAATACTTACTTGTATGTTAACAGAGGCTCCGGCAACTCCCGCAAGTACGATTTTAACGCTCCGGCGATAACATGGGGATCTTTGTATTCGAGGGCCGTTGTTAAAGTGAGGCAGCAGGCGTCCAAACTCAACTTAATCCGTCGTGATTTCGACGCAGCGCCGGCTATTCTAAACAAACCCTCTTCTTCTATACCCAAACGCAGCAATGCAGATACACATAATTGTATGGGCAGTGCAATCTTCCTGTTCGTTACCCTCAGATGTTCTTCAAGAGGATATCCATAGACCGGCTTCATTTCGTTATCATCTGTAATTGGGAATTATATAAGTCATTTCCACTTGTGAATTATCAGTTTTCTAACGATTATCTTTATAATGAAATTATTTCTGTCGTTGGATTTGAAAAGTGCATAAAACTCACTAATATAGCTCTCCAATCCAGGTATAAGATCTTCAAGGCAATGCAATGCACTTTCATGATATGCTCGCTGAAGTTTTATATACTGGATAATTGTCTGAGCTAATTCAGTCTCTCTAGACATGAGTTGAAACATTTCTGCAGCCAACTGATCTCTGCACTGTTCAACCTTCGACTCGGCGTCTTCCAATTCTTCCTTTAACATATCTATTTTTGTTGCACCTGCACCTATATAAAGCATCAAATTCAAACATTTTTAATAATTTCTATATTTTTTTATATTTATATTCATTATTTATCAAGAAAACTATAATATTTAGAAAATGTGTTTAAATGACTAAAATAAAGAAATCTCAATTTAGTATCTTTTTCATATATTATTGTTGTACAAATTTTTTGATTTGTCAGATAATTTTGTAAATAAATTAAAATATTATGTGATTAATTACCAGTACTGTGTTTCATTGCTTGAAAATATCTTGTTCTGGCGCTATCCATATCTAAAATGAGGCGCGCTAGATTTCTTTTATGCTTCAATATATTTGGTACATCAGTGTCTAAAATATGTTGCAGTGGTGCAGCTACGTATTGTTCGACTTTAGCTTCATGTTCAACAGTTTCATTAGCTAATGACATTTGCACTCGTCCACATTCTACCAGTGCAAAACTCATAAGACCATCTTCGCCAGCATTCTCCAGCATAGTTTGCCCCAGTACATATTCCGGGCATTTTTTCTAACAAACAAAAGTTTAACATGTAGCAATCGTTTAAAACGTTTAGATAAGATAAATTAGATTAAATAAGATAAATAGCAATAGAACTTCAGATTTTATCATAACAATTAATAAAACTCGTGCTAAACATAATCCAAATTTTATTATCAATAACAATGCTTTAATATAACTGATTATTTATTTACCAAACGTTTCTCCTTAAGAGCCTGATCTTGTGTGATGGCTTGGTTCGGTGGATTTCCGAGTCTTTTACTAAGACCAGTAAGAGCTGCTCTAATTTGATCGACATGTTTGTCAGCATCAACCAAATCATCTGTTAACACCTCTGTTCTACCAGCTCTGGCCATGTAAAAAAAACATTTATTTAAACGTTATACATTTGATTGCAAGAAAATCTTATCATTTATCTTTTGCAGTCCCTCAGTTTTATCTCGTCTAATCTATCCAATATCCGTATGAGTAATCTAATTTGGAACAAAATTCATTTGAACAAATCTGGTTTACTAAAACATAATTTGCAATAATTTTAATACGCTGCCTTTAACAAAAAAAAAACTATTGCCATCCACAAATGTTATATTGCATATGTAATTGAATCTCAAGAACGCAGTTAGATATTTAATGCTATATAGCGTGCATGCGGCAGTTCTAAAATTAGAAAGAATAATGAAGTGACTGATGATTAAAGGAATTTGAGTGAATCACCTGGAGAAGGTCTGATCGGCGAGCTGTTTTACGCGGAAAACTGTTTCTTCATGGTTGACTGAACTGTCGAACTCGAGTAAAATCGCGGTACCGCAACAAACCCTACCGCACACTTTTTCTATACATCTATAGCCTCGTATTTACGCTCGCGCATCCTTCGTGGCTCCTTCTTCGCGCGACACCGCGGATAAAACGCGGCGGAGACAGGGAGGGTCCTTCGTGTCGCGGCAAGGGCGAGCGTCCGTCATAATGTTTGTACAATGATCTCACAGCCGGCGCTAGCGACCGACACGATCACGGCCGATTTATTCTCGCACACCATCGATAAAGTCCACGCGATAAGGTTTAGGCCAGCGCCTTTTCACCCGGTCAGACTGGATAAATTTGGGTTAAGTGAATCTAACTTTGCACTTTGCTTTCTCTCTTCCTCTCTTCGTACTCACTCACACTGTCTCCCTCTCTTTCATTCCGGACTATAATAGACAATGAACGAACATTCGTTTAGCCCAAGTTAATGCCCGGCAATATTGAAGAAGTGTTGGTGCGTTTGTGCTGCTCTTACGTCACATTCAAGCACCGGTCGCGAGCTTTTCAAGCACGATTCTCTTCGTCTCCTTCGTCGCAAAGGTACAAAATCGCAACACTTGCGATTTATTCGACTCGTTCGATGCGCATTGCGATCAGCCTGATGCTTATCACACCATAGGCGCGCGTCTCTACGCGATTCACCGCATCCCGATGTCCAATATCATTTTTTTTTTCTTTTTTAATTGTTTACGATGATCCCCTTGAGTCCTATTTTTCGATAATGCGACATCACGGCTAACCAATACGTCAAATCGCGCAAAATCGCTGGTCTTCAATCGCCTTTTTACCTTGAGACTCGCCCAAGATCGATCAGTCACTCGCGTATCGATTATTTCCAGGTCGCACGATATACAAGTTCGAGCGATTGAGAAGTCGATAGCTATAGTCGAGAATGACATATCGATATCGCAGCGTTTACTTCACGGCTCGTCCGACTTTTTGTTGTAGCGCTCTGGCGCACTGGTAGTTATGCAGTACCGTTGCTTGTTGTTGCGTGTTTTCTCTTTTTATCCATGTAGCGACCATCTGTCAACGGCAGCGGAGTCGTTTACGAGTAGTTTGCTTCGAGACCGCGCGCGAAACGCGAATCGCATGACGATCTCTTTCGTTTTATACACCTGACAAGTACGCGAAATCATTCTACAATTATGATCATGGATCGTTCCTTTTTGAACGTTATAATCCTCAGCTGGGGATTTATGCTGATGTTTACGGCGTTTCAAACAATGGGCAATATAGAGGTACGTACGCAAAACGGCGGCACACGTGATTGTGTTACTATTACTTACGTCGCGCTCACGTATTTCTTTTCATATACAAATTGCGCACTTAGGCTAGTTGGAAGGTCCAGTCTCAAAAAAGTTATTTTTGACAGATTGACAATCAATTCTTAAATTTATGTTGATCTTGATTAAGATTTAAAACAGAATAATTTACTTATAGAGCTATTTGTTTTTGTTTTGAAAGATTGTTAATTAATTATAACAAATGACAAAATGCAGATGTTTGCCGCTCAATTTCAAGTCGAAAATTTGTTTTGGAAGTTTTTTTCGAATGTGTTGATATATTTGATTATATAAATTCGAATATATTGTCAAATTGAATGATTGATTTGTAGCTTTGAAGCACATTTAATAATATGATCAGAATAAAATAATTAAGACAAGTTCATAATGTTCAATACATTAGTGAGATTAAAAACAATGTTTTTTTATTCCAATAATTAATTAAAATATAATATTTTGTAGAAATATTGTTTTAATTAATTTTATCCATAATGTAAAAATGCATAATTTAAAGTAAAGTCTGCTACATATTAGATTAAAATCGTAATTTTAAATTAAAATAATTTGTTTAAAAACTAATTAAAAATAATTAAAAATTAAAAAATAACATAGAATTGATCAGTTTTAATTGGAAATAGTGATTATATAATAAATATCTGCAATTTTAATACGGCATATTTTTATGTAGCCCGAATATAAAAAAATTTATAACAAAACCTGTCGCACTCTAATGCATAGCACTGTTAGGTTAATAGCATGATTGGATAATACCCGGTGATCGGTATTGAGTCTTTTTTTAGAGCATTTATGAAGCGGTACACTTATATACGTTTAGTTATTTAAGTGCAAGCGATTTATCTTAGTTACTTTTGTATTCTTACATTTGTATTCACTTGTTGATCTGATAACCTGATTTCATTTAGAATAAATGCATTAGGAATTAATTTTGCTAAATGTTCCGGTATCGAACATTTGATTTTACGCTCCGGCCGTAACACGATAAAACATTCGCATTGTTTTAAAAAGTTTTAGAAAGTATCGATCGGACATTATACCGCGTGATTAGCTGTGGCTTAGAAAGTGCCGCAAAAGGCAAAGAGTCACGATCGCCGCGAGGCTGGAACGCCTCTAAATTCTTTAGATATCGTTTATCGACTGCTTTCGGCGTTGCAACACGCATATAATTAATGTAACATTACGCATATTACAACGCGTTACGGGAAATTGTGGGACTTTTTGCTAGTGATTATGTGACGTTCAGACCGCTAATTGCTAAAATTATATTAATTTCAACAATGCATATATACACAAGTGATTCTATCTCGCGATATTTAACAGTATCGTCACATCCTGTTATTAAAAAATGTTTCTCCTTCTTTTTCTCTCATATTTAACAAATAAATTTAGAATTTTGTTCCATGTTTTAATTTGGAACTTGATTATTATCTTGTGCGATCTGAGATTACTTATAATGATACTGTTTTTTTTTTTCACTCGACTTTCTCGCATAAACTTTTAAACTTCATACTTTAGTACCAATATCTGAAAAAGACTTACATAATGTTTTCCGGAGTTCATCGCAATTTACGCGGGTGCTGGTAGTCCGCTAATGTTCCTTAGTCATTACCGCTGTTATCTGCGATACTTATAATTGAGAAGTATCCTCTCGCGGATAAGTGGTATCTGCATTTATTTAATAATGCGTGGCGAATTGATGATCGCCGCATGGTGCAACGGTCTTTGTTTGCGCGCAAATTCATCGGCCATCAACAATATCACGTTCGATTAGCTCGCAAAAGGCGTAGATTAGCTGAATTATTCTATGCAGCAGCGTAGCTCAGGTCTACCGGCGTGTAGACTTCATTGATGATGTTCAATGGCGCATCGTTCTGCCTGTAAATTTTTATGAGAGTAAATAAAAGAGTTACATATTAACATGATCATGAGAACTTGTAACGTACGCAGTGATAAGAGAATTAATTATTTAGAAATATTTCGAAGTTAATTATAAGGTTTTATAATCTCGTTAAATCTTTTTAACTTATTTTGCAAAATTTTTATTAAAGTTTATTCTATTTGAAAAATATTAATAAAAGTTATATTTGTGGCAATTATTGAGTTGCAATCACTTTCGTGAATAACACATTTCTAATAGTAATTCTCATATCTTTGTGTAACAGTTTTATGATAACACAGATAAATTTATTTTTCGCGTTGATTATGTCAATCTTTCAAGATATTAATTTTTTATTTAAAGGTTCAAAGATATTAATTTTCAATTGGAATTTCGCGATCGATATCATCTTTTCGTACGTGATATTAAATTGCATTTATGCTTATGACTTTTAATGAGCGATGCGTCGTCCTTCGCCTCGAACGTGTTCGATATAACATTTCTGTTGGACTAATTCGACGTTAATTACGAACGATATCGCGCTTAGCCAAGTTGCAATCGGGTCATTATCGAATGGAAACTGGCGATCGTCCGTCGACGCGCTGTCGCCTTATTCTAATCGGCCCATCAAATTATGCGCAGAGGAAAAAAAAAGTGGAGAGGAGGATAAACAGCGAAGGAGAACGGATGGAGGAGAAAGTTTCGCCGGTGCGGAATAAAATGCATCCTAGACGTGCTCCGATATAATTGCATCTGTCGAGAAACCTGTCCGAAACAACCGACGCAACCGGTTCCGGCCGAATTCATTTCGCGTTTTCGCGTACCCTTCGCCGTGTCGCAACTCACCGAAAGGATCATAATGACTTGGAATTCTCGAAATCGAGATAATGCGAGAGAATCCTCGGCACATCTACGTTGTGCGTTCAAAGAAATATGTAAAATGGGACGCCTTCTCGGCTGATGTAACTATGCGAGGCACGGCACAGTCCCCTTTCACTTTTAGGCTCGATAGGGCGACGGGAGAAAAAGGGTGGGCGGGAGCGGGAGTCCGTGTCGAATGACATTAATTATCTACATGACAGTATGTTCGCGGCGGAGTATTTTCACAAACTCAACTTTGATAGCCTTTTAACTACCGATGTTTAAGTTATTTCAGGTATAGGTTTTATCTGTAAACAGAATAATAGAATATTAGCGTTAATTAAAGTAACAATAACATTAATTAAAATACGGTAGTATGCGTAGACGTGGAAAGCTTCTGCTGTTTGTTATGTAAAATACTGCCGGAAGAGATACGAGCGAGATAAGAAACACTCGCGTGGAATAGACAACGCATTATTTTATGTTATTCCCAGACTTACACTCATAAGTATGTTTATGGCACGCTTTTATGTAAATTAGACGGAGGAAAAATTTTTTGAAAAATATAAATAGCGACATTGAAACTCGGTGAAACTCGAAACGTTTATTTCCGCAAGAACTTTTAACAAATGCGGTTACTGTTTAATTTGAATAATGTTGAATTTCTATCTAACAATATTTAAAAGAATTAATTATTAAATATTCCTCGCACTTCCTTCATCTACGATCCGTTTCTAGAGCGTTTCATAATGTAAAATATTATCTATATGCAATCTTTTAATAGTAGAATAAATATTATCGAACATTATTATCGGTATTCATACTTTGCACCCGATTGTTATGTTGTAAAATGAGGTTACAAAGATATTTATTAGAAAATATTATCGTTATCTTACCGAAAATATATCTCGTTTATTTGTTATTATCGCTTAAGTCTTGATAATCGTTATCTTGACATAGAACATTGCATTCATGAAAATGTGATAAACATAATTAATAGATGATTGCAATCAACAGGATATAGCGACCCAAATATTTAGCAAACTTGATATCAATAATAATAATGATAATAATGATAATGATAATCAATCATTTGATCTAATCAAAATGACTTGAATCAAATGAAAATAAGAAAATAAAGTTAAATCCATCATTGAAAACTGATTTACTTATATATGTTTTTTAGTATATTATGTTGTATAATGTTCTACAAAAAATATCTGTGTTGTAACAAAGTTGACAAAAATATCTTATTTTGAAGTCAAAATTTACTTGAACTTGTGGCCTGTAACGATGATAATACTGTACATTATAAGCAGCTAATGCGATCAATATTATGTGAAGTATACTGATAATTTTTAAAGCGCAAACGAGAATTAATTCCACGCTGTTTACTATAAAATAGTCTGTCGTAAATAAACAACTACTTTCTTGCATGTGAAAGTGGTTGAAACTATGACATCGCGTTTAATCGTTTCGATCTAAATACCAGTAGCGATAAGTGAAATCACAAACACAAACACATTACATACAAATCTCTGAAGTTTGATCAAATGATTAATTACGTGTTTGAAACTATTTTTCGTCACGAATATCATATTTTTATAACATTTCTGAATCTTACCTCTAACGATTTTAAAATTGAATAATATCGTCGAACCCTAAGAGATTCTTTCTGAAAGATCCTGTATCTTTCTTTTTTTCACATAATGAGATCATAAATCGAGATGATTCTTTTCTGTGTATAATTAGTATGCGTTACATGCAGTTCTCTCACACGTGAATCCGCACATTTCTAATTCTTAACAGTATGTCGGAGGAATGTAAAACAATGTATTTTTTCCTATGGAATTGGTATTCTGTGGTTATCCTTGAAATATAAATATAATTCTGTTTTTGTAGGTAAAATACAGAATAACCAGTTTCAGGATTAACAAAAGATACCGAAACAAGCCATTCCAAGCGTATTCTTATCACACGCATTTTATTGACATTTTTCGGATTCTTACCTGCCCCTCGTTTGGTCACTTTCAGTTTCTCACAGGATGATCCAGCTATAGATATTATCCGGGATGCTATTTATATCACTCCTCATCCTGAAATATAAAATAACTTTGTTTTAATAAAAACTCAAATTTCATTCATTTTTGCGCATAAAAATATTCAACACTAAATATAGAATATTTTTAGTTAACTTTCATTCAAATATATTCGTAAAAAAAATGCCGATTCCAAAATTAATCACGTGTAATAAGAACGTGTCCTTAAAATTCCGAATCATTCAAGGACAACTTACAAGGCACAACTTATAAGATACAGAGTAGCCTTTCTTCTCATATATACATGTTATAAGCAATTCACCAGTTGACATTTCTAAGTCGATCGTGGATAAAGCGCAATGATGCATGATCGATAAATATACACGATAGGCGCTTGTTGGAAGTTTACTGCAGCTTAATATATATTAAATCCACATGTTGACTCCCTAATATTTCTATCCGCAGAAAACTGTCCTGGCCAGCATCCACGAAGATGATGATAGCTTCAAGGGCGATGCTTATATCAGCTTGGCGATCATCTACGGCGTGTTCGCGACTTGCAACTGGCTGGCGCCGTCGTACATCTCGGTGACAGGGCCGCGAGTGGCGATATTCACCGGCGCCTGCTGCTACGTCCTGTTCATCGCCTCGTTCTTCTGGCCGCATGACGCCCTCCTGTACAGCGTGTCCGGCGTGGTCGGTGTCGGCGCGGCCTTCATATGGACCGGTCACGGTCAATACCTGACGGAGAACAGCGACAGCGACACTATGGCGCGAAACGCCGGTCTGTTCTGGGCGATTTTCCAGACGTCGCAGTTCGCCGGCAATCTCTTCGTCTACTTCATCTTCAACAAGCCGAAAATCGATGCCGACCAGCGTATGATCGTCTTCGGCGTGCTGACCGGCCTGGCGGTGGTCGGCACGGTGGTGCTGGCCTTGCTGAGACGATCGCCGCAGAAACTATCGCTGGGCGAAGCGGAGGGAGTGTCCAGCGCGGACAAAGAGCTGCGGATACCGGAGCCGACGCGCAAGGAGCCTCTGTTGGCCGCCTGGCACGCCTTCACAGACGCAATCCGACTCTTCGTCACGCCGAACATGCTGCTGCTGTCGCTGACGTTCATCTACACCGGTCTCGAGCTCACCTTCTACTCCGGCGTGTACTCCAACAGCGTCGGCTTCACCAAGGCGATGGGCCCGCAACGTAAAAGTCTCGTGGGGCTGTCCGGTATCTTCATCGGTCTCGGCGAGGTTGTGGGCGGCGCGATCTTCGGCATCCTCATGCCGAAGATATTCACCCGCTTCGGCGGCTGGCCGGTGATACTCACCGGCTTGTTCATGCATCTCTTCGCCTTCATCAGCATCTTCCTTAATTTGCCGAACGAGGCGTCGTTCGCGGAGACCGACAAGGAGGGCTTCGTCGCGACTTCGCCGATCCTCGCGATGGCGGGCAGTCTCACTCTCGGCCTGGGCGACGCCTGCTTCAACACGCAGGTCTACTCGCTGCTGGGTGTGCTGTTCGTTAAGGAAAGTGCGCCGGCCTTCGCGCTTTTCAAATTCTGTCAATCGATCGCGGCGGCGATCAGCTTCTTCTACAGCACTAAAGCGGGGTTGCATGTACAACTCGCGGTGCTGTTCGTGACTATCTTCCTGGGCTCAACGGCCTTCTGTTACGTTGAGTACAGAGCGAAAAAGGCGAAGAATGAGGCTCCACAGGAAGTAGATCCGGCGCTGGTCGATGCTACGAGCGGCGAGGACTGATAAGGCTAATTAGATGTATTTTTAGGGTACGAAGAACACAGCGGGATCGGAAAGATCTCGGCAGCTCTCAGCATTGCGAAGTACGGAAAATTATTTCGTTAATATGATGAGTAGCTCGCAACAGCTCAAACCAGCGTTAAGGCAAATTATTTTAATATATATTTTGCACTTTTTTTTTTAGATATTGTATTACGTCCGAATCCTTCCATAATTATTAGGGACTCTTTGCAATGTCGTATTTTAAATGCGGTAAACATTAAAATGTTGAACTAGCTACGAGCGATTTATTTCTCGAAATGTATTGTTGCAAAATGTCTCTATTGCATATTCAAAATTTTAAGCATATAATCGTGTTATTAAACAAAGATATTCGGAAATTGTCGAATGTAATCATGGCCTTCCAGTTTCTATATGAATATTCTCGACTTCTATATTTTTATCTTACAATTTAAAGTAACCATATTTTTAATTTATTATTATTTTTTCAAGCAATATCTTTTTACGTATGCAAGTGTGTCAAACATGTCAACGTTACGCTGCTTAAAAAAAAAAAATGAAAAACGTTGTCTTGAAAGCGTCTTAAAGACATCAAGTCACTCGGTTTCTCATATGTTATTAGAATGCAAAAAGTGTCAACAAGCTGATCGATCATCCTTTTCACACACAAACTCGAAAGCTGTGTAAACAGGTTTTGCATTCGTCGCGAGATTTGTAAGATAAATTTTGATTCATTCGATTCTTCGTTGTTAGCAGCAATTCTCAATTTTGCAATGCACTGCGATTTTCACGTTGTGAATAACTAGTCTGTAACACGAGTCTGTCACGAGACTCGCGTTTAACTAGTCCGTAACGCAGTACAGCGACCTTACGTCTGATTTTATGTGTGCGTGCGTGTGAACGTACAATGTAGCATTCACGGCTCAAAACTCGATTGAATTATCCGAGATCAGACTTAAGGACCTTGTTCCTTCGTTGATCGACACTTGCCACAAGTGGCGAACGCGTAGATTAATGGCGTATGCGTGCAGGATGTATTAAAAGTCAGACACCTTTCTCGCAGCTCCTCGATAGATCTACGGTATTAAAACTTTTAAAAAATTAATGAAAAATAAAAATACTAGAAAATCGAAACGTGAATCAAGCAAAAACGGTATAAAACCTGTTACGATTGAAATTTTTCATTGATGAAGCTTTCTTGTAAAAATCTGATCGCATGACTTTCAATGCATCCTCTTTATGTACGAATATCACCACACATTCTATCCTTCATGTTTCTGTAGAGAAATGTGTTAGATCAATTATATATATATATCAATATATATATTTAAGATAAAACGCGATTAAATATAATTAATAATAATCAATTATTCTCTCGACAATCAAAATTTCACCGATGATATTTGACTAAAAATTTGTATACGAGACATCGTACTTTTCGAAGAAGATTCTAATGCATTCCTGCCAGCGTGATTTTTGTAAAGAGAAAAGAGGCTCAGTATTTTCGTGCGTAGTCTTTCGCTTTGTAGTCCATTACATTCCGTAATGTAATACAAAATGCCTTTTATTTACCATGTAGAAGAATTTTATCGTGGGACACGCGTAGAGAACAATTATGGTTCATTTTAAAAACACGTTCTTATCACGGATGATTAATCGAGAATGATTATTATTGTTTTTATCGCAGAATAGTTTATGAACGAAACTTTATATATATGTACATATAAATTTACCATAATAGACAATATAATGTATATACATATATATATATACAAAATCGATAAACTATGTTATTGATATGTGATTGTTGTTGGTAAAAATATATTTATAATATTGTATAGTCACTTTTTAATTCTGTTAATTTTCCTGATAAAAGAAGAGACATGCCAGAAGTGCCCTTCCCTTATTTATAAGTCTGTAATATGTTAACTAAAGAAATATGCCAATACTTGATGTATAAAGAAAATTAAAATTGTCACAAGTTTCTTTACAACTTTTCAACTTCTAAAATTGTTTCTACAAAAAATTATTTAAAAAACATGACATCTACATATATATTAAAATTCATCCACTACATCTACATAAATGTAATAATTCTTTCTGAGTTTTTCATTGATTTATTTTTATATTACTCATGCAATGAATCATAGTATATCACTTACATATCGATAAGCCATAACTTATCAGTTTTTAATCATCGAGTTGACAAAGAGCAGCCACACCTCGGTTGATCCAATGTGATTCATCTAGATCCGTCGGAATCAGTATATAAAGTATAAAATTGGAGGAATGCCCGGTAGTAGCCAATACGCCGCGTCTAGCGCTCGTTTTGTACACCGGACAATGGTAGACATCTTTTATATCAAATTTGGCCTTTATGCCGGGCTTTAGCCATATAACAGGTAGAACGTCGAACATTATCTTGGGCTTGGATTCGTCTAGCAATCTCTTCTTTCTGTTCCACCGAGCTCCTTCCAAGAAAAGACCCTGAAGAAAACACATTATGGATAAAGTCAATTACAAATCGAATACGTCTTATCGCAAAATAAAGTTTTGATTATTCAAAAGTTTCCGTACGATTGTATAAACGCCGTAAGAAGGAGCGGCATCGACGCTCGTCTCGAACGGAGTGATCTCGAATTCGAAGTCCAGATGATCGATCGGTATCTTGTGTTTGCGAGCATAATTCTGCAGCACCGCCGTCAGAAACGATTGTGTGAAGAAAAAGCCGGATATCCAAAAGACGTTAGGTACGTCGTGGTCGATCCAATCTTGCAGAAACTGCAGCCTTGCTAGCAGATCGTTTACGTAGCTGCCAAGAGGTTTTAGCGAGGGATACGATTTCCTATCCCAAGCGAGCGGTACTTTACCGATGCTCATACTAACATAGACTTCCTCCAATTCTGGCGACATTAGCACTTGCCCTTTAATGGCCTTCTGTACATTGCTCAACGTTTCCTTGATGACTACAGTGAGTTCGTTGAATCTAACAAGTTCCTGGCGCAACACCGTGTTCATGCTATTCATGTAAAGCACCGGATATTTGCTCGACACGTATTCAATGTCGAATTGCGGTCGCATCTTCGATAGGATTTCACTGGCCAGAACAGAAACCATTTCGTCTGTGTCTTTTTCGACGCCTGGAAAAAAATTAATAAAATAAGCATGAGTAATATTACGATTATAAGGACGAGGGAATATTAATAAATCTGAAATGTAATTTAGAATTATATAATACAAAAAAGTAAAGAAAAATTTACTCGCCTACTCCGCTGATTTGCGGTTGGGTCAAAAGCGCACCGGCCAACAACTGCATCGCTTCCCGATTATCCTTCGCTATGTCCGCGTTCTCGTGCAAACCGAAAACTTCCGGTAGCTGATTGATAGGTAAGCTGCGAATATATTTCAGGCATTCTTCGTAATCGGTGTCTTCCGGCATGTGATAAATGCCACTCGGTGAAAAGGAATATCTGCATTATAAGATATTCAAAATTGGTATTATACAGAATTATGAACACAGCTTAAAAAGTTCAAAATTTGAAGTCGATTGCAATAATTCTTAATGAAAATTTAATTATCTTAAATATCATCTTTCTTATAACTTTTTATTTTAAATTCTTGGCAAATTAAAGTTTTGTAAAAATAAATTTTCACTGTAATTAGATATATAAATTATATATATTTCCTTATTTATAATTTTAAGTAAAATTTTACTGTAATGATTATCAAACTAGTCAAAGAATATACTTTCTAAATGTTTGAATTCTGTGTAGTTCTATGTGTTAAAAATAAACGATATTACTTATTAATTATAACAACGTCAGGATTATAAAAGTTCTTCAGCAGCGAGTTCAGCAAACGTCTATCCTTATCATCGGTCACTCTGCCGCCGTAGTTGCATTCTCCCGTTAAGTATATGAGCGCATCGAATGGTATTTCGAGATAATCGTTCAAGAATAGCTATAACAAGACAGCAACGTCATATTTCAATTTAACAATCGTAACAATTAAATTAATGAAGAAATCGCCGACATACTTGCAATTGTAGAATACTGATGCGTAAATCAGACTCGTTGAACTCGTAAGGTATGTTCCAACCGAGCGGACCGAAATTCCGTCTCTCCTGCACCACCGCGTGGAAGAAGCAGAGGGAAAACAGCAACTTCCGCCATTCCACCATCTTCGTGCACTCGCGGAAGAACTTGGGATCCGAGATGGGATCGTTCAGATAACTTCGCAACAGATTGCTCTTCAGCCCCTTCGGCGGCTCGTTCGTCATCTTGACGCCGTTTTGCAGTATAGACACCGGGAATCCCTTGGCTGGATAGCTCGTCAGCCAGATCCGGAAGTTCGAATGCGCGTTTTCGGGCACGATGACCTCGTCGCATATCCGATCGAGCTCCTTCATCCAGGAAATGGCGAGATGACAGTTCTGTAGAATGACCCACTCGCCGCTCTTGATGCCTCGCTCGATCATGCCGGTCGCGATCGGTCCCTGGCCCTGACCCAGCGATATCGTCATCAGGTTCCTCTTCGAAATCCCGCGATCCTCGGCGAATTTGATCAGGCCGGCCATCGGATCCGAGCCGGGCGAGAGCACGAAGATGAGAGGCGTAACGTTGCTTGAGTCGTCGTAGGAGCTCTGAAGATCGAAGGGCGGCGGTTCGACGAACGGCGTGCCCATGTGACGAATGACGAAAGCCTGCACGGCGCTGACTAGCTTGTCCGTCCGTACGCATCTCAGGATCACGAGTTTCCTCAAGCTCTCGTCCTCGTGCTCGAACGGCGGTGGGAAAGGATGGTCCTGCGGATTCGGCAGATCGTAATACACCTTCCACCGCGATATGTTGGTCTGAAAGGACTCTCTCAGCTTTTCGAGACCCGGCAGAAGACTGGCTCTGACGACTTCGGACCAGGATTTCTCGGACAGCCATGAGGAGTCGGGATTGGGATAAGGATTGTCCAGAGCGACTCCACCTGTCAACAGAAAGACCCAGAGATCCTCCTCCAACTTCTGAGAAGCTCGCATCAAACCGGCGCAGAGAACCAGAGAGAATATCAGCTTGTCTTTCTCGAAGAGAGAGCGGCACACGTTTCTATAGATGCTCGCCGTAAAGTACGAATTGAGACTGCTCATCCGCAAGTCCAGATCCTTGGATCGTCCGCTGTGAGTTATCGCCATGACGTAGAGATGAATGAACCACGGTAGCGAATACTGATACATGGGATCGATGTTGGCGAGCTCGGAGATGCAGAAGAAGAGGACCGCGCCGTGCTTCGAGACGGGCGCGTAGCCGTTGCGAGCCGTGTCTATTTCCGCCGAAGTCTTCACCGCGACCTGCTGCTTCGCCTGAATGTCCTCCGACAGCGTCTTCGACGTCGAGAGTATCTTGATGGCGGTCTCGTCCTCGAGAATGTTGCCCTCCGACGTCGTGAGGACCTCCAGGATTTTGTCCTCGATCTCCTTCAGGATCCTTCGATTGTTCGCGCCCTCCACGATCAGCTGATTCTTCTTCTCCTCCAGCGTCGGCAGCTCCTTCGCCACGACTATGCCCAACAATTGATCCTGCAGACCCTGCGGCGTGATCATGAAGTTCAGCAATGTCACCTTCACCGCGATCTCAGGCAGATAATGCGGATTTCGCAGACGCGTGGTGATGTAAAATCGAAAATTCGAGTTGTACTCCAATACGACCTCGCCGAACTTCATGTATAATATTCCGCGTTGCTTGTATACGTTCTTCAGCAGCACGGGTTCTAGAATTGCATCGATCTCTTCGACAATGTTCTCCAGTAGCACCGGAATGCCTAGTTGAATAGACATTTCCATCACCCTCGCGTAATTCGGATCCGTGAGTTTAATCACTGCCAATTTGTTGGGCTTCTCCATATTTTTCACCCACTTGTTCGCCTGATTCTGAGGGTCGATCATGAGCGGCCATCGATCGGCGTGCTTTACGATTATCCCGTTCTCCACGGAGAAGTTGTCGGCTGGCAGGCCATGAATAGTCCAGCTTCTGATCTCCACCGGTTCGCCTAATATGTCGATCAGATTGAACCTCGCGCCGCACGGTATCGCCGCTTCCACGCAAGAGGCGTGCCACTCGTTGATCAATTTATTTCTGTACTCCACCGTGAACGCCCCTAGATAAGCCACCATTCCCGATGACAGCAGAACGTCCCCGATCACGTTGTCGAGACTGGCGCCCAATTTGCCGGCGGTTTCGCTCCATCTGTCCTTCTCGCCGCTCAGACCGCCCAGCAGCTTCTCCGCTCGTTCCAATTTCTGCGTGCAGTAATCGATTTGATCTTCAAGCTTCTTCTTCTCGCGCATACACTCGGCGAACTCGTCGTTCAGCGACTGCAGTTTCTGCGTCACTTCCTGCAGGAGCGTCCGCTTGGCGTTGAGCGTCTCCATTTGCGCGGCCAGCGCCGCCTCGGCTTCCGCCAGCATCGCCTTCTTCGGCGCCACGACCTTAATCACGCGATCGTACACCTCCATCGCGCGTACCCACTTGCACAGACCCTCGCACGCGGTGGAGACCTTCTTGATCGCTTCCGGTTGAAAGCTCGGATGATTCATAAACTTCTCGCGGATGCGCTTCATGTACGCAGGCGGAATGTTGTCCTTGTCGAAGTTTTTCAAGCTCTCCAGAAACTTCATATCGCCTAGAATCTTGATGGACGCGGGCCAGTAGTCGTCTACCATCTGGCCGGTGGTCGGATCCTGAACTCGGTCCGGTTTCACGCCCTTCAGCACGCAAACCGCCTCCATGACTAATCTAACGCCGGCCGGCGGGCTCTTCATCGCCTTCACGATCGTGATATCCGCCGGTTTCAAGGTGTCCAACGCAGCGAGGGCAGCTTCCAGCGCTGGTGTGGCTTCCGCCAGGTCGCTCTCGCAGTCGTCCTTGATCGCCTGAGCCGCTGCGGCCGCTTCGTTCGCCAGAGCTTCGTCAGCCGCCACGATTTCCTTTTTCGCTTCCACATTGATGGTGTCTTGTTCGATGCGGATCATCAGCTTGTCGCTCAGTTGCGATTGCGCCAGTAATTTCGGCTGAAGCTGCTGCAGCTCATCCTGCATAACCGTCACCTGGCCGGCGGCGAAGTCCAGTTTTTCCAGGCCGGTCTCGTAGCGGTTCTGCTGCACCGTGATCTGCTCTATTTTCTGCCCGTACAGTCTGTACAGAGATTTGATCAGCTGCAGGAAGCTCGTCGGCGTGACGTAGTACCGTCTGCCGTACGTCAGATAGTAATCCTCGCTCGTCACAGACACGCTCGTGTGAAACTGCTTGCATATCTGTACGCACTTTTCTCGCAACTCCGAGCCGATGTCCAGATCCCTTAGAGATGTCCTGGCTACTCTCTCGAGAGCGTCCTCCGGCCACAGAGTGTACCAGTCGATTGTGCAGCAGTTGATGAGCGACGGGAACATCCTGAGGCGGTTCCGGAAGGTGTCGCCGATCGGCGACATTGTTAGAATTATGTGTAGATTTTTTTTTATCCGTTCGATAAAAAGATTGTAAAGCGCCATCGGCGTCGTTTCTACTTTTCGCCCGCCGCTCGTGTCTCGCGCCACAGTCATCATTTTGTCTAGTATCTCCGCCTTCTCTTCCACTACGTACAAATTCGGTACGTCGGCGGTGTTCAGGACCATGCTGATATCCTCGATGAAGGACTCGTCCTTAATTTGATGATCGCCGAAGAGGAACGCGGTGGGTTTGCCGTCGCAGCCAACGCGTAGCAACAAGTTCTTCAAATCTTCTCGCCACTCGGCCGGTCCGTACATCTTCGTGATCTCGATTTGGTATATCAGGTATTCACACATGCTAGTCGCCAGTCGGGCGCAGGAGTTGCGACCGGAACCGCCCACTCCAACCAGCAGAGCGTGACCCTTATCCTGCAATAACACCCGGGAAACGCGAGAGATGTGCTCAACGGCGTATCGAAACAGCACTAAGTTCATCGGCGTTTGCGACACCGCGTTGTACTCGGTCAGATAGTAGTCCATTTTCTCCTGAAGATTCTCGCGATCCGTCACCTCGTCGTACACCTTTGGCTCGGCGTCCGGCTCGATGTAATTCCCGAAGAAGAGGTCACATATGTGAGAGCTCGTGATCATTTTCTCGCCCGGTTTCAGCAAACCGGCGAGCACCTTGTCCAACGGCTGACGAAGCTGATCATAGCACGTGTGCCGCACCATCTTGAACAGCGTCTCGCGATCGGTGTCGTCTATCAATCTATCGTGGAACACTCGGTACACCTCGTGAATCCACAGCCTGATGAGCTTGTCGGGATCCCGCATTCTGGCAGCCGGGACCAGAAGAACGCCGCAGATAACTCGACTGAAGTCGCGCAGGTTGAACTTGTAGTGGCTTCTCGACGGCGTCGGGAGGAAGTTTTTGATTGCCGCGAGGAATACGTTCAACGTGGCGGTCACGACCATCCTGCTCAGCCGCGAAACCTCCACGACGAAGCCCTTGGCGAAGTGCCAGTCGAGAATCGACGAGAAGATCTTCGTCATCGTGGCTTCCTCGAAGGAATCGATGCCGACCACATACATGTGTCGGGTGAATCGTGGCGTCACGACGTTCGAGCCGCCTCCGGGCGGTATCATGGCTGCGATCAGCAGCATATCCACCAGCTGCAACATCGACGTGTCCTTCGGATCGAACCAGTATCCTTGATCTATCCATTGACGAAGTAACTCTATCGGCGGTTGAGCGCCGTAGATTTCCACCTGCGGCATGCTGAGGTCGTCCACGAACAATACGCACTTCTTTCCCATCGCGGGACCGTACACTCCCTTTCTCCTTCTGTCCAACTTTGACATCACTATCTCTTGCGTCTGCGGCGCGCTGGTACGCGCGCTGAAGTTTATAACGTTCTCCAGAAACTTTTCTCGAGGCAGCGACATCAAATAATCCAGCACAATCGCAGACTTGCCGGTGCCAGTCGGGCCCACAAACAAAACCGGCACTGATCTCTGCATGAATTTCTTCATGAAAAAATGCTGAATGGACATCTCGGTCGTCTGAATGATCAACTCGCTGACCTTCGCCGTTGCCGGTAAAGATACCTAAATCACACAAATTCTAAGTGTCATTAATTTTCTTATTTGGTTATTAAATTATAGATTTGAAACATTTATTTAATTAATTTAATTTATTCTTTAATTTTAAGTTTGTTTTAATTAAATCTTCCGATTTCACTAATATAAATAAACGACTCAAGAGCCATCGCTGATTGCGAAATAAATTTTATTTTCATATAGAAATTAATCGTCTACGAAGAGATATTAAAATTAAGTACATTGATGTCACGAAGAATCTTTCGATTTTAATTTTATTATAATTTTAATTCTTAATTTTCTATTATTAATTTATTTTCTTTCTGTTGATAACTATTTATCGAGATTAAAAATCTATATAAAAGTAAAAATGCAGATTTATCTCGATCATGAATGGTTTTCTAATACCTGCTGCATAGTGTCCATCCAGGATATCCAGCATCCGTTGTTTCTTTTGTCGAAAATCCAATCGTATACTGAACCTTTGTCGGCAAAAATTTGTGGTTTCGTCAACTTGAACGCTTTCGGCTTGGGATATTCTTCGATGTTGCCGAGCAGTAATCTTCGCAGATACACGTCAAACGTTTTTCTACTATCGCTCGTCAATGTCGAGCACATGCCCCAAACCATGCTAAAGAGTAATACGCACTGAAGCCACATTGTGCTCACTTGCGTTTCATCTGCCAGCATCATACTGAATACTTGTGTAAAAGACTATAATAAAACATAAATAATGTATTAAAATTATAATTATATTTTAAAATTGTATTCATATTTCATTAAAATTATATTAAGAAAAAATTTATTCTTTTCGCAAAAATTACTATGATTTCAATATTTTAGAAACAGAATTTTATAGAAAATTGTTTTTAGACAAAAGACGTGTGTTGAAATCGGTGCTATAAAATTTTATTGATTAATAAAAATTTCTATGAAACTATAATCTTATGATTCGATTTCTTTATAAATACGATAAAGATTTATCAATTTAATTTTATATAAAAAATTTAACAAATCAAATATAAATTTATGATATCTTTTGTATTACTTACCAAAAACATGTGAATTTCCGACATATCTATAAAAGTCTTGCAATTTTGTCGAATAAAACACAATATCGGTTCTGTCAACCACTCGACCAATTCGACGACGAGTTCGTACTGCTCGTACAACAATTTCTCCTTTAGATGCTTCTTGTAGGATTCAAAAATGGGCATCCAGCCCAACTGAGAGGGCTCCATGTAAATCATGCCGCATCTGCTGACGGTGGCCGGCGAGGCGTGTTCGAGGTCGGCCGTCTCGAACATCATGTTCATTCTGCCGGACATCTGTATAATCTCGCCGGACATGAGGCACAACTTTTTGTTATCGTCCAGCACGGTGTTCATGCTCTCGATCCAGATCGCGTCCACCGGACCGTCGAAGACGATCCACTTGCGCTCCACGGCGATGGACTGCGCGAATTCGCGAAACGTGTTCGCTAGCACGCCGTCGCTCCACTCGTGCGACACCGGGTCGAAGCTGCCGTACAGTTGATCCAGCATGATAGCCTTGGGATTGATCACTCGGTAGACAGTGCGATACTCTCTCATCGTGGCTTTTCGTATCCCCGACAAATCGCCCAGGGACTCCGCCAATGCTCTATAAGCCTGCGTCTTGCCGCCCAGCGCCGCGCCGACGATCATCAGACCGTGTCGCACGAGTATCATCTCGTAAACCTGCACGATCTTCTCCAGGTACCAGTCGGTGGCCTGGAGATTCCGCTTCTCCAGATTCTTCTTCAGCAACTCGACCAATTCGCCGCGGTTCGGCTGGGGCAGCTGCACGTCCGGGAAGAGGTCCGTGTAGATACCGTTGAAGAGGGAAACATCCTGCGACAGAAACTTGGGCAGATTAACGTCCACGATTGCGCGCAGAACGATGATGGACTCGTCGCGCGTCGGATACTTGAGCTTCAGATTGCCGGCCGCTATCAGCACCGTCTTGACCGCTCGCATGCCGTAATCGTAGTGCTTTTGCGAGCTCAGCTGCTCCGAGCACAATTTGTAAGTGTGAACGATCTTCTCCGCGAGACTCTTGGCGTCGGTGAAGCCGTACGAGTACAGGGTGATCTCGCCGATCATGGCGTAATCCGGCACCATCATCGCTACAGTGCGAAATAGCGCCTTCAGATTATCCGGCAGCTCCTGGCGCCCGGCGTAGCCCGGGTTCATCGTTATGATAACGTTGCAGGTGGGATTCAGCTTCAGTTCGGTGCCCTCGAACATGAATTTCTCCAGCTTCATGCTGATAGCCATCTGTATCGAGAGTATCTGCTGCGCGATTACGGACAGCACCTCCAGCTCGATCCTGTTGAACTCGTCGAAGCACGCCCAGGCGCCGGACTGAGCGATGCCCTTGAAGAACTTGCCCATCGCCTTGAAATCGAGTCCTTCCGAGCAGTTGAACACCACGCACTGCTTGGCGACGGCTTTTGCGAGATCCTTGGCCGTTTCCGTCTTGCCAGTGCCCGCCGGGCCTTCCGGCGAGCCGCCGAGGTTCAGCTTCAGCGCGCCCATCAAGGTTCTGTAGCATCGGTCGGTCAGCGGCGTGATTACCAGCCTGGACGTGTTGCCGAGATACTCGAAGGCGTACATAATGTTGGTCGTGATCATGGAGACGGTGATGCAATCGTCCAACCAGTAGTAGCGCAGCTGAGCTATCCAGTTGAAGTCCGACGGATCGTCCACCTGTTTGTCGATCAGCAGCTTCACCACGTCCCGCGCGTGCACATCTATCACGATCAGGGCGTTTAACGTGATTCTGGCGCCGGGGTCGAGCTTTCCGCGCACGAGGCTGACAATATTCTCAATCTGATCGTTGCATTTTTGCAGATAAGATGCCGTGGAGAGGTTCTCGAAGGAGTCGTACACCTCGTTGGTCCAATGTATCTGGCTGGCGCAGATGACGATCTGACCGGGCCACGCAAGCACCCACTCCTCGCGCTCCGTCTCGAAGTACGCGATTACGCTCTCCTCGGCGATGTCGCGCATTGAGATTGTCATGAGCTCCTCCACCTGGCACAGCCATCTCTCCACCATGCCCTTTGCGTCCGCCGGATAGATCTTGCCGCTCAGCGGTACGTATTCTTCCTCGGCTGACAGCATGCCGATGATCTCCTCCTCCTTGGTGAAACGCAGCCTGTTGATACCCTCGAAGCATTTGCGCAGATGCGGCTGCACCCGCTGCGGATCTTTCGTCTCAGACAGGATCTCCAGTAGTTCGTCATTTGACAGAAAGAAAAATCGCGGGAAGAACAAACGCTTCTTCTCCAAGTAGTCGTTCAGGCCCTTCTGGATTTCGTCGAGCAGCAAGTTGCACAGCTTCAGCTCCTGCAGCATGTTCGGCATCGCGGTCGCGTCGATCACTCGTCTGTTCTGTTGCACGTACAGCATAATGTTGCGCCAGATCTTGTCGATTCGGCGGAAGTTGCGCGATTCGGTCGGCATCTGGCGCATGATGTCCTCGCTGCTGAATATCGGCTCGAGATACATCCACGTGGCCTGGCAGAGCAGCCACTGATCGATGATGTCCTGCATCAGTATGAGCTTCTCTTCCCACTGCTGCATCTCCTCTTCGAACGCTTTGACGAACGGCGAGCCGCGCATGGTCTGCGCTTTGAGTATGTGATCGTCCAGCAGCACTTGTATGTCGTCCACGGCGGATAATATGGACACTCCGGTCTCGCGATAGGGTGTGAGTTCGAAGTACACCTCCTGCCACTCGTCCTTCATCTTGTACAGATTGCGCTGCAGAGTGTGCTCCTTCGTGGCCGCCGACGCTATTTCTTCCAGCTTGGCGATGTGAGCGAGCAGGCCGAGCTCGAGCATCTCCGACAGATTGCTGACGTCCGTGGGCATTATCGCCACGTCGACGGTCTTGCTGATGCTCTCCCAGTGCCGAGCCTGCAGCCCGGGCGTGCAGATGGCCTGCAACAGCGGGATGAACTGCCGGAACTTCTCCACCTTGCCGCGCACCATCTCGGCGACGCGTCTGGCGCCCGGCACGTCTGTGAGTACGCGCGACAGCTTGTACAGAACGCGCCACGTTTCCTCGGTCTCGTCGCGCACGCGCTCCGCGTCCAGACCCAGGAAAGGGCCGTAAAACCACCGGTCGTAGTTTCGATGGAAGTCCAGAGCCGTGTGCCAGAGCCGGTCGAAGGTGTCCACCGTGCCGGACATAGTCGGCAGCTCCACATACGGACTTAATTCTATATCCAGTAATCCCTCTTCTTCGTTGATCTCTTCGGCCTCCTTGCGAATCTCCGCCATGGTCGCAGACATGTGCTCGACCTCCTCTACGGCTTGCACCATTTCCTCCATCGTGAGGACCGGCGGATCCTTCCGCTTGAATTGATCAATCACCAGTTGCATAGTGACTGTCTTCTTCTCGAAGGTGTCCCGTCGCGTGCGCAGCACCGTCTCCAGGAAGTCCTTTCTCATGTTCAGTCTCTTACTCGCCAATTCCATCACCGTCTCCATTTCCTTCGGCCAGGTGATGGCGCGCGAGTTCAGCTGGATGTCTTCGTTCGTGGGTGGTTGGTGATTGAACAGGAACAAGATCAGTTCGATCGAGCGAAACAGTCGTCTTTTTAGATTGAACATCGTCGTGTCGCGGCTCTCGCACAGATAGTTGTACAGCTCGACGACCTCCTGCGTCGTTTCCGGCATCTTCGAGATGTTCTCCGCTATCTCGTCGAAGATTGAGCACAGGCCGCGATTATTGGCTCGCAGCTCGTCCGCGAAAAAATTGCATATTCTACTGCGAAGCGTGTGCAGGATTTCTCTCATCGCGTCGTTCACGACGCTGCAATCGATCTCGATCATGTTCAGCGGAATCTACGATGAGAAGATTATGTAAATCATTGCTTTTTTTTTTTTTAAGTACAATATTTTTTCGAATTGAATTAAAATAAACTACATTATTCGTTTTGTATAATATTATGTCAAATATATAAAAATAGTAAAAAAATATGTTCATAATTTAATTGTAAAGAATTATGGGCTCTTTTCCAAAACTTACTTTACATGGAAACATACAAATCTCCTTTCGCAGAGCGTCATACGCTTTTATCTGCTGCTCAAATTCTCGCAGCAATGGTGCCGGTTCAACCCTAAAGAAATTATCTAATTTTTTCTCAGCCACACCGCTCGTAATATACAATAAGTTTTGATAGCATGTGAGGTAATTTTCGGGACCAGGCATATGCTTAATGATGATGTCCAATATGTCAGTAATTATATTCAATACCTACATAATGCGATAAAAAAACATATGTTAATTTATCGAACATTAAACAAGATTTCTCATTACAATGCACAATTACCGAATCTTCTAATCGCAAGATGTGAAACAGGAAACCCGCGTCCTTCAATTCGGGAAACAGGATGACTTCAATCTTGGGTATCATAGTGCTCACTGCAATGATCTTGTTGAAACATCGCGAGATTATAGTGTGTAATTCCAGGATGCTCGGTTTGCAGTACAGTTTCGTCGTGCCGAGTTCCGGTTCCACTCTCACTGTTATGAAAGGAGTTCTACAATGTGATTTGTACTTGTATTTGAAATCACCAGACTGATAAAAATTTTCGCTTTACGTACGCGAGTAAAAGAATGATAAACTCTTACTCGAGAAACATGAGATCCTTGTAATCTCCTTCGAACGCGTTGCCAGCTCGATACCGTATGAAGAAGTCTCTCACGTCTTCCAGTGTCTTTATTATCATGATTCGCAGTTGCTTCGACAAGAGAGAATTGACACTGCGAAAATATTTCTCGATCAACACAGTTGACGCGTTGGGCCGTGTCTCGAAATATTGCGACCAGACGTCTTTCTTCTCGAAGAAGATCTCCGCCACGTCGGACAGCCATTCTTTTACGAGTACGTTGGTGGCGGCGTTACACAGGTTATTTAATCGCGGCTCGATTTCCGCAGCGGGAATGGGAAACGTTCCGAAATCTTGCATGCGAATTATTCTCATTTGATAATATCTAAAGCAGAAGATTCTTAATCTATATACTACAATACAAAAATATTTTAGGTATACTTTTAATTAACATTTCAAAACAAAAACTTCAGAAGAGAGAAGTTCTTCATTAAATTATCATATAATCTTACTTTGAAAACCATAGATCGCGAATGTCCCTCAATATCTCATTCCCGATGAAAAGATTGTGCTGCACGAAATGACCCGCCGTGACCTTGGACTGATGCCAAGGTACTGGTGCGCGAATACATAAAATGGGAAGTTCGACAGGCAGCGTCTCGATAGATAAACGCTTACACTCATCGGAGTCCATCAGAATGTAACTCACTATCGCGCTTCGAAGACTTTGTTTATAGTCATTGATTATTTCCGGCTCCAAATTTTTCGTTATCTTCTCGAAACTGTAACAGATATTTAAGAAAAGCAATCTATACATTTTTCTCAATAAAAAATTGACCTAAATACAATTTTAGCTCATATTTTTGCGGAAAATTGACCGTAAAATGTCGAACATTTTTATACTTTTTTTTCTGTCAAATATATTCAGGTAAATCAGAAAATGATTTAAAATTGATGTCAATGCACATTGCAAATAAACTATTCAAAATAAGTAGCATGAAAATGAATAATTAAATATAACAAAACGTACTTACTCTTCGCGTTCTTGCAATTTACCAATGATACGCCTCTTCGCTGCTTCAATATTAGTATAATCATATGGTTGTAAATGATGATCGCTTATACAATGATCTCGGAGATAAACTATTTTGGCAATATCCTCGGGTTTAACTAATCGATTCTGTTCTTTATCGACCATCGCCATTAATTCGTATAATTGTTCTTCTATGGATTTCGGCAGTTCTGCCTCGACATAACATACGATCTACAATGAAAAAAAATATAATTGAAAAAAAAATATCAACAAAAAAATTAAAATATTAAAATATCAATTGAAAAAAATTTAATTTGTTTTATTTAAAATACTCGAGAAATTTAGAAAAATGAATTACATTTATTTCTGATTACCTCTCGATCTGGTTTTCTCTTTGTCGCTCTAACTTTTTCCAACTCTTTCCTCTTCAAGGCTTTTGCCTTCTCGTTCTTCTTCCTCAGCCATGTACTGTCCGCTAAATCCTTTAAACTTACTATATTTTCAGGCAACGAATCGCGTTCTTTCTCAGCCATAGCAGCAGCTCTTCGTTTAACTTCCTCGTTGTGTTGTTCAATGAAGACGCGAGGAGGATTTGTGAGTACACCATCGGCACCGAAAAGATGCCATTGTCCAGGTTTCAAGGTCCTGGCTCGATAATGATCCATGCCAGGTGTAAAAGTACTGCTTACATCGTCGGTGGGCTTCACATAATTACGCCAATGCTTGTACGGAATAGTTTTTATCAACGAATCAATAGATTCTTGTATCAACTTCTGTTCCTTCGCAAATGATAATGTTTCCGGTATTTCCGGCGATGGATAATCTGTATGTTTTGCTACTGTTACATTTATCTTGTCCAAGCATATTTTCTTTTCCTCAGCCATATCTCTATCACTCAAATTAATGTATTAATCGTATAAAGTTACTAAAAAAATGTATTCTATATTTTTTATCATGTATATCATTGTTCAATATTATTTCTTTTAAAAAATGTATGCAATTCTCTGTAGACCTATTTGTCTGCACGCCTAATAGATCCGAGCTGTCAAGTAACAAGTACAAAGTAATGTCATTCTTAGCACAAATCCAACGTGTTATACATATTTACATCACGTAACTATAGCGACGGGAATTATTAGCAACCGGAAGAAGATATAAAACTGTAGATATTTTTCTTAATATTCTTTATATTAGAATAATAAAAGATTGTCTGTTAACATACATATTTTTTTATTTTAACTGCGCATGACTATGTAGTGTTACACAGTAACTATTATATTTTTATAAATTGTGAGTTCTTATATCAAAAATATATTATTTATACTCTAGAACGACAGTCTTAGTGTTCAAATTATGGCAAATCATGGAAACAATAGTATAATTAAAAACTAGAAATATCTATAAATCATAAATATAACTTTATATCAATCTCTAACCTGCGCTTTGGCTGCTTATCACCAAATTGTCAACTAACGCAATTATTTGTGGTCAACTTTCTTTGAAACTGGTCGACGGTAAATTACGTCGGCGGGGAATTAAAATCTCTTCATTTTCAGCAAGAGCATCTGATAAAAAAAAAAGAAACAATAAATTATGTTCAATCTTCAAAAAAATGCTATAAATATATTTATAATTCAATAATAAATGTGGCTTACGTTCATTGGCAAATTTAGTGAAACTTTTCATAAGAAATTGCTTATCTTGGGATTGCAGTAGCAGCATGTCCGATAAAATTTGCAGTACTTCTTTGCTCGCTTGCGCCTTCGCCCGCAAACAGTATACTGCAATACTTTAATAACAAAAAATACCCAATTAATAAATATATCTATATATCACGATAATATATAATTACAAAATATATTTACCACATGCCGACCAATATGGCAGCGCCAGTCGCCGGCCTCGTAAGTTCCGAAACAAAACTCCAAAATGCGCTATCTCTCCTTAACGATAACATTTCATCGACAATAAAGTCCCAAGTGTGAGAATAGTTTTGGAAGGGCCCGCAGTCATCACTTTCCACGTTCGTGATGATGTAGCCTATTGTGAGCAACACACCGATCATGCCGAGAAACGCGAGAGCCAGGAACAGCGTTTCTGTTTGCGCCGCTCGCCAAGGCTGCGATGATCGCGGATAGCATTTCTGCAGCTCGTACTTCTTCACGTAGAACGTGAAAATCAGCTTTATCACAATTATAAGGGACATTAGTGGGCTGAAGTAGAAGCCCATCCAAAAGAGCGTCTGATTGTATATTAGGTTCAATGTACCGCGAGCGATATCAAATTGCAGCCTGCCGAGTTTCATCAAAAATCTTTTGTGCAGCGTGAGGCGTGCAAATTGCAAACACGCTCCGAACACGGAAGCGATGAAGTCCAGTACAATTAGTCGATAGATCTCTTCTCCCAAATCCGTTTGCCAGCAATGCGATGTGCTCTTGATTATCCAGAAAGCAAATAATGTGCCGATTATCGTCGCGGCAACCGCGTGATTTCTGACCACTGTCATGTAGAGTTCCGTGCGTTTGTTGTTGTAGCGTTCTAGCAATGCCTGGCAAAAAAAAATGTTAATCAATTATTTTCTATCAGAACGTGCGATTATTACAGTAAAAAAAAAGAGATACTTACCAAATACGAAATAATTGCGGGAAAAATATGTATGATAGCAGTAATGACAGTCGGTACGATCATTACAGAGATAGTTCCAGGTGCTTCTAGATCGTGATGACCTAACAGCGTCCAAATGAGACCACCAGCGCCGCAAATCATAAATACAACAATAGCTGCCACACCAAGTTGCATTATCAATAACGAACACTTAGCGAACCAATGCTGATGCGTCTGTTGTCTTGTTTCTGCTAATAGCTCTTCTAGTTCTTTGTAAATAGATGCCGATTGCAAGGCAGCAATTTTTGACGAAGATATACTGAAGTCCCAGCCACAAAATATCTTGTTAGTGTATAAATCATGCACATTTCCACGTATCTCGACATAAGAGTTTCTATAAGAAGATATAACGCTGAAAAATAATGTATTGTTATTATTAAACGTTGAAGAAATATCTGCCATCTAATATTCAGTGTTCAATGATTTAATTTTATCACGTACTTGACGGAGAGTACGATAAAAGTAACTATGTAGCAAAAAAGCAGCGTTAACAAATAGGCAAACGGAATGCTATATTTGGTTCCAAATGATATCTCTATTGTGTCATTGGAATAAAAACCATAATACATTATTGTGTTGGAAAAAAAGCCCTGCAAATTAAAATATTGTGATGTGTGCATCATATTACTTATAAAACATGCTGCTTATAATACAACAATGAATACTTACACTGCCTGTTAAAAAATCTAATGCTTGAATATCACCTGGTATGTATATTTGGTCCAATGATTGCGGAATTACAATAAAAGATATACTGCAAACATAACACATTTGTAACATAAAATCAACATAAAATGTCATTTAATACGGTAATTTGAGTAAAGTATCTTTATATTAGTAATCTATTCTTCACCAGTCAAAATTATATATTTAGAAAACTTTAAATCAAAATTTTCGTCAATATATATATTTGTATTGTGAATTTCAAAGTGTAGTTTAAAATACAATTTATATACCTTAAAATGCAGGAAAATATATTTAGAAAGAGTAACCATCTTAGGAATTTAAAGTATGTCGCCACACCGCTTCCGCTGTGACTCTCAATGGCTTTTATTGTTTGATACCACATTAAATGTTTCATAGTCAATAAAAAGTTCTCCATTGCTACTCGAATCTGTATTATTTTTAAGCTCATTAGTTTTACAGTAAAATGTAAAAAGAATGACTTCAAAATCAACATTTCCTTACCTTTATAAGTTTTAAAATAATGTTATATTTAAACCACTTCCAATAGCTAATTGATTTTTTCTTTGTCTTTAGATTAACAGTTGCTAGCAGCTGCGACTTGACAAATCTTTTTATGGTAAGACACTGTGGTATTGCTTTTAAAGTTTCTATTCTAAATTTTTCTGCTGCAGGATCGTCATGCATAAATTTGTTACTTGATTGCAGGTGATTGGCAATTGCATTAGCACATTCCTCTTGTGACAACTCAGTAATATTGCGCATTCTTAAAGTAGTATACGGAATAATGGCATTTAAATCATGTGTCACATTGTACTTTTCACTCTCCCCTGAAAATGTAATATTCTACTTTATATTTATCTGTATCAATGATTCTGTGAGAATTTAGAGAATGACATATTTAGAAATATGCTTACTTGCAAATCTCATTGGCAATAGCTGTTGCATTTGAACAGTTCGATCAGAAGATTCTTCTTGAATTGCGGAAGACATCTTGATGTTAATGTGATGTTAACTTGAGCTAGTTTTTTTTAAAGAATAAAATTTGATAAGTGCATTAAATGACAGAAAATATCATTCACAATTTTACTTGTATTAAACATACTCACTTATATTTAATGTATTAGCTAAAATATTATCATCCGTCAACAAAGAACAATTATCGATCAATATTGGTCTCCATGTGAGTAATAAAGATAAAAACATTAAATATAAGCTTTATAAACATATAGTTTTCTATATCGCAATATCACAATGTAATCTATCTGTATCTCTAATGTGATTTGATAGAGATATTAAAAACTGATAGATAAAGTGACTAGATAAAGTATATTGATCTAGCGTAACAAAAGATTTGCGTATGACAAACTTTCTTTCAAAAAATGTATTTCATAAAATTAAATTTTCGACATAACAATGCATATAATAAAATTATACACCTATACGTTTCATTTCATTTTGACAAGAAATGATTCGATCTAAAAATACGAGAGGGCGTAGTGCACTGTCGCTTGGCCAACGCAGCCAATCGGCAGAATTGGCGGCATATTAAATTTATTTAAAATACCAACTTATTTAGAAAAAATATAGGCAATTGTGAACAAATAAAACGTTACAATTAATTATTTCAAAGCCATAATTACGATTATTAAGCATAAATAATGTAAATTAAAAATATAATTCCTAACATAGGTTGATCTTCATAATTTCAGGAATATTTATTAGTTTTCAGGAATGACTGGATAGGATAAACTACAGTAATAAATTGTAGTTTTATTATCATTATTATTATTACGAAAGACTTAGATTAAATAAAAAATATTTTCAACGTCACCCTTACATTGCTGCGCTTCAGGCTGCCCTAAATACTCTCATACGAAAAATCCAAATTAAGCTACAAGTGCTTTTTTCTTTGCAGCTTTGTAGCACGTGTGAAATTCGACGTTTGATCACCCAACAAATAGTATAGTATCATTGATACATTCTATCGTTAGTGCACTATAGTACTATTTTTTTCTTGCATCAATAAAGGGTATCCATATTAAGGTTTATATTATGTAAACCGTGTACAATAAGTTTATAGCAATTTAGAATCAATGCACAGCTGTTCAGTCAATGCACCGTATGAGTTGTTCTTTTAATCTCATAAAAAACCTAAAATAATTTCATACATTATGGCATGAGATCACAAGCATAATATTCACTAAATTATTTGATTTATAAAATTTTTTATTAACTGCAGGTGACATTTAAAAAAATAATAATGTCACAACTTATCACACACATTGATTTTGGACATTTTCAAATTAAATTTTGCATATTACTTACGTTTTTTCATGATGGATAAGTACAATTAGCTGTGCTTCACCACATGTTGTAATCAGTGTCATCTTGATCAAAAGTTATGAAAAATCCGACTAGAGTTGAGTACACAACAACATTACCTGCTAATGTCAAATAGCAAGCTCCCCATTGTATCTATAAATAGATAGGCTTTATGCTTTAGCTGAATAAAACTAAAGCACCAATTTTATTACCAATATATTATTTTAAATTATCATAATGCAACACTCTTACAATATTCTGTATCAAGATATGTATGTGAACATATAGAATAAGAAGAACAATAACATACCACTGGCTGATCCACTGGTGATCGTGCTAATACAATCGGAAGAGCGAAGGATGATACTACAAATCCCATAGTGATAAATATCGCCAACTCTAAACATGGATTACTGGTGCTTCCCGAGTCATCTGTGTATCGGCGTGCTATTATGGTTGGAATAGGTGCCAATATGTAGAACAGTACAACAAAAAATGGCCACCATACCCTAAAAATTAGATAGGTTGTAGTAAATTTTGCATTACAGGAAAATGCATATATTTAACATTAATTAAATGAAAAAATGTACTTACTTATATATTGGTAATGCACAGCCAAGAATGACAAATGTCATTCCAATAGAACCAGCAAATGCTAGCAGGACCAGTCTGTAATAATCATATGTTTCTATTATTATATAATTATATTTTATAAAAGTAAAGACAAATTTTAAGAAATATTCTATAGTAATTACTTGCTTACAACAATACTTACGCTGTATTGAGAATAACCATGCAGAAAAGATGACATGAAACAAAAAAAAACACAATCAATATCTGTATGTTATATTAAACAAGATTAAATGCAGTTAGATCTCAAAATGTATAATTTAAGAAATATATTCAGTAGAATTTTGAATTTCATATGTTTGAGACCATAAGTATATTGTATAACAATAAACGATCGTCGTTTTAAAACAAGTAACAAATTTATAAGTGTAAGTACTATAGATAACATTATACATAGTTGCATAGCAAAAAATTTTCCTAAACTATAGTTCTCATTTAACGAAATTAGAAAGAGCTGCAAAAAGTCATTTTAGAGAAATCATGATTAACTTTCTCCCCCGAGCAATGCGAGAAAAGTGTACGTTGTTCTTAAATTAAATTGCGAGATTTAAGAGCAGTGATGTCATGCTTGTAAGTGTCAAATAACGATAACAACAACGAGACAACAAGGTTATGTTTTGATAGTTGATTATGCATTTTTCGCGCAGTTTGCACAGTGATGACATTTAGCGAGAATTCGCGCGATAGCGATTAAGAATTCGCGTATTAGATGACTAAGAATACGCCGAACAACCTTTAATTCCAGCCATTGCGGATCGATCTGACAAGTTTGTATATTTATTGAACTCTACTCCGGTCTACGTAGATTACGCGTGACGTAAATTTTCTAAAGCTCTGTGCACTGTTACGAGAAAGATTGAGAATCAGACATAAAATCGAATTGTTGCACTTTTCGCGCTTAGAGTGAAATACACTTTATAAAGAACTTTAAGCGACCAATCGGTTCTGATCACGTATGTATTGGCTCTGAAATAGTGGTAGACTGATTGAGTATGCGTCATCCTTTAAGATATATTCAGACAACTTTGCGATTGTATAACGCATAAGAAAATTGAAATTAGAAATTAAAATTTGTGTGATTAGTTTAATTTTCTCATGCATATACAACAAAAAGTTATGTAAATTTGCTGGACAGATTCTTATGAAATATTCACACTGCGCGATAAGTATCCAATAAAAAAATATGTTTTCTAGGAACTTTGTTAACGTTATGGCGTGAACACGTGTCATGTGCTCGCATTCAAGAGCTACAAATTGCAGTGCACGTGAACACGCCTTTACTCTATGATTTAGCAACGGTAGAAGCGAGTGTGAGCCACCATACAGTTTTTCATTGCGTTAGCTGCTTCGCGTCCGTCGGCAGCTTGTACAGATCTGTGCGTGTACCGGACAGAGATTGTGCATCGTGTGCATCCTTTTGCGTGGAGAAAACCGAAAGTCGAACGATGAGTGATCCGAAGAGGTAGAGAAATGCGCGACGGCGGCCTACCTACGGTGATTTTCATCGTTGATCTTCCTCGCGCTCGTAATATCCGTCGAGCGTGTGTGTAGATAAAGTCAGCGACAGTCGAGGCGACTCTCAATTTCACGATGTCATCATGTCGACGGGACGCTTTGTTTTCACGAATATCTATGCCCGTTTCGACGAGCGATGTCACGATATTATGCGATAAAGCGCGGATTTTCGCCGTTGATTCGCGATACCTCGAATTGCGGTTCGCCGCTGATGCGAATCGCGCTCATCAATTTTCGTATGTCGCCCGATCATGGCTGTGTGCGAGCCAAACATGACAGGAAAGAGAAATGTTAACGACGCGTCAATTTCATCACCGTATACGTGGTACCAATGATACGGCCGCACCGAATATCATATCAATTCGATATAAAAATTACTATGTATACGAATAGAAAAAAAAAATTTTTTTCTTATAACAGTCATGTATTATGCATCAGGAATTTAAAAATAAGATGATTGTTGGATATTTCACATATTATTTGTTATGTGTCATCATTTTTTGATTATTTAAAGAGATTAAGAATCTACTATAAATTCGTACAAAAGAAATATAACATATGTATTATGCAATATATATAAATTTATAATATACATATTTAATACTATTCTGTCACATTAAAATAAAAAATCTGTTTAAAAGAGATTTACTTACGAATATTATAATAAAATTATAATATATTTTATATTCTATATTATTATAATATATTCTATATTCTATATTATTATAATATATTCTATATTCTATATTATAATATGATATATTATTAATATTATAATATATTCTATATTATTTGTGTATTTTTTCTATGCATTATTAATGACAATTCTGAAGCTGTTTTGTCTAATAGAATAAATTTCCAAGTTGTTTGGTGTTCAAAAATAAATATTCTGATTAAAAAATTTGATCTTTTCTTGATGTTTTCCTACAAGAAATCAAATTTTCTTATTATTTTTGACCCATCCTACATCCTACTACAATAATCATTTTTGTAATTGCAATGCATTCTTTGTCTAGTAATAAAATTTTCAATATAAATTAATTTTTATACAGAGGATGTATTACTATGCTTATGAAATAAAAATTTGTATTTGATACATAATGTTTCTCATTTTAGTGGAGAAGATTTGGCGACCGCTATCCTTCGTAAGAAGGATAGGCCTAATAGATTGCTGGTCGATGAAGCTATCGCAGATGACAATTCTGTAGTAGCGCTTTCTCAAGCAAAGATGGACGAACTGCAATTGTTTCGCGGAGATACTGTACTGCTGAAGGGCAAGAGGCGCAAAGAGACAGTGTGTATCGTTCTTTCGGATGACACCTGTCCAGATGAAAAGATTCGTATGAATCGTGTCGTCAGAAATAACTTACGCGTACGTCTGAGTGATGTCGTGTCTGTACAAGCGTGTCCCGAGGTCAAATATGGAAAACGTATACATGTATTGCCTATGGATGACACCGTTGACGGTCTTACTGGGTACATTTATTAATAATAATATGTTTCCTTATTTTTTACATGTTATATTCATGAGTATATATTATCTTCATGAATAATCAATTTGAAATAATATAATTGAAGCAAAATTAAAATTTATATTATTTTTTATAAAATTAAATTTTGTACTTTTGATATATAATACTAATCTTTTTCGTTTTTTATTCCATAGAAATCTGTTTGAAGTATATTTGAAGCCATACTTCCTGGAAGCATATCGCCCCATTCATAAAGATGACAATTTTATTGTCCGAGGAGGAATGCGAGCCGTGGAATTCAAAGTGGTGGAAACTGATCCAGGACCGTTCTGCATTGTAGCACCTGACACAGTAATACATTGTGAAGGTGATCCGATTAAACGAGAGGTCAGAAAACTATTCGATGCTTTTAATACCTTCAATATCGATGTGGAAAATGAAAAGTATCTGTTTACAGGAGGAAGAGGAAGCGTTGAATGCTGTAGGTTACGACGATATCGGTGGCGTCCGTAAGCAATTGGCACAGATCAAGGAGATGGTGGAGTTGCCTCTGCGTCATCCATCTCTGTTCAAAGCTATCGGCGTTAAGCCGCCACGCGGCATATTGTTGTACGGGCCGCCGGGAACAGGAAAGACTCTCATTGCTCGTGCTGTGGCGAATGAAACCGGAGCCTTTTTCTTCCTTATAAACGGTATGCAACTTGATTGACCACCAAAATAATACAGAATAAAAAGCTAGAAAGCTTAAAATTTTCATACCTTCTCTCGTATAGGTCCTGAAATTATGAGCAAGTTGGCTGGTGAATCTGAGAGCAACTTGCGGAAGGCATTCGAGGAGGCTGAGAAAAATTCTCCGGCCATTATATTCATCGATGAACTCGATGCTATTGCGCCAAAACGTGAAAAGGTTCGTCGAGCTTAACATTTTTTGTGGTTCACATTTAAAAAAAATAATTCGCAGTTTAAATTCATAAAAATTTCTTCGTAATTTTAGACGCACGGTGAAGTTGAAAGACGTATAGTGTCGCAACTATTAACATTAATGGACGGTATGAAGCAGAGTTCCCATGTGATTGTAATGGCTGCCACCAATCGGCCGAACAGTATCGACGGAGCATTGCGCCGATTTGGACGTTTCGACAGAGAGATTGACATTGGTATACCGGATGCCACTGGCCGATTGGAGATTTTGCGAATCCACACGAAGAACATGAAACTCGCTGATGACGTCGACTTGGAGGAGGTGCGCGTGTTACTTTTTTTCTGTGTTGCACCTAGAAAGATAAAAAAAAAGTATTCAAGTAATTTAAAAATATTAGATTGCGGCGGAAACTCATGGACACGTTGGAGCCGATCTAGCGTCTTTATGTTCCGAAGCAGCTCTTCAACAGATCCGCGAGAAGATGGATCTTATTGATTTAGAGGACGATCACATAGACGCGGAGGTTCTATCTTCTCTTGCTGTTACTATGGAGAACTTTAAGGTGAATTATTACTTCGCATTGAACTGAATCACACAATTAGATATAGTTTTCTAAACGAAAGCACGTTTCTGTCGTAGTACGCAATGACGAAGAGCAGCCCGAGTGCTCTACGCGAGACGATCGTGGAGGTGCCAACGGTTACTTGGGACGACATCGGAGGCTTACAAAATGTTAAAATGGAATTGCAGGAATTGGTTCAGGTAGGAGCAAACACAAAGTGCACATACGTATGATATACTAGAATATTAAATAATGTTAAAATGTTAAAACGTATATCGTTATCACACAGTATCCAGTGGAGCATCCTGATAAATTTTTGAAATTCGGCATGCAACCGTCACGAGGCGTGTTGTTTTACGGCCCGCCTGGCTGTGGTAAGACACTATTGGCCAAAGCGATCGCCAACGAGTGTCAAGCAAATTTCATTTCTGTCAAGGGTCCTGAATTATTAACTATGTGGTTCGGCGAGTCAGAAGCTAATGTCAGAGATGTTTTCGATAAGGTGAGGCGTTTTCTCGTATTCTGTTGTAAGGTAATTCGGGATTATTATTTAACAGACGGATTATTTCAGGCCAGATCAGCTGCTCCTTGTGTGCTGTTCTTCGACGAACTTGATTCGATCGCGAAGTCCCGAGGTGGTACCGTCGGCGACGCTGGCGGTGCGGCCGATCGTGTGATAAATCAAATATTGACGGAAATGGACGGTATGGGCGCGAAGAAAAATGTGTTCATCATTGGAGCAACAAATCGTCCCGACATCATCGATCCAGCCATTTTGCGACCCGGTAGATTAGATCAATTGATTTATATACCGCTACCAGATGAGAAGTCCCGGGAAGCGATATTCCGTGCTAATCTTCGCAAATCGCCCGTAGCTAAGGTAAATAGTGCTGTTAAATATGTGTAAATTCACCTTAAAAGTGCAAATTTAACGATATTAGTAAAAAACATACAAGTTTAACGATATAAAGATTTTATTATATATCGATAATTGATTTGTGTTTCTAAATCGTTATTTTAAAAAGAATATTTTTTTTTTTTTTAGGTATGTAGACTTAAGCTATATCGCCAAAGTCACACATGGTTTCTCCGGTGCTGATCTGACAGAGATCTGCCAGCGCGCATGCAAACTTGCCATTAGACAGTGCATCGAAACTGAAATTCGCAGGGAAAGAGAACGGGCAAGTAATCCGTCTGCATCGATGGACGTAAGTATTGTAAAACGTTCCTATAGCATTTTTCGTCTTGTTCGAAAAACGTATAGTGCTGCGTCACTCGAGTGATTCATATCTGAATCAGCATTTTTTGCATATTGCTTTAAATTATGTCGACGATGATTTATCGGCAAAAGACTTTCGACAAAGAAAGTTTTCTGATTTATTTATTATTTAGTATATTATTTATTTTTTGACGCATCGTAAGTTATACAATGTTTTTCAGCTGCAAGGAAAAATCTTTCCAGATGTGCGTACAAATATGTCTTTGTGTGTATTGCCAAACATTTTGCGGTCAACAGATTTGATTCTCTTCAGTGTGACCTGTATACTTTTGGTCTATGTCTACTTTTTAAACTGTGTTCGTTTAACGTAATTATCTGTGATCGTCTTTAGCTGTTTTATTACAATTAATGCATATTTAAACGCATGTTACTGTAGGCTATTTTACCTTTCTTCTTGGAGTGTGTAATGTCCTGATTCTTTGGTTGTCCATTCTTCTTTTCATCGATTCTTTTTTTCATCGATTCTTCTTTTCATCGATTCGTCAATTTAGGTCAATGCTTAGTAAGAGACTGCTCTGTTTGTGTTTGTCATCGTTGCTGTATTGAAGAGTAGAAAGGGACAGAATAAGGGAAGAAAGACAGATTTCAAAGAATTGGTATTTATAAATTAGGTAATAAATTAAAAAGGTTAAACGAATGAAATTTAAAGTAGACAGATCAAGAGAGTATACATACACATTAAAGAGGGTCAAATCTGTTGACCGAAACGTTTGACAATACACACAAGGATATATTTGCACAAACATCTGGCATTTGGCTTTACAGCCCACATTCTCACATAATTGAATTGTTACAATCGACAGGACCAGAATTATATATTATTTTGTTAAAAATCTTTCCCTTATAAATATCGTATGTGCAATAATAATCACCTTATATATGCAGCTTTAGTATTAAAAGATATATAGAAATTAAAGTAATAAATTTAGATAAAAATATGGTTATACCGCTAGTATATATAACACTCTAAAGTTCTAAGATTTCTACTGCTCGCTTACTCTAGATGGATGAGGATGATCCTGTACCAGAAATAACGCGAGCTCACTTTGAGGAAGCAATGAGGTTTGCGCGCCGTTCGGTATCCGACAACGACATTCGCAAGTACGAAATGTTTGCGCAAACACTTCAGCAATCCCGAGGATTCGGAACTAATTTCAGGTACGAATTTCTTCTGAAGTCAGATATGCATATAATAATTAGAAGAGTTAAGATTAACTGCACTTCTCTCTTACTGTTGTCAAGATATGAGTATATATATATATATAAGTACTTTCTCTCTTTTTTACTAGAGAATTTCGCACACGTTCTATCATAAAAAAAATTGCTTGCAGATTTCCACAAAGTGGAGCAGGCGGTGCTCAAGATAACACGCAAGGCGATCAAGCCTTTCAAGATGATGGAGATGACGATCTCTATAGCTAAGTTTTCATTTTCTTGTATGTCATTACAGTGAGCATACGACAAAAGGGCCTGTCTGTTACCGCATAACACTTTGCACAGGGATCGTTTCTAAGTGGTACAATTAAAATAAAGAGCGTAAAAAAAAATGGATAAAATAATTGAAATTTTATATGAGATATACATATAGCTTTGTGTTTGTAGAGAAGGGCATGAACCCTCCATGTAGTTAAGAAATCACTCGGATATAAAGTATCGATTAGTACCAAAAACTATTGTCGCACGATTATTTTCGCGTTCAACCATTTCTATTAATGCGGTTTCGCCATGCTTTTTAGCGGAACTGTGTTCTAACACTAAATTAATTCTTTCTCTTAAGACGGCAGCATGGACGGTGAAAATATAACCGCATCGCATTTGATTGGCAACGCGATGGAAAGGAGAATTATTGTAAAGCGGCGGAATAACACCCTGCTACGTGTAAGGACGCACATAATTTACCCATTTACAATTTTGGTACACATTTTCATACGCGTCAACGATCACGCATTTTGTCATGAGTTTGAAGCTGGAATAGACCCTTTTGCTGCATTATCACTGTACCCTCTGAGAATACATTCTGTTGTTCACAACCACAAATTGCAGTAATATAAAAATTTATGCCCTGTCGAGATGAGATTGTCACAATTGATGATGTATGTTGACGATTTTACAAATATCCATTAGTAGTAAATTAATTCATATACGACCAAAGAGCCTTTTTGAATCTCATTCGGATTACACATCGGTCATCCTGATTATAAAGCGATTCACAGTTTTATAAATGTTGGCATTTCTGATTAAAAAAAAAAAAAAAAAAAAGAAAAAATAGGCTGAAATAAGATTCCTAAATATGACTCGGGTGAAAAATATTTATTCGAGTTTCTCACGAGACTGGCAAGCTTGCTAATAATAATATTCACGTTGTAATTGATCATATAGCTAACATACTATTTAACATAAGTATCCAACAATAGGATTGTTTAAAAAAGAAAGCGTAGCGCGAATCAATATTGCCGTCAGAAAGAATTGTTTTCTCTAGATAATGACTGAAACTCGATGCGGTGTTTTTTTATATATTATCAGTTTCGCTAATGAAAGTAATTCTTTAAGTCTAATATAAAATAGCAATTTCATATATTATATATATATACATGTATATATATATATATATATATGATTATAGAAAGAAAATTGCAACAAAATTTAATACATATTTTAATTTACGGAAAATCCCAAGTTTGGAATTTGCAAATCTTTTTTTATTCCTGCTCCACTTATCTTTATGAAATAATTGGGTTTTGCGTACGACAGGAATGTTAATTCAAATGCTAAGAATATGTCCGGTAAAATCGTAAAAATTCATTTATTTTTCTGAAGAAACTTGTAATGATTGTATTGCTATTCTTGCGCAATATGATTACACAAGTGTGAGACAATATCAGTACAAGTTTCCGTACGAACAGAAATTTGTGATAACGCAACTCTCAATGAAGGAAGCATGATCGATTTATAGAAAAATCGTCAGCAATTTTATTAAATACAAATAAAAATGGGATGTTGAACCAATCGTAGATAAAGAGAGACTCACAGTTTTTTATCCATTTACAGACCAGCACAATCACGTGTATTAATAAGAAACTTCATATGCAATGACGTTCAAAGCTTAAGCCTTAGCACGTTCATATATGTACATTGGTTATTAACGCTCTTATTTATCTTTATAAAAGTAAGACTATTTACCAAATAAAACTCGTTAGTATAAAACCGCCGTAACGACATGACACATCATGGATCTACGATACTGACATACTCACGATCGCGCCGAACACTTCAGTTCACACGAAAGAAATTTTCTATTGTAATTGGAGATACTATAAGATCCATTAAATTACACAATTACGCTACGGAGAATTATGAAACAAACGCAGCTGTGCTTCACTTAATCATATAACGATAAAACGTCTTCGCCAGCGCCAGTGTCATCTTACATTCGGGTAAATTGGCACCGATCAGTGGAGAAATTTTTTTATTCACAATCAAGCTCGGAGTCTCGGTAATAACGAAAACACGAATATATCAAAGATTTCTCTGTCCCTATCGCTGGTTAGCTATTTATACAAATGACATGTCATGACAATTTTTAATAATCGATGCGAAGCACTCGAAGAGACTTATTGCACATTTGATACGATTATAATGTAATATTCGCCTGAGATAAAACATAAGACACAACATAGTGTGTGACGTCGGATAATAAGATGTAAACTTTTTACAGAATCAAAATTCAATATGTAGCTTAGAAAGTTATTCCGCTGACGTGAGATGATGCGTTCTAGAATTATTTCGCATTTTAAAGGAAGTGGAATGAATTCTTTTCTCACGCTTTTAAAATACTTTGTATGTTCGCGTTATCAGTTGTCATTACTTCATTGTCTCATAGTTATCACGTAAAAGCCTTTCAAACTCTAGAATCTCTGTCAAAGTAACGTGTCTTTAAAAAGTACTTTCGAATGCCAGTACAAAGAGTACTTTTCAACTCTAAATGCCAAAGTAATGTATCGTTTAAAAAATGTTTTTGGCGAAATACGATCTGATCATATTTGCGTCTTTTTTCACAAGAAGCTAACATATGTTTGCGAGATCTTACATTTTATACAAGAATTACAATCGAAGCTCATCGTTCGGCAATTTTCCACACATATATATATATATATATGCCCTTACATCTTTGGCCGGACAAAAAAGATGAGCTTTCTTTGTTGAACACAGAAGACAAAGATTCAAAAAATATAGCAATCCAATGAACAATCGACGCAAGCTATATTTCAAGCATACGCTCTAAATTTTCATGTGACAGGGCAAAAAATAGAAATTCAATTTTATTTATATTATTTTTTAGGCATAATTTACATAAACATGTTGAACATAATGTAGGTTTTACTTGACAATGGTGGAAAATTTATTAATAATACATTCCTCATCAGAATATGGATATGTCAACATTCAAATGTCGGCTTAGCCGTTATTATAGAATTATAAAAAAAAAGGAAAAGAAAGAAAAACGCGTCAAGTCTCTAAAAGGAGCATATTCGTTTACAGCGTGGCAATTATTTCAGTATAACATTCTCAGATTTTCCAAACTTTTGCCTAAAACTATCTTAAATTATTGTTTAATAAAATTCAAATATACTATCCGTAGTTATCATTTTTCTGATTCGTTTCGAATGGAGACAGATATGATATTTATTCAAAAAAAAGCAGATTTAATTACGCTGGTCCGTGATTTCACAATTATTTATCGCTGAATCTCGCATAAAAGTCGGATTTCGAAATTAGAATATGCTATCTTGAGCTTCTTAGGCTATGATAAAAACACTTTTTTTTTTGTATAGATACGTCTAATTGTAAAAATAGCTTTGCTGATACAAGTAACGCCTCGTGTAAATTTCGTAAAAGATTTCTCGTCGTGTAATTTCTACGACAAACACTTCAAAATCGTTATCATTGGATTACTATATTCTTCGCTCGATGTTGCATCCACGAATGCAACGTCGCGCTAACAAATGATGAAAGAAATTTCTGTTTAATCCGATAGCTCGGTAATATGACCGAGAGTGTTACTCAGAAGTACTTTTCCTTCTTCTGTGGTGCGCATTGATTTTTCCGACTATATTTTATATATATATATATATATATATAAAACCGATTCAGTGACCACTTCTTATAGAACGACTAACGTACAATTTATCTAGATCTTTAGTGTGTACTAGATATGTAACATTCTCGGTAATATCGCCTACGGAGTGTTTTTTTTTTTTTCCTTTCTTTTTTGGGTTCTACTGAACTCGGAGTACTAGATATACGGCCGTCTGAAATACTGGACGTCCTCTGCACTCTATGCCTCCCTTCGCTTGTCACGATCGTTGCTTTTGCACGACTTTCTTATCTCCTCTGTTTGTCTTGAGCTTTTGATATGCCTTAATTGTATGCGTTACGCTCAGTCTGTCCTTTGCGTGACAGGTGGAAATTCGGTATCGTCGTCCAGACGGAACGGGCCGCCGCCCTTCGGTGGGCTTTCCGTCGCCGCTATCATCTCTTGATACTTCTCTGACTCTACAAATCCATTTCAGATTATCAAGTTTCCATCTCCATCATATAATCTGGAGCGGATATAACGATAAAGATGTATACAGACGATTAGCATTCAATGATACATGATATATTTTATGCATTCAGATGCATATTCCCGATTTACAGTTTTTTCTTAATATAAATTCTCAGCTTTCTCAGCATTCATAATTTTCGGAATTGAAACACAAGCTCTTTACGAATTCGAACATTTCACTGGGATCAATTCTCATCTGAGTGCAAGTAGAAAATATTTCATTGACCATTGTCTACGTCACATTGCCGTGAGATACATTCACAAATGAATTCGTTAATGTGATGAAATAAGGATCTTTTCTATAAACAGAAACAAAAAAAAAAATATGAATCGCAGGCACTGATTTTCTATTTCATACTATTGTCTTATAATATATATAAGATATAGAATAATTAAAAAATGAAAGTAAAAACTAATAAATTATGCAAAAATTGTTCTAAGAACATTCGCATGTGTAGATGACATATTATTTGATTTTTATAAGAGGCCATTCGTGCGTATATTCGCGACGATGTGAGTTTTCTTAAATGTCCAACAGTAAATACAGGGATATAAAAGTAACGTGGCAAACTATAAAGCAATATTTACAAGATTAGGTAGATTTAAACTGCAACAATACTGTTGTTTTCTACTTTGCTGTTCTCAGGCTGTTTAATATCCTTCTCTTTTAAATTCTTTTTCAACAAAAGTGCAAATTATTGCGGCATTTTTCCTTTAATCTGTATTTGACTTCGTGAGAAGAAGAAAAGAAGAAAAGAAGAAAAGAAGAAAAGAAAAAAAACAAAACAAAAACATCTCTCTTATCCTCTTCTTGTGATTCTATATCCCTTATTTAATACTGAACTTAGAGTATAAGAACAATACCGTTAAGAAGTACGTCATATATGTACTTTTGTGTAAAAAAAAAAAAACGTGAGTAAAATTGTTCTCAAAAATATGCGTCACTATTACCTGTTGCCGTGATACCATATAATAATGATTAATATTATATCGACTGGTTATATTAACAGCCTTACGTTCGTACGTTAATAATCAATTGTTAACATTATTATGCTAATAAGATATCTGTGGTCTCTTCTAATAATAGACTACTCTATAAAAGTTCGCAAAATCTTTTAGTAACAACAACCGGATGCAATGATGCTGTTATAACTGCTGACTAGTAAAATAATTTGCATACGTGCATAGTGATTTGCCCGGAGAGTATAGACTTAGTGCCTACATGCATCCTGTGTGCACCATATGCTCCATATATACGTATTGTTTATAAGAAATTATTCAGTCCGCAATTAATAAGCGTAATGTAGATTGTTTGTAATAATATAAAGTTTTTTTTTTTTACATATTAACGCAAATGTAGGCCGTGTGAAAAGGCGCATTGTTACTCAGCGTTGCTCTCATTCTTCCTTTGGCTGCGTGTATGTATATAATAATTGCTGCGAATTGCTGGTAGTGAGACACACAAAGAGAGAGAGAGAGAGAGAAAGAAGCTCTAAAGGAGAACTAGGTATCTTGTGTACGGAGAATGAGAGCGAAAAAAAAAATCAAGGGACAGAATAGAGGACATACCAGTACCTGACATGGAGTCTGGCGAGCGGCCACGCAACACACCCGCGTAGCTATTTATGCAGGCTTCGGTGGATATTAAAAAGAAAAAAATTACATCAAGTAAGGTCGACTATCGGGGCCCCCTCCCCCCCTCCCTTCCCCGAGCCCCTCAGGAAAAATTGTCTAGCCATTTTATTTGTAAAGGGGGCTAAAAGCGAGAAAAAGAAGACATAAAGCAAATTATAAAAATAAAGGCGTCCGGAACGCGTGGCGGGTGCACACGCACATATACACACACGCGTACGGTACGTAGTTAACGATACAAGCGTTTCGCTAGAGCTGGACACTAGATCAATTGCGACGAATGCTACAATGGAATCTTTCTACATAATACATGAACCAGCTACTTTTCTATTACGTAATTAAATTATAAGAAAATTCATAAGAATAGCTTTTGGCATATTTTTCAATAATGTGACTTTTACACTACCTTAAAAAAATTCTTTTAAACAGTGTGGAGATAATTTCGTTGATTTATCTTGACAGATTATTTCTATTTTTCTATAAGAGAAGATTAACGTTGACGATTAAAACATCAATTTATCTCTTATAAAAAAGTAAGTTTTTTTCTTGTGTTTACTTAATTATTAATCGAATGTGTGTATTGTATAGATTTTCTTATACTTTTATAGGATAAAGTATATATTTAAATAATCGCGCGCTAGTACCAGCTGTGTGTGTATGTGTATGTGAAATGCCTGAACAAAGAAGGAGATATTTAATCTACTCTGTTAGTGCTCGAGTAATTGCGAAATTTATCACGGATATCACAAAACTGCAACTCTAAATAAAGTAAACAAAAGAAAACTCTAAAAGACACTCAAGCGTTCTATACTGTATAAGAAAGAAGTTTCGCGTTAGTATTTGTATCTTTTATCAAATTAAATGTCGGTAATGTATCTTTATCGTCAACTCGCTTCAACTAGTGTGTCAAGAAACATCTAGTATCTCTGATATATTTCGCATCATACCTGCATTTGTACTATTTGCGGTAGCCGTCGCTCCGGAACCAGAACCGCCATCCGACTCATCTCGCTCTTTATCATCTAATCTGTGAAAAATGAACGAGACACTGTAAGACAATTTCATAAGGCATAAAATAATCATTGCATAACTACAATCGCTCGCAATTGCGAAAATCATGAGTCACGAAAAATCATAATAAACATTACGAACCTATGCTGTTTTATAAGAGTGCAACTATTACTGTCCGTTAAATCCATGGAGTAGACATACAAATAACCATCGGCACTAGCTACTAATAGTTTTGGTACTTTATGTGTTCTGAAAGAGACATGCGAATATATAATTATAAGTATATATCGGATATGCAGATTTAAAGTAGCGCATTTCCAAATACTTACACAGTGATGGCACAGACATTTTTTAATCCTTGAAACGGTAGATGAACGCAGGCGATAGCACGTCCTTGGGTAAAAACATCAGTCACTTGCGACGGCAAGTATGTAGCCGACGCTGTCACAGCCTTCGTCAAGTATCCCATCCAGCCTTGGGCTTCGTCTGCAGTTTGCTTGTTTGGCCTATGATAACGAAAGTAGCATGAGGCAATTTACATAATGAAATAATATTGCATAATGTAGCAATATTCGTTGCGAAAGCAGCAGGCACGCGTTCAGCGACACATACGTTTCCTTTGGTTCCTCCAATTTGAATATATGCACAGTTTCTGTATTACTAGAGCAACAGAGCCACATAGAATCCATACTAAATGAAAGACTGCTTATCGTGACGCATCTCTTAACTCCGCGCCGAAATTCGAATAACTTTGTACCCTCGTGGACCTGTCAAAACATAAACGTTAATAGTTATTACATAAATGCAGCTACATACACTATCGCATTCTACGATTTATCTTACATCAAAGACTCTAATCACAGTGCCTTTTTCGGAAGCTGTTGCCACTTTGGTGCCAGTCGAGCTGAAAGCGATTGCTGCCAATGGACTATCGTGTGCAGGTATCATTGTTTTGGCTTGCTTTATGAACAAAAATATGCAATTGTTAAATACCGATTTTTAATACGATGAAATTTTCATTCATTCACTCTCTCAGACTTGGTTGAGATACGTACAAGATGGATCGCATCAAATATTTGGACTTCTCCAATAGTGTTCGACCCTGGATAAGCTAAATAACAATTGTCACTATTTGGTGATAGTGTACAAAGGCCTGTTAGATTAGGTGGAGTGTCGCGAATTGTATGCAACACTCTCATATCTCGTATATTATGAATGTATAACGATTCTTCCAGACATACGACCAATCTCTGAAATAAGCAAGAATCTCCTTGATTAAAAATTATTAAACATATTTTAATATTAAATCTTATTTTTTACATAGCAAAGTCATTATATCTTATCAGATCACATTTTGAAAGGTACAAAATGTTTCTTAATATGCGAGCAATACTAGCAAAATTCAAGAACAAAGAGCCATATACATAAATATATGTCTGTTCTCATATATTATTTTTAAATTACAACTTTACAAATATTGTTTTACATTTGCACGTAAGTGTGCAATTTGCAATATTAATTTCTTTATACAAATCAAAATTTACAACTTACAGCTCTGTTGAGTTTCACAGCCAAAATCGTATTGGAGTAACTGTAGTTGCATATTTCTGTTCCTTTCCTAAAGTGGCATACCGTGAGCGTACGAGGAGATTTAAGACTAACAATCGCCACCAAACTGCTGCTAAACAATCGCTCAACAATACATATATCCTCAAAGTCTGTATCATCTCGAAAAAGAAAAGGAGTGCACTAATTAATAACATGAGAAGTTTCTCTTCGAGAAGCATTAAAGACATTCATAGTATTTTTAATGATAAGTGAGATACTTTATTACTAATTGTTTGTATGTGAGTGTTACTGTAGGAGTAGTTATCTTGATGCTCTTAGTAGAGAGAATAGAGATAAATAATGATTACCATTTTCATATATTTTCTCAAGATGGCCAGTGGAACTGATTGAATAAAGTTTATATCCTGACTTTGATCCCACTGCCAGGGACCTGAAAAATCATCATGTATGTTACTAAAAATCAAAACTATTTTTCTCTCTTTTTTTTTTTTAATAAAAACTTATGACACGATCGTATATAAAATACAAAGCCCAGCTTTTTCGATATCCGCGTTCTTTGTTTCCCTGCCTTCTGTTATTATTGCAATCGTCCCCTCCCTGCGCGAATATCGTGTATAAAATAAAAATAACGGAGCTGTTGCGGACGATATGCAATCGTGCGAGGAACAGGAGCGAGGTAAGTCCTTGGATACAAAGCAACGTGAGTAGAAAGGCCAGGCGACTGGTTCGCAATCGCGCGCTGCGTGCATGCGTACGTGCGGGAAACGCGTAATATTTTTTTTTCCTCTCTCTCTTTCGACCGACGCAGGTTACGGCATGGATCGAACGTTACGCGGCGGAGGAGGTCGGCACTCCGTTAACACGCAATTAATCGGTGAAAGGGGGAGCGGGCGGATGACGCAGGCACAACGCAACGAAAACATCGCGCGAGGGAAACATGACGCGACGCGCGACTTGGCGCGATGTGTACGCCATGCGCGTTTCACACCGAGGGATGCGAAGGAGAGAGAAAGATCGCTTCCCACGAGACAAACATTCCGTCAACGACGGGGAAAAAGCGATTTGCGAGGCGGGCGAGGCTCGCGTGGAGGTTAGGAGAAACAAAGAAGTGTGGAACGCGAGATGACGGGCGCGGGGCGCGGGAGAATGAAGTTTTGGAACGGCGAAACGCGGCGATAAACTTACGTGCAGTCCTGATTGAAGTTAACGAAGTAGGGACCATTGTTCTGCGCCTCGGACGTCGTGTCGGACGTCTGATTGGTTGCGAGGTTCATTAGTCCTGATATGCCGTATTTTAGCCCTTGCGTTAATACATCCAGGTTGATCTGGCGTGAGATCTCGCATAAAAAAAACTCTCGACGAGTGGCGCGCGTACGAACGCTCTCTCACTCTGACGGTCCGCTCTCGCGGCGCAGCACGGTCCTCACACTCTTTCTCCGTCTGTCTATCTCACCCCGTCTCCGTCTCCACCCGCTCGCACCCACTCTTCACGCGCGCTAATACGAAGACCAACGTTCGGCTGGTGATGGCTGGCTGTATCCTACGTCGACCGACTCCTACAAGTGACTGCACTTTGCTATCGTTCCATATTGAACAGCTGACAGTCGCAGCTGCTGCCCGGAACGGCGGAATGCGAAACATCAGTCCGGTTTCCGCGCGTTCCGTTGCTATGGCGACGTGCTGCTCCCCATGAGATTTGCATCCTTTCCTTCCTCTTTTTCTTTCCAAACGAGTGCGTGAGACAAATTATCTTTGTCTATCCCTTGTATTAGCTTAATCTATACAAATGACTCATATTTATTATACACTTTATGCTTTATAGCGTTTCTTTCTGCAAATTGCAAGAAAGTCGTGCCTAAATAAAATGCAAAAGAAAATGTTACGATCTATGCAGTCTGTTTTAACATTTCATGAAAATGATAACACTAAGGAAAAATAACATTAATAAGAACAATAATAAATAGTATATTTAAGCATACCTTTATGTTCAAACGAATAGCTCGTTCTCTTCTCAAATTTGTCTTTTCTATCTACACTTATCCACTTAATTTTTCTACCTTTTTTCTTCATTATCCAGCAGCTTACTTGTTTCATTTTGAATGCAATAGGTGCAGTAATAATGCAGCTAAAAAACATTAATGACACTAGCGATAGCTAGTGACTAATTTTGCCGTCCCTATGAATGCAGAAAGAGAGTTGCTTTTGTCGTTGATCAAAGAGTGGCGCAGTATGCAATAATCAGCTGTTATGGTTGTTACAGTCCTCGCGGAATAAAAAGGGCCAGATTCTTACAAATCATCTTGATTCGATGAATCAAAGATGACAACCGACCCGATTCTTTAACACTTGATAGTTTATTCGAAAAATGCTACGCATCTTTCAGTGTAACCTCCGCCACCGTATTTTTCGAATTTTTCCACTTAGAAATAAATTGAAGTCTGAATTATTTATGTAAAAGGTTTTTAAACATAAGGTGAGAAAGTGTAATTAATGTTTATGGTATCTATCAATTGTTCAATAAAATTAGACCTTGAAATTGTGCATCTGTAAAACAAATTACACAAGTTTATATGTAAATAACGGAGAAAGATGTGTGTATTTTAGAAAGATAGTGAAACTTACGTTAGAATTTTAATTATGTGATCATATTGTGACAATGTTAAAATGTTCTAGGTAAATTTAATGATCCCATGGGTGCGTGATCAAATAGCAGAGGCCTGGCATAACAGAAAAAGTTCAAGGACAGCCGACAGGCGGTCCTTGGCCCTTTCTTCTGTCAGCACAGGCAATCCTGCAAGCAACAACACCATGCTTATGCCCTTACCTACCTCACTTGAAAGCTTTTCTGTCAATGTTATCAGGTTTCTAACAATTTTATATGACTATTGTTAAAATTACAAGTAGTTGTTGAAAATAATTTACAAATTTTGTCCAAATTTTTTAGCCTAGAAGGTAATGTAATGGATGTTACGGTGAAGCCAGACTCCACAGTGGAAAATATAAAAAAAACAGCACTAATGCATTTCTATGGTCAAGACACAACTAAATCCATCTCACGATATCGCTTAGTTCATTCATCCAAATTTAAACAGCTTGTAGATGAAAATTATGTAGACGATGAAGATGTTAATGAATATGGTAGTTATCTGCTTTGAGTTGTGTATATATTTCAGGATGTAATTATTTTTCTTATATTATGCTTCTTTTATTGAATAATTTACTGTTTCAGATGAATTATTATTAGTAGAAATCCGATCAACCATTGTACAAGAGAACCTTACAGATGAAGCTCTTAAAGGTCCAAATTTAGAAGCAATAGCTAGAGCTACAAGTAACCTACCTAGTCGAAATACACCTAAAATTGTGCCATCTACAGAATGTCCTGCAGATGTAAATATTTCATACTCTTTAAAAAGATTTTTTACTTAAGTACTATGTCACTTAGTTTTAATGATTACTTACAGTTTCAGAATGAGATTCGTAAGATCTTAATAACACTTGTGCAAGCCTCTGCAAAGATTTTAATGCACAGTCCAGATGCTGGAAAATTATATGAGATTATCAAAGAGAAATTAGAAGCCAGGTGTAAGCCTACTAATGATCCAAAAGTCGTAAAAACTCTTATAGAAATGGGTTATTCTCACAAGAAGGTTCTCAAAGCACTGCGTCTTCGAAGGTGAATATCAATGCTTGTGGAAAATTGCTAATATTCAGACAATATATCGATAACTCAATCATGTGTTGCGGAAATATATCCCTGTTTTAGATCAAATATGACAGAAGCTTTAGAATGGCTTATAGAGCATCAGGATGATTCCGATGAAGAAGAGGATGATGAAGCAGATATTTTATCTATGGATACAACAGTAGATGCAAATGTCGCAGGTCCTAGTTCTTCAATAAATACTAAGAAAAAATCATTAAAAGATGCATGCGTTGAACTTTTTGAAACAGGTAATTCTTACAACCAAAATATATATTGCATTATAAGTATACATTTGGTATTGGAAAATAATATTTAAAACTTAAAGCAGTAAAATTCAAACCTTTGTTACAAATAAAGATGCGTTATTTTTAGGAAATCAAAAGGAAAAAAATCTAGTCCAAATTGTAGAATTGTTGTTAGAAAGTTTTCGACAGTACAAGAAAATGGAATTTAAACCAAATAAGAGAGCAATGCGATCGCTTATAGAAATGGGTTTTGAGGAGAAGAATGTTATAGGAGCATTGAAAGTTACTGGAAATGATCAGGCTAATGCTGTAAGTTGCGATTGCTAGTGTGTATTGGAAATATGCTTTATATTTTTAAATTAATATCTTTTGATAGTGCGAATGGCTACTGGGCGAAAGGAGACGCAGTTTACAAGATTTGGATGAGGGCCTCGATCCTGAAGGCTTGATTTATAAAGCAATTATGAGTAATCCTCACATTCAGCTTAGTCTTACAAATCCTAAAATGTTACTTGGTAAGAGAGAAAGTTTGAAAATTTTAAGTAAAATTGTACAATTATTTTTTTCTTAACTTTTTATTTTTTTCAGCATATTTGTCTATGATAGAGACACCTGCGTCGACAAACGTGTGGATTAACGATCCTGAAGTTTCACCTGTACTTAGTCAAATATCTAAAACATATCATGCTGAAAAACATGCCATCCACATGAATCGTTATACCTAGCGCTACTATGAAACCTATTCGAATTTCTGTGGAACATCGATATTTTTGTATAAATTTACAAATAACTTTCGCAGAGATTTGGAATATCAATCACCAATTCGTGATTATCTGTAACTAATTGCTTGCTCGCATATAATTATAATTATATATAACAAAATTATGCATAATTATAATTATTGCTGAAGAATATTACACATATGAAAGTTTTCGTAAGATATACAATATGCTGTAATATGCTATCGATTGCACACATAATGATCCTTATGTAAAGTGCTGCAAAATTGCTTTCGACGTTGTCAACAAGATACCCGTTGACAGTTAATAGGCAGAATGTGCTTTAATATAACAAAGTAGCTGCTATTTTTTCGTGTGTAATATAAATTCTTATAGTGAAATCAAATCTATATTAAATATGCATATTCCTCATCTCTAATTCAAAATGCTAGACACATACTACTAAGCGTATAACATGCTGAAATATATAAAGTTGCAAAAATTATTGCAGCTTTAAATTACTGCTGTGATTGCCTTTATTAAAATAAATATATTGACTAAATTGAAATTTCTTTCACATTTATATGTACATAGAATTAAGAATTTTTGTAAAGATAAATTGTATTTATTGTAATTTTATTTTAATCAGTTTTAATTAATTTTTATTTTAATTTAAAATTTTGTATTGTATATATATTTTAATTTGTATCATATGTTTAATAAATCTTTTTATTATTGAGTAATGATATCTTACAAAGAAATAATATCAGATATTTAATCGAATAGCACGTAATTATCAATTCGGCAGAAATTGACTTCATCTGATTTCAATTTGAGATAGCGCGCTACGTTCTACATCGAAATGGCTGACGCAATATATATGGCTGTTATCAAAACCGTATCTAGATATTTTTCCTGTAAACAGCTGTAGGAAATAACACAATTCTTTGTGACTGTATCTTAACAATCATTTTTCTTTTCTTTAATGTTAAATTATATCTCTATCTAGTTAAGCAGTGTGATATTCGTGTTTTTGGTTACAAGAATATATATATGACAGTTGGTTCTGCTGTTGTTGTTTTTGATAGAAATTCTCATTAATAATGGTTTACTATTTTACAAGCGAAGGTAATTTCCACATTGTAATAATTATCTTTATTTTCAAGAGATTGAGAATTATGTCTTAAATTATTTGTTCAAATTATTCATTATAATGTGTTTTCATTAAGAAAGGTTAGATTAACAATTACTAATCTTGCAGTGGTGCAACCACCCATCACGTTGTTTATGGGGTTTGACAAACATGAAAGTGAGTAAAAAAAATACTGTGAATAAAAGATTTTTCATAACACAATGCATGATTAATTGGATTTTGTTTATAGATGAGGAGCTTATCAAGTGGGGTTGGCCAGAAGATGTATGGTTTCATGTTGATAAGTTTTCGTCTGCCCATGTGTATCTCCGGCTTAGACATGTGAGTTTAATTATCAGTTATAGATTCTCAATTAATATGAAATATTAATGTAAAACATGTTAATCTTTTTTTCCAAATATGTAGGGTCAAACGATAGATGACATTCCTAGTGCTGTATTGGAAGATGCTGCACAATTGGTAAAAGCAAACAGCATCGATGGAAATAAAATGAATGATATTGATGTGGTATATACAATGTGGTCCAATCTAAAAAAGACACAAGGTATGGAAGTTGGTCAGGTTGGCTTTCACAAAGATAAAGATGTTCGTAAGATTCATGTTGCTAAGCGGTTAAATACTATTGTGAATCGTCTTACTAAGACAAAACGTTCAGAGGAAGTAAACTTCAGAGCTGAAAGAGAACAGAGAGATAAGAATGAACGGGAAGATAAGAAGAAACTGTTGAGAGAACAGAAGGAAAAGGAAAAAATTGAGGAAAAACGACGTCTTGAGGAAGCGGAAATGAGGTAAATTTTTGGTGAAATAAAGCATTCTCTTAATCAAATCATAAACGATATATTTAAATTATATTTTTATATTAATTACCATTTTTAATACTATAATTTAATCTTGATATTAATTAAAAAAATAATTATTTTCAGGAGTTACAATTCCTTGTTTAATTCATCCAACATGACCTTAAACACAGAAACCAGTGGATATGATTCGGATGATTTTATGTGATGAAATTAATAATTGCATTTGCTCATGTGCCTCATTTGTCACCTCCAGCAAAACAGGAGAAAATTCCAGAGTGAAATATGTAAAGTATCGTTTAAGAAAAACTATTTATCTGATTTATAATAGTTTTTTGCAAATATATATTTGCAAAATTACTAAGATATTTCTGTATGAATTAATGTACATGACTTGTTTCTATAATAGAAAGTTGAGACTTTTGATTCATAAATTTCAAGAGAAATATTATTTAATCCATAATTATCGCACAATACTGATAACAAACGATATGCAATTTATGTATCAAGAATCAATATAATCAGAAACAAGAAAATAAATTAAATTTTTACATGGTAGATTTATATATAAGTAGACAACTCTCTCAGAAAAATAAAATAGATGTATTCAGTACAAATCCTAGTTTTATAACAGAGTAACATTAACAGCTTCCAAAGCGTTAATTATCCATGCTGGATATTCCTTATTGGGATAAACTGTTAACATGTAGTTCTGTATGAATCTTGGGAATCTTTGCTCCTTTATGCTCTCTCTGATGTCTCGCATGAGTTTCATTTGAAATGCAACGTTGTGAACGGTTAACAGATGACATGATACCGTTTCTATCGTAACAATTTGATTTAGATAAGCGCGCGTGTAGCCCTTACAGGTACTACACTCGCATGCTTCGTCTATGGGTCTCAAATCTGTTTTGTATAGCGCTTGCTTCAAATTAAGCTGTCCTGTTTTTATCAATGCACAACCGAATCTCTGAAAATTTTATTTTGATATTTTAAATTTGATATTTTCATTCTGCATCGCATAGTTTTCAATACTTAATACAAAATTACTTACAGCCGTTCTCGTTGGAAATACACAATCATACATATCGATTCCTAATGCGCTACATATAATTAGATCCACTGCAAATCCAACACCCATTAGATATCGTGGTTTATTCTTTGGAAGAATATTTGTTGACAGATGGACCATTTTCCAAAAATCGTCTTTACTCTCGCCACCACTAAGTATTATTATTATAAGAATCACATATATTTTATATAAGATATTTATTTGTTAGAGCTTTATTCTACTTTAATTTGTTATTTATATTAATAAATAGTTAAGTCTACCTCAAGCCTCCTATAGCATATCCATTCACTTCTCGCTTAATCAATTGGTGTGCACTCTCGGATCTTAGTTCAGCATTGAGACCACCTTGTACGATTGGAAATATGCTTTGCTCACTTGGTTTTTGATGTGCTGATAAACAACGATCTAACCAACGTGTTGTTCTAAAATAATTTATTACGTGCGTAACATTCTATAAAATTAAGTTACGTATAATCTAAAACATATATTTCATATATTTATTTAAAAAATAAATTTTATACCTATGCATAGCTTCCTCTACTCTTGGTCCGGTTAAAGTACTTTTCACAACATCGTCAAGTTGCATAATTATATCAGCGCCAATTGCATTTTGAATTTCAATAGAATGTTCAGGTGTCAACATGCACTCAGATTCTGTGAAACATAATAAGATAAAAGAGAATGAGTTTTTAAAATTATATGTAAGCAATATTTGAATCTATTTGGAAATAAATATCTGACTGTTCCTGTACCATTGTACGGTGATTTAAACTTAACACCTTCTTCTGTTATTTCAGCTAGATGTAATAAGGAAACCATTTGAAAACCTCCTGAATCTGTTAAAAGAGCTCTTTTCCAATTCATGAACTTGTGTAATCCTCCAGCTTTACGTAAAGTATCCACACCCTAACAGCATTAAATATATATTTAATAAGATAGAGTTATTTGTATAATTTTACAACATGAATTCTCCAAAGCTTTTAATTATTTTCTTGTCTATGTAATTTGAAATTGTTTTAAAGATGTTAGTGCATGATTTCTATTCTTACAGGTCTATTTCCAAGGTGATAAGTATTGCCAAGAATAATTTGACAATCCAATTGTTCCAATTGCTGAGGCAATAATCCTTTTAATGTTCCCTGAAAATTGCAGATTTGGTTATTGTAATGATAAAATTACTTTATCTTTTAATTGCTGCAAATTAAATAAATAATAAATAGTGTGAAATAGTATTTTTATTTAAATATTTACTATCATTTAAAAAATAAGAGATTTTATTATCTATTTAATTATAATTAAGCTAAATTACTAAAATATTTTATTTAAAAAAATGGTCCTTTATGAGAGAATTTTTTTCCTAGTTTTAAATAACAGATTTTTAATACTGTATAACTCAGTTGTATGTTTTAAATAGATAAAAAAATGTTTGCAAACCTGAGTTCCCACCGGCATAAATACCGGCGTGTCCACATGATGATGAACAAGTATCATCCTGCCGGTTCGAGCTTTTGTAGTTTGGCATTCGGCGAATATTTCGAAAATTAATGGAGATTTTTTATTAGCCATTTTTACTAATGATCTACCAAGTTCCACTTTTGTTGTTGTACAATACGTTTTGTATAAAAATGTAGTCATAAAGGAAAGACAACTATTTCATTCCGAACTGTTGAAAATAAATAAAAGGGTTATGTTCCAACTTGTCCACGTGCTTTCGTTTTATCAATTTTTATAATTCAATTAATATTAGTAAGCTTTAAAAAAATAAAACAAAACGATGAAAATGTTTACAGAATTTTATAAGCACTTTGATATCTGATTAAAATTGACTGAAATATAATTAAGAATCGTATAATCTAATCAAAATAGAAAATTGGATTTGTAATATTACAATTATATATATATAAATTATTAACTGGCACTTTAAATTTTACAGAAAAATACTTTCCAGGAACCTTAAAGAAAATGTGTAAATTGTTTAAAAATTTTATCAATATCCTAACACTGTCGAAAGTCGTTTAGAAGTGAAAATAAGCATGTCGAAAGCGTGCAATTATCCAATGGAACAGTCTGAAACAGCTGATTTTAGCCGCTGTTGGGAGAGAAAAGTTAACAGGAACACATGATGATATAGAAGCTCGTATGAGCTAATTCGGATCAGCACCATCTTTTGAGAAACTATTACGATATGATAAATGCATCGATGATAAGTATGTATTTATTATCAGTGCACTTATCATCGGCGTACTCATCATATCGCAACAGCTTAGATAATAAAGAATTTCAACCTCGATGTAAAGATTAAACCTCAAATTTAAAAGAAATCTTATGTACTATGGATATAAAAAGGATAATTTTTCAAGAATATTAAGTTTATATGGCAGTTTAAAAAATTTGTAAAAATCTAGTGCTTTCTGTGCATCATTGCTTTCAATAGTTGGCAACATTTATTAATTTTTCTAAATAAAAGCTCAACAAAAATTAAAAATCTAACAATAGGAATTAAAAAAGCGATTGAGGAGTAATCGTTCTATAAGAACAGATTTTAAAGAAAATGTGTAAATAGGGTTATTTGGTAAGTAAAAATTGGTGACTCTGTTTTCATACTTTTATTCACAACGCCACCTTCCGATTGGTTGTAGCTCCTATATCGTCATGTGTTCCTGTTAACTTGCTTTCCTAACAGCGGCTAAAATTGACCGTTTCAGGCTGTTCCAACGGGTAACTATACGCTTTCGACATGTGTATCTTCGTTTGTGAGCTACTTTTGACAGTGTTAGGATACTGATAAAATTGCTTACCAATTTATACGTCTTTTCCACGGTTTCTGGAAGGTATTTTTTATAAAATTTAAAATGCCAATTGTTAATAATTTGTTAAATAAATATTAAAAATCTGGTTCCTAGTTTTTATAAGGTTATACAATTTTTAATTATATTTCAGTCGGTTTTAACAGTATTAAAGTGCTTGTAAAATTCTGACAAGATTGCCATCGTCTCATTTTATCTTTTTAAAGTTCCTACTAATGTTAATTATGTTAATTATTGTTAATTAAATTATAAAAATTTTAATCAGAAGTAAAACGATAAATAAATATTTGTCAATATCCGAATATCTATCTTCTGAACAGTACATACTAAATGCAGTATTATTTACTGGCAGTAAAAACAAATTTGGCAGTGCAGTTTCTTCTGTTAGGGTAGCGGCACCGAATCTGGATAGCGGCACCGAAAGGGGATGAAGAGGATTAAAAACCAGGGAAAAGATGCGATACACCAGTGTGTAAATCGATATTACAACAAAAACGTGTCCAAAAGCAGTGGTTGAAGCAGATGACATTGTAATTGCATTATAAGCAATCAGTGCAGTGCTCCACATATGTTAACATTATGATTATCTCATGTTGGATATATGGTATCAATGTACAAAGTGTTACATATTTCGGGAAAAAATCTACTTTGCAACAACGTTCGACGGTAACGGTTAGCCGGCAGATATGAAAACCGAGGTGTCCTGGAAACGACGGCTCCTACGAAACAGATTCAGATACATGCTGGTGTGTGTCTTTGTGGTTGCCGTAATATTCGTGCTTCATCAGCTGCTTTACTTCAAGGAGCTCAATCGACAAACCGTGGGCAAGTTAATTGTCGGCACATTACGGGATACCCATCGCGTAATCGCTGGCAACCGTGCTTCCAAGTGGGATCAACCTCAGCACTCGAAACTCATACGCGACAAGAATGGTCGGACTGTATCGTTGCGTGGCACACGAGACAAGGACATTAGCAAGTATCTTCCCAATGTTGATGGGAAGTTCGTATGTTTTTCCTCGAAGAATGAGATTGACTTTCTGAAAATTAATGATGATTATTGTGACTGTCCGGATGGCAGTGATGAACCAGGTACAAACGCGTGCAATAATGGCTTTTTCAATTGCGAGAAAAGCTCTAGAAGATCAATAGGTAATTGGATATAATGTCTTGTAATCACATGTACAAAATTTAATGCAAGTATTTTATGTAAAATTACAGAAAGAATATCATCTTATAAGGTGAACGATGGGTTTTGTGATTGTTGCGATGGTTCAGATGAATGGGCCAATGCCGCTGTGTTGTATGAGCTCAATGGTAAGCTTTTCAGTTTTTACGTATTTATTGATTAATACCTTTTATATATATATTTATCATTTATATTACAGAATCAGGAGGTGTAACTTTTCATGGAGTTAAATGCCCGAATAAATGCTAGAAAGAAGTAAGCTATAATTTAGATTGGAAAGAAAGGCTGTTATTTTGTTGTACGGAGTCATATGACAATCGACAACGAGAACAGCAACAACCAAATATAAATGATATAGGTAAATGATTAGAATATCTCTATTACCTCAGATTTTCACAAAAGTGCACTATTTAGTGTCTTTGTATGTGTAAAACAAGATTTTGAAAGTGTTATTTAATGTTACAAGTAACATGTTGCTAGAAGTGAAATTCTTTAGTTAGACAATTATTTCAATATTATTGAATGGAAACATATCAGTTTAATTATATAATTTCTCAATTTTTTGTGACATAATGTATATAACGATATGTTATGCATATAAAGAAAGTATCTATCTTACTTGGATAGATAATACAGTTTTTCCAGATTAACATATAGTTCACTATTTATTAAAAATGTACCTTAAGAAATAAAATAAAACGTAATAAAAATATAATGTTTATAAAGATATTTAGTAAAAATATTCATATTAGCTACACTCATTATTTTTCTATATAATATATTAGATTTATTATTATATAATACTTTTCTGCTCAATATTTATGACGAAATTACTATGCAAATAAGAATAATTATTATATTTTCTAAAGTTGCTAAGTAAAATAAATAATCACAATTTGTTTTGATCACTAAAAAAATATCTGATATAGATAAGCGATCAGATTATCAGTGAACAAATTTGCATATCAAATTACAGTAATAAATGTCATACGATTTGTACAATAATACGATTTGTACAATAATACGATTTGTACAATCATACGATTTGTACAATATAATATTGTAAATGATATTTAATTAAGATTTACTATTTATGACTAGATTAAGAATGGTAAGATAATATTAATCACATTGCATGTGCATATTGCAGAAATATTCAACAAATGAATTCTATTAAATCATTTGTATAACTTGTAATTTGGAATAAAATCATTAATTACATTATTAACAAGATTATAATTTGCTTATGATTTTATAGTTTACTTTGATTCTCAAGTTAAGAAAAAATTGTGATCTCAATTATTTTACTAATTGTAGTCTATAAAATTAGTAAATTTCAACATTTAAAAAGTAGGATATGACAGCATTATCCTATATTACTTTTGATATCTGTAAGAATATTGAAATGTGATAACAAACTTGGTGCTTTGTTACCAAAATGTAAAGTTCGTTGTACAGGTGCTCCCATACTTTGTAAAATTCCATTGAAGTTATTTTCTTCCATACGAATCCATGGCCGATCAATGTCTTGCATTTGGTATGGTGTAACGTGTATGTGAGTATTTATTTCTGAAGAAAATATTAATTATATTACATGAAATAATGTAGGAATACTACAATTTCAAGATATTTGCCTGCAGGATCATCTTACTTAATTTAGCAAAGGATTGAAGTATATTTTGCTCTGTAATCCAAGTATTTTCAGAACCATTGTGTCCACCGTCCAACCACCACATATTTTTGATAAGTTTTATAAAACTATTTATATTGGCATCGTTATTCTCATCATAATAGTGAAACTCATAAAGAAATTGATTTAAAACCGCGCATCCTTTACTGAAGCCCATTAGATTTAAATTTGTTGCTTCAATATTAAGATTGTTGGCATCCTAAAAATGAAAAAATAAATTTAAAAATAATATAACATAATTTTACATATTTTATCTTGAACATTATTATATTTTATTATTACATTTATTAATTTATATAAGCTTTATGTCTTTTTCAAGAATGTTATCAAAATATGAATTATATAGTCATATATTAAAATTAAAAGAAGTTATTAATATGATTAATTCATAAAATTTTTTATAAATTATAATTGTAACTCTTTTGTAAATTTTTTATTTTAGTACATACCTCTTTCATTGTTAATGTTTTAACATGTTCTAGGCAACAAAGAAGGAGTGCTCTTAAATGCTGTAAAGCTTTGTACATTGGGCAAAATGAGGGCGTACCATATTTATCTCCTGGTACAAAGTTATCGAAACAACTGAACACTGCATGTTTAGTTATTGACATCCTGAAAGAAATATGAGACCATTGAGTAATTCAATATGACTATTCAAGATAAATTTATTTAATAATTCTTATTATACTAATTGGAATATTCGATAATGAATAATTTACCTGGCTGGACGAACAACAAATATGTGACTTTTAGGAAATTGTTTAGAGAGTATTGTCGCTGTATTTTCTAAGCTCCATTTTATATATTCCTTACTATCTGGATGTTTTTCCATATTTTCTTGAGTATCCTATAATGATTTTCCTTGAGTAACTTTGCTTCACACATACAATTTATATAACTGTTATAAAATTTTTCATATGATATAAATATAATAGATGTTACAGATTGAAAGGAATGACATGGTCATAATTGCACAAGAAAAAGATATATTAAGTACTTTATAAGATGTGTTTAGTCAGTAAATATCGAAAAAAATAATTGAATTACTATAAGGATAAAGATTATAATTATTTGATTGATTCTGAACTTACTTGGACATCACCACCGAAGAATACAAGAAGGTCAGGCGTTGGCTGTGAAACCGGCCGCATGTAAAGCACATCGTTGCAGCGGCCTGGAATACCCGGTATATTTTTCCATATCCACATCTTTGATCCCATTGATTGTTATCTGCAATTAGTAAAAAAAATTAGTTATAAGTGAAGAAATATCTTTTTGATAGTAAAATATTGTGCTTATTAAACTGATAAGATAGACAAAAGGTGAAAATAATTATAAATCAATTATAGGAATTATACAATTACACAAATTGCACGTAATTGTGAAAGATGTGGAGCTATCAGCTGTTTTTGTTTTGGTTACACTTTCTTGCACTTTCTGCATTGAAAGTTATAAGAGAGGTATGCTCAGTACAAATTGTTTTCATAGAAAAAAAAGAGAGGAAAGAAATAAAATATAATAGATATGATTAAAATATACATATATATTTCTTTCTTGTTTCTTTATTCATAATCCTTCATCTTTTTCTTTTCTATGCATAAATGTTTGTTTTATTTTAAGAGAAGTAGAGCAAGTGCAGCTGTATGACATTTCGCATATGCGGTGCCGTGCGACGGTGTGCTGATATTCTATCAATCGACACGTTTCGGCATGAAATTTCGCAACATGGTGTCTATACGAATATTTTCTGACACAATTTTGGCATCTTTAAGACAGCTGCTTTCGCGGTGCAACGGTACGTCGCGGCGATCTTTTAAGATTAATTCGAAAACTATCGAAGATTGTATGTGTCATCGCTGTTACGAATAAATGCTCGTAAAATTGTGTGACTCAACAATATAACAGCGAACGGTGTTTGTCGCTAAACCTGCGACGGCACTTATCGCATTACAACGAGGCATGGTAATGAGATATGAGGTCTATCGCACATTTCTCGCGATATGCAAAGTACGCAATGAATACAAATGTCACGCGTTCAAATGCAACAGTCTGTGTTTTTGCTATTCCGAAACTGAGTTTCGACGCGTGCGACTCTGAACAACGATTACATAAGCTTTACAAGGATAAAAGTAGGAAAAAAAAATGTTTTAGCATAAATTCCTTCTTTCTTTCCGCTTCGACGATTCGCTTCACCGAACGACAAATTGCGCGAGAAAAACATATACATACCGGCTTTGCATTACGTAAACTCGTATTTCTAAGTTAGGTTAGGAATTCTAACCTTAATACGCAGATTAAACTCTTTTCAGTGCTGGAACGCGTCGCGTTGTCGAATTGTGCGATGGAACAAAAATCAGAGCTTAACAGCACCGAGTGGAATCCGTCCGATATATTTCACGACACGTGTTGCGAGTACGCGGTGATCGTGTTGGATCGTCCTATACAATGGAAGCATGACGTGCTGCTTCGAATCTGGCAAAGAGGTACGTCACAAAAAAGATGTGACACGTGTTTTGTCACTCTATGAGATAATTTTCAGAATTTTTCATATTTTTTTGTTGACTTTGGCGTGATAATTTACATAAATGTTTATAATCAGCTCACATCACTGTCACCGTCGATGGTGGAACGCACAGATGGATGAAGTACTTGGAGGAACAGGGAATAAAGTTGTTGAACGGTGAGCATAGACAATATGTACCTGATCTGATTACGGGTGATATGGATAGTTGTTCGGTAATTGTTGTCGAGAAGCTGATAAGTATGGGATCTACTGTTGTCGAGACGCCCGATCAGTCGCATACGGATTACACCAAAGCCTTGATGCAAATCGCACAGTACGCCAAGAGGAAGAATATAAATGTAATTCTTAAGATTTATTGCATGTTACTTTAAAAAATCGACCCTGTATGTAATAAAGTTAAACGTATTGTTGACAGTTGGATGTAATATACGTGCTTGCAGAAACATCGGGTAGATTCGATCATATCATCGGCAATATCAATACATTGTACAAAAGTGACAAGCTGGTGGGAAACACAAAGGTGATTCATCATGCGCTTGTATCTCTCATATTTATTTTATGCATGTTAGATATCTACAGGAATATTTTTTCTGCAGGTGATACAAGTTGCGAGCAATTCTTTGACGTGGCTATTAAAACCTGGTTTGCACAATATACGTATACCAGAGATCTTAGTGAGAGGACAATCTTGGTGCGGTCTACTGCCATTTGGAAGTTCAGTTAATCATGTATCAACGACTGGCTTGAAATGGAATTTAAGTACGTTTTTATACTTCTCAAATATATTAACTTCAAGTAGATAAATCGCTTTTTGTTGCATCAGAGTTCGATATTGAAACAGTTTTCCTAATTCCGTTTGCTTTTATTATTTTCAGATGACACAACTATGCATTTTGGAGGTTTAGTAAGTACTTCAAATACGTACAACAAGACCGAAGTGACTGTGAATACAGATACATCGATAATTTGGACTATGGGTATAGAGCTTTTGCGAGAAGCTATTAATAATGAAGCGACGTAACATTACGTACATTACTTTCTCAATAGATAACTTGCAAATAAATGTAGAAAATTATCAAGCAAATTAGGTCAGAAATGCTCAATAACGCTGTAAAGTACTTAACAATATTTTTGACTTAAAAATAGTGAATTGTATCTGCATGGAATTGAGACAAAATTAAGGCGCAAACGTTACAATCGATCTAGAATCTGATCTAAAATAATTATTTTATTTTTTTAACTATCTTGCACTTGATATCTATCTATCTTGAAATCTATCTTGAAATAATATGCGGCCGATAACGGGGTAATCGAATCATAGTCTTCTAGTTCCATACATGAACATTTATAAGTGTGATATGTTGAACATTTAATAATTGCGAGAAATACGACAGCTGGACGATGAAGTAAATCTTGTAATAATTGTATTTTTATGTATTTACATAGACACATTCCTGATTAGATTAGATGATTAGATGATATTAAAAAAGTGCAGCTTGTAATGTTAGGTTCTTAGGTTTTGTTCCTAAGTTTTTGTAGATACAAAACCAAAGCATGCCAAAGTCACATGACAGTTTAATAATATAATTGTTAATCGTTAATATAACAAAGATTTAATGAGACGATATATGATTTCAAATTAAATTGAAATTTGAACTAGAGATCTGATTTGTACAAAGAGTATTTGTTCCCATCTATTTTACGATATTAAGATTTTCAGTCTTGCTTCAACACATTTGTTGTTAATTTTTTTTGTGCAATACAATGTCTGCCTATGCAACTCAAGAGCTTAAAAAATTATAAAAATTTGTAAACATCTTAATTTTTGAGTCTTGTTTTGTTCTGTAAACGACAACGAATTTTGTTCACATCACATAATTTATTTTTTATTGTGCAAAAAATATGAAATTCAAACATCATGTTTATATTGTCTAAATATTTTTGGAATAATTCAACAAAACATGTTTATTGCATTTACTTGGCAGCGAATTTGATGTCGAATGGAAATAGTATCGCACCTGCAGTGTTATAGCTGTACATCGCTCGTAACTGGCACTCGATACACCCTCGTGCAGGTCGCTACTGCCACCAAAGCGAGAATCGGAGCGGCAGCGGTGGCGATCAGCTGTCGCGAATGTTTACATTCGTCGGCGAGTATCAGCCGATGAAGGGGAACCGGCGCGCGGTGGGGTCGCGGCCACCGTCCAGTCCCTTTCGGCCCGTTGCATCGCGCGGTTCGCGTAATCCACGAGTGCTTATCGTGCTTATCGCCGCGTGCGAAACGCGTTGCGCTGCCGCGAGCGCATTTTCGAGCAAATGACAGCCTGCATCTTTCCGTCCTTTCCAGAAAAGGGTAAGCCTGCGACTCTGCGGCTAACGCGAGGAATTATAAGGAATACACCGAGAGCACACGTGGTTTCTCTTAATTGATATTTAACGGCTATATTGAACTTATAATGAAATTTGTATTATTGTTGTAAAAACGTTTATTATTTTAATTTGCTAATTTCGGTACTTATATGCGTTTCGGTTGCACGTAAAGTCTGCATGCGCTTACCCTTAAAAAATTGCTTTGAAGATTAAAAAGAATTAAATTCATACTGCAATGACTAATAAAAAAAAGTTGTTATCATAAATGACCAGTCGATACATCGTTAAATGAGCTGCTATCATTGCTGTTACTAAAAACTCATATTCATATCATGAAAATTATCATGAAAATTTATATTTTCTTTAAAAAAAATTCGATATCTACCTGTGCATAAAAATCATAAAATTGAAAACACTAGACGTTATTATATATAACACGAAGACTTGGAGTAATTTCAGTTTATTTATTGCACAACTTTCTTTGATGTTGACAACTGTGATAATTTTTAGATACGATGTTTTTATTCCGTAAATTTATCACATGAAAGATTTCGTAAAATATATATATCGGAAAAAAAATATTTTTCTATAAAATTTGTCGTTAAAACACTATATCAACGATTATTCTTTAATTAAAATAATTCTACAATAATAGAAATGGTAATAATGTTTTATATCATTTTGTAGAAGGATTGATTTTTTTAAATTTTAATGTAATTGAAATAAAATTGGAACAATCAAGTGGATGGAAATTCGAAATAATACAAGGACGTAGTTCGCAAGTCCGACACTTCTCTTAAATTTCAAACAATTTCAAACTTCAAACTTAAAATAATCAGTCACTCTATTATCCACTTGAGCTTCTACTTGAGCTTTTTCGCAAAAACTCGCGAATAGTGCACTTCCCGACATTCGAGCTCCGCTAGACATACTTTGGCGAACAAATAGTCGAGCTTGGCTCCGGGTGCCGTGCCTCGAGCTACCAAAATGGTGTCAGACACCGAGTGTAAATAACCTTATGAACGTAAGAATAGACGTACGAGACGAATCGGGTTTATGTATCTTCTGCTTTGCGCTAGGGAAAGCTCACGGTGGTCGCACGAGGAGATTCTGATTAAGTCGGGCGGTGGGTTTACGTTTGCTTCAAGCTACGGCACGACCGAGGCACCTTGCTTTCCATCAAATAATAAGTGTCAATCCTCTTTTTTTAAAATTTCCTTGAAAATTCCAACTGTTAAACAATAAACGACCTCAATTTATTATGCTAAGAATTAATCGAAGCGAGATTCCGTTTGTTTATTTGGACGAAATTATATTCAAAGAAATTTACATGTGAAAATTAAGATTACGAGGAATTTGTTCAGTTTATGTTATCTTGTATTAAATACCTGTGTGAAGGCTTGCTAAATCCCGCGTAAACATAGGTCTTAATTCTTGCAATAGCACAACGCCGCGATCTTATTTTCACATTCAGCTGCGGTGGCGTTAATCTTTACGCTTGTCTTTGAGCCTTGTCTGATCTTACATGAGCCAAGTTAAATAATTGGCGGGATGCCTTCGATTACTCATCAAACCCGTGTAAATCAAGCTTACAGCAAGACTTAGAGTGTGAAGTTTAAGTTCAGGGCACGGCGCAGAATGTTCTAAAAAATCGACAGCTATCCAATATCAAGTTTTTTATCAAGTTATGAGATATTAATGGGCGTATTATCTGTTCATACTTTACATTTTATGTTAATTATATTAAAAACGCCGCGTTTTATTTATCCACATTGCTGATGGAAAAATCGAATAAAGATTAGATCACACATGACCGTTTGCATTTAGCGGATTATACAGCGAGAAGGTAAATTTCAAATGCCTTATCATTAATATCAATTTCGAGGAAACGCTCACAGTTATTCATAGTTACTCGTGCAAAGCACTCCTATATTTTCTGATATCATCAATGGATATTTGAGAACTATATTTTTATTCACGCGTATCGCATGTGTGTAGGAAGATACATAAAAATTTTATGTCTTGTACAAATATCGTTTCGAACATACGAAACAGTCCACGATAGAAATCGGCTGAACGATCTCGTTCTCATCGGCGAAAATATCACGATAGTACAAATATACAAAGCGCGATATCGATACCTAGAAGTCTGCATCGAATCTACGAGATTGCTGCTACAACAGCAGACGCTGAAAACTCTTTCATCTTCGCTCGATTGCACCCGTCAGTTTATGCACGAGTCGGATATAAATAAAGTGTCCGCCGCTATCGATTTTTTCTGCGCCCGCGAAGAGAACCGAAGGGTGACCGTCACGGAGATTATAATCAATACTGATTACAGAGTCAATAATCCAGGCATATGCCTGGACTTATCAGTTAATGAATGACGACTGTGATAATCGAAGTTGTGATTTTGATACACGAAAATCTGTAGAGTGCCTCGCAGAGGATAATCTGCTAATTTAGAATCGATTTTTCTTCAGAAAGTATGCAATGTTGAGAAAGGTAAATTTTTAATGCTTATTAAATATCTTTGTAATTAATTCTCAGGTTATTAATTTGTTAAAGTCTACCCGAAATTAAAAAAATAATATGATTTTATTATCTTTCTCGAAGCTTAATTTCCGAAAAGATTTCTATTTGTAATTGTTTTTGCAACTCGAAAAATCAGTCTGTCGATGTTTTCGCCGAGGAAACGTTGACCCTAAATTGATCAAAGAATTCGTAGATTAAAGGTGGCTTTTGCAAGTCGGGGATTCCTGCATTACGCAGCTTTCCGCACGACTGTGAGGTAATCGAACCGATCCATAGACTGTTTCGCTGTATATATGCAATGTACATAACTCTCTCGGTCGAGAGTAAAAGTTCAATGCCCCTGTCGGCGAGACATATCTACCTCTCTGCCCACCTAGTTTAGCTTCGTCTTTTTTTATCTCTGCTTTGCAATTTATTCCCTCTCTCTTGAATACACGGTTGAACTTGATTACCGAGAGAAAATGTTTATTTTTAAAAAACTTTATTTCTCCAACTTTATTTTTCCTGTACTTTTGTTTCTCTTTCTTGTAGAAAACTCAGTTGACAATTTATTATTATTTAGATGAAACGAGAGAATAAAGAAATTAAACAGTTTATTCAAAGTTTGGTTAGTTATCGTGAGATTTTTTTATGTAGATGTAATAAAATTGCGATTGCATAATAATTGCACTTTTTTCGTTGTTTTTATATGTTTATCGCTCGGTTTCGTGTACAAAATTACGATATTTTATTTTCTACGGGATAATTGGTTATTTAAACTTCGCTGTTTTATTTTAGGATTAGTGTTTCGAAGAATAGATAAATAAATTTTCACATATGTATGTGTGTGCAAGTACGCGCGGTGGACGTACAGCTTATTTGTGATGTGAATTGTTTGGCCTATGTTACCGTAAAACATCTACGATAATTCACAATAAAGTTCTGTTAACGCTTAGATCATTAAATCAGCCGCTTGTAATCTCTTCGACTGTCTTGTAATATTATTTCAATAGAAATAGAGTTGTTCTAATTAAGTGAAGATGTCAGACTCTTATTTCTCATCTTATTTCGACCAAACTTTAACAGCATTTTGATTTTTTAGTCTCAGTTACTAAAGTATCAAATGTTAAAATTTAAAAAAGTGCGAAGAAACATATATTGTTAATTGCACACAGTAGAAATATCTTTTCGCCATATAAGAAAAAAATATTTTCAAGCCCCAATTATTTAAAAAATTTGCGTTTAGATGTTTTTATTGAAGAAAAGAGCTCAATCTAGTGTCAAGAAGAGAGAGAATCCGCAGGACATCTCTCATAAATATTACAGCATTTATCGCATTCATTAATCCATCGGTCTATTTTATATATGCATAAAATATTTCGCATGTGACTGCTGGATTGTTACGAAGGAAGACACTGTAGGC